AAATGGAAATTGACTGTTAACATAGATAAGACGAAAATAAATGGTGTTTCGAAAAGGTGGCCGATTAGCAGAAATCGAACAATGAACGTATAAAGGTATTAAAATAGATGTGGTAGAATCGTTTACTTATTTGGGATTTATGGTCAGTACTGGCGGTTCATTCAAGCGTGGCATAGACACTTTATCTGGTAAAGCCGGGAAAGCTGTGCACTCACTATATACATTAACTAGAGGCATGGATATCACGCATTCTCAATACCATTTACAAATATTGAATCACGGAAAGTGAAAAAAATGATGTTCAGAGATCATAAAAATAATGTTTGAATATGGAAAAAGAATATCTCCCGGACATAAATTTGAATTCTTGCAAACAAGATACGAACCATGTTCTCACAGTTCCATATCAAATTGAGCAGGTCATTCTTATAAAAACAGGCACAGAAATGTACGTTACTTTGAGTGTCCCTTAAATTAGCAGCTCATAATGATGTAACTGTTGAACTAGTCAGTAATTTTGTTTTCACAATTCCATTCTCAAAAGATGTAGGATGGAAATAAACACATTTTTTTGTTAAATTATACCAATATATTCAGGTTTTTGGAATGTTAAAACAATAACAAATTTTACAGATGAATGATACATTTTTTACTATTTCAATGCATACTTCGAAGTTCTTTACAGATTTATCAATGAAAGGCAGTTCGACATTAGAATGCTATTGATTATTCATGATACATATAAACTCCTAGTTGTAAAGTTATTCATGCATGTATCAGTTGTTTTTTCACCCTAAATGCCTTAAAAGTAATGTAATAATTTTGTAACGTACATTTCAGTTTAATACAAAAAAATATCAACAGTGAATTCATTCAGAAAATCTGACAGGAATAGGAAAACTTAAATATTTCTGGTTGGTATATATTCCTTTCCTTAACATTTGAACAATTAACTACAAAAATCATCAACGCTTGGTCAGAGTAAGATATTGTATATGCATACAGAAATAAGATGTATTTTAATTGATGATTCTGTTCATATAAGGTAAAAAGTACATGTAAACAACATTATATGTGCATATTTTACCATTTATGACAACATACGTGTGTAATAAAATGCTTTAAAATATCAATCTTTAGCATTTTTAAGACTCTCTTAAAGACTTTATTAAATACAGTTGTAAACTGTTATTGGTAACGTACATTTCAGTTTTCTGGCATGGGTGTTGTACATAAAAAGACACCAATTAATATTTAACATTATAAACAAAATGTTTCCTTTTTTAAATTTTTAAAACAACAAACATTTTTACTTTATGAAATAATTTAAAATCACGTGTGATCATCCTTGTATGTTACGTTATTCATTGTTATGAGAATAATTTTACAGCATTGTTTATTATTATGTCCAGAAATGTTTTGAGCCCCAATATGGTGTAATTGATAAAATTTGTTGCATTTTTATGTATTAAAAAAGCAACAACAAAAAAACATGTTTTACTATCGCAAACTTCAATTTTATGTGCAACTTTGCAAGTAACATACATTTGAAGATGATTCGTCGAAAGTCCTGTTAATATCTTTCATTAGAAATTTGCATGTTTTAAGACATTATGATTACCAAAATCACATTTGTGAAATGCATGTAAAAATAAATGCTTTAGAAGTGTGACACATTAACTTGATTATTTTGTTGCTTTACAACATATTCCAGTGTTTTGTACACAATAAGGTAAATTCTGGGAAAAAATCATTTACTTTATACGAAACATTGCTTATATGAAACATTGTTTGCTTTTATTTTATTAAACATTGTTTCTTTCATTTCTCTCTCTGTTAGTCAAATATTTCGGATTCTGTAATACATAATTCTACAATAACGCTCTTTCCAAAGTTAACTTTCGGTATCTTTCAGCTCTTGTTCTCTACCTGTAGCCTTTTTGAATCTCAGCCCTTAATTTCGGTCTCTGAAATGTACGTTACTACAATTGAAATGTACGTTACTTGTTGTTGATGTTAATGTAAGTGAGAAATCATTGTTTTGTAGACCTTTATAGTTCATACACAATGCACATTTGAGTGTGCAGATGCTAGAGAAAAGATAAAAAAAGGTTAAATATCATCACAACTGTTCAACTTAAACAACCACATATTGTACTAGTCCCAACTTTTGTAGATAGAAAAAAATGCCTGAATAAAATTCATATGCAACTGATGCAAATACAGTTATATTTAATTTGTTTTCGTTTCTAATCATCCTATTCTTACTTGGTATCACAAGAAAAACATATTCATGAAGTATTTTTTAAGAATTTAGGAGATACTCGTCATTGAAATTACTAATACTAGTTTTGAAATGTACGTTACCAACAGTAACGTACATTTCATGGTACTTTTTAGCAGAAATATACTTTCCACTACTACCTTTTGTTTACATTGCGAAAAAAACATGCTATCACATTTCAAAATCCAGCAGAATGTTTTCAGTAGATATATGTTTATATACATAAAATGTTTTCTAATATATATTGTGATATCGTATATCAAACATGAATTTACCTTAAATTATATCCACAGTGACACAATGCAATATTTATTTAGGCTTTGGTGTTACAAAACTCTTCTCTCCATATAAATTTTCTTACCTAAGGTATCATATTTTAAGTGTAGTGAATATTTTTTAAATTGCGGTAACGTTCGTTTCGGTAACGTACATTTCTGACCACTTTTCAATGCAGATCTGGACACAGTCTTGGGCAATTATAACAATTTCTCAACACATAACTTCTTATTGAGGGAAGCTTTAACTGCTTGACACAAGTCTACCTCTTTACATTTTCATCAGTTCCTGTAGCATCAGTAACGTACGTTTCACGGCAAAAATTACGTTTTAATTTTCTCAGAAAGTCATCTATCAATTACGGCATCTTTATATACCACTTTTATAATACATTATTTTGGCCAATATGGCCAATTATCTGCCAGAAAACTTCAAACTTTGAAAGATCTTATTTTTGAAAAAATATTTTCTTGGCTGTTTAAAAACGCACACTCCAAAAGGCATGTATCAGTGGAAAGGAAAAAACAACAAATTTGTTTACATTTTTATCATAGTTTTCAGTATGTTCCACTGTTGAATTCACGCTAAGGCATTGTGAGATACAAAAAACACTAAACAATTGTTTTATAAAAGACCAATTGAAACATGAAAAGATTTAAAGTTCATTTTTCTTATAGAGACAGTCACGTACGTTTCATTTTTTACTATTGTGAGATAAATATTTTTTCAAATCATGATAGTTGACTACTTTTTTGTTTTGATTTAATTAAAACAGAACATGTTTGATGGAACAGATGCTTTAAATAAAATATATAGCACATAATATGACGAATATGCTGCGTGGAAAGCGTTTTTATCTATTCTGTAAATGATATTGAGAATGCGTGATATACCAATTAACATTCAATTCCACTTATTCGATTCATACGTGTCCCCAATCTTATGCTATTCGTCCGAAATATGGGGATTTTCAAAGGCTGATACAATTGAAAGAGTTCATAGGAAATTTATTAAAAGTGTGTTGAACGTTAAAATGTCCACAAGCAATCTAGCGATATATGGCGAAACAGGAAGAACGCCTCTTTTTATAAATTGGAGTATAAGGATTATTAAATATTGGTTTAAACTTGTTAACAATAACGTAAACTGTATATTACAAAATGTGTATAACAATATGTTTTTGTGGTGTGAAAAAGGAGAAAATAATTGGCTGTTTAAAGTTAAGACATTACTAAATAGAATAGGATTTGGCGAGGTGTGGTTATTTCCATCATCAGTTGAGCCAAGATTATTTATACCTACATTGAGATTAAGACTGATGGACATTTACATTTCAGAGTGGCGGGCTAAAGTGAACGGTAGCCCAAGTTTGATATTTTTCAGGGAAATTAAAGAAGAGTTTGAACTGTCAAAATATCTTTTAATAATTGAAAATAAGAAACATAGACAATATTTATCAAAGCTTAGAATGTCATCTCATTGGCTAAATGTAGAATACGGTCGACATAGAAATATAGAAAGACAAAATAGACTGTGTGAATTATGCGAACAATGTACAATAGAAGATGAATATCATTTTGTCATGGAATGTAGTTTTTATAATACATTACGTATTAGGTATATCCCAAGATATTTCCGTGTTAGACCAAGTATGGTAAAATTTGTTGAACTGATGAAAACTGAGAGTAAACCATTGCTTTATAAAATTTCAGTGTATATAAAACATGCTTTCCATAAACGACAAGAATTTTTAAATGCCGCGTAGAGGAAGAACTACACATGTATTGCATTTATTAATATCCGGAAAGAGTTATTTATTATCAGTAACATTTTTTGTTAATCGATTTATGTGATATCTAAACTTTAGAAACACTCTCTTTGATTATGTAACTTGTATATAATTATGTGTTTTAACTATGTCATTGTTGTCACAAATGTATATATATATTGGTTGATGTCGATGTGCTGTATATGCATAAGACTGAATAAATTTTCTGTTCTGTTCTGTTCTGTTTTAATTGGTCACATTAACTTAATCTCCTGTAATTTACATACAACTTGCCCGATTCTTAATAAACAGAATTATGTTGCACCATAAAAATTAATACTGTACTAGTAAACTTGTGATGGATAATGAAAAATAATTTATTAGGGGCCTACTGTACAGTATATGTCAATTTGCTAACACCAGTTTAAAGTCTTCTTGTAAAATTTGTAAATTTGGTATACGTCTCCTCAGGGCTACTACCAGTATATGTAATTATACGTGAAGATAATATTAGAAAATACTGTAGGCCTACTACTACTACTAGTTTATTTTTGAGATTTGTGTGTTATGAGGCAAGAACGATTCTGTTATCCCCCAGAAAAAAAAAGATGAAAAGTACATTTCGCGAAAAAAAGTCCTGTTCACACAATATCACTTTTCTTCGATTATAATCAAGCATACCGATTAAAATTGCGGGAAAAGTAAACCGGGAAAAGCTACTGTTTATTTACAGCAGCGTTTACTAAAATGCCTGGAAGAACCAATGCATCAGTGTCGATATCTGAAGACATAACGAAAAAGTAATGTTGTATCATCATTTTGGTATTTGTCAACACACTTTGATTTACACAGAATGGCTAAATTTTCTAAAAATAATCAAAAGTGTAGTAGTTTTCGGTCAAAATGCACACGTCTATTGTTTGGTAAATTGTAATAAAGATAAGGATCAAATAAATAAACAATTTAATATGATGTTAAGGTGTAAGCTGTACAACCATAGACAGCTTCAAGAGGGAAGTACTCCCACTCACTCTCCGAAAGACAGTCTGGTGTTTTTACCAGCACTATACATAGTACTTTTTTAAATCACTCTTGTACATAGACACTTCTCAAACCGCGCTGCGCTAGTACGAGTATACGCCGGAAGGTGTCTGTACTATATTGGAAGAAGAAGAAGAATAATTTGTTAAGTTTGTTGTTTTGCAGATTCATTGTTATTTAGTTTAAGAGATTTTTGACAATCTTTTCTCATAATTTTGATAGATTTATGATCGTTTCTTATATTAAAATTGTGTTACAGACTAGAATGTTTAGATGTTGAACTTAAAGATGGAGACATTACGCAGAAGGTAAATAAAATTTTCAACTGAAAGCAGCATAAAGTTTTTAACTTGTGAATGTTAACATCAGTGTTGCATCTAGAATTTCAAAATTATGGGGGATTGTCCCCCACTCAATTGAAAAATGTGGGGGATTTGAAAAAAATGTGGGGGACATACATTTACCTTACAATATGACATACCGAATAGAATTCATTTATTTTACGTTCAGGCATTTTTGACAGCTATCGTACGCTCAAAAACGGAAGTAGAAAAAATAAAATATTGACAAATACAACAAAACACACGCGAGATGACTCAGTCAGCTGCTACATGGGATTAAGTACGTATTTTAGTCATAACCAAACATGGCTGAAGCGTTAAAGATACGATGAAGATAAACTGAATTAAGTTGAAGAAATTGTCAGATGCGCGACTTGGCGCGCACTGACTTCATTAAAATGCGTGATCTGCATAAAAAATGTGCAAATCGCACAATCACGTGGCCTAGCTGCAACACTGGTTAACTAGGCAGTAGATCTAATGATATATGTTAAATGATATAATGATGCATGGTTCCATTATGTGCCTCCTTCTTTGTGTCTTCAAAGAAATTGTAAAGTGTATATTTTGCATAATTCTTATTTCATCTTGGTAAATGAATTTCCCATGAATACCAGGCATAGAAAGTAAAATTTCCAATATGAAACAAAATGCTCGTTTTTATTCAAATCTGTTTCACTCTGGTACTGCTACCATTCCCAAGGAATGGAAAAGACCACTGTAAACTGAACATGTTTGTACTTCAGAGTGCTAGTTTTACTTTAACAGTATTTGATAAGTTACAGTTATTGGCTACATCCAAGCTATATGGATATTATTTTCATAATTGCTTCGGAAACTTAAAATTTTATTGAAAAATAGTATGTACATTATCATAAAACAGCATAAAATTTACAATTATCATTTGTAAGAAAACCATTTATTGTACAGGGATACTGGAAGAAAAAGTGGCGACTGTGTGGTGATCTTATATCGGAGGATATGAAACAAAAAGTTGGCGACGTTGAAGCTGAGCTACAAGAACAGTTAATGACTGAGGTATCTCATTTGTTTCAAAATGATGATTGAGAAAGTAAATTTAAAAAAGAACAAACTCAAGTGAGCGCGTTTGATTATTAGGTGTCAGGACAAAAGGCAACTTTCACTTCCACTTGAGAGTGATAAAGTCGGATACATGAAACCTTGCTTTTGAAAATTGAGTTGGAATGATGTTAGCTGTTATCCAAACATGCAGATTATAGAGTTTTCTGGACACTTTAAAGAACTTATCCATTAGATTTTCATATTATATAACACTATGATGAAAAAGAATAAGAAATATACAATTATTAAAAAGGTTTGTGGAAAGTAATTAATATAACAAAATCAGATTTAGGTCAAACCACTCTGTTAATAACTTAATTGTCTCATAGACTTCAATTGTAAGAAATGATACAACAATCAGGGCTTTTTTCCTATCTATAACAACAACAATCAGGGCTTTTTTCCTATCTATAACAGGGGCCGATATAAGGCCCCTTCACAATTCAAAATTGCACTTTTTTTTCACAAAGTGGCGGAAAAAAATTCACAATTTCAAAAGAAATTTCACAAAATATTGGGACTTTGTCTTTGAAATACATTGTTTACCTTCCGGTAAAACATGATTTACGCCAATTTCAAGAACACAGAAATAGTTTTAATCAAGTTAAATGGTTTTAGCACATGTTAAGCGGGTTAAAGTACCGACTTGACGCAGATTTTCCGGTTTCATAATGTTGCTAAATCCCAAATAATATGGAAATTTTTTTCACAATTTTACGACAAATCACGCTTTTTTTCACAAAATGAACAGGTCCAGGCCCCTTCACAATTTTTACAAAAAATGCCCTGACAATGTTACTCAAAGAAATGATACAACAACATAACTCAAACATATATATCTGACAAATAAAATTTAATGCAAAATTTCTTCAAACAAGATTAGCCCACTTGTGAGAGAGATCACCAGATTGGCATGCACTTTTTTAATTCAAATGTATAGTTTTTCTAGACTAAGGAAATATTACAAAACCTAATGTTTCTATTTTCAGAAAGGGTATTTTAAACGCCTGGAACAGCTGTTTGAGTCATTCTGGAAATCTGCAGATCTTAATTCAATCAATAAACCCAGGGAGACTGGCAAGTTTAAAGGTAAATTTGTTTTACTCTGAATTTACAATAAATATTAATAAATTTTCTGCTTCTTATTATAATTTCTTAGTTACAAGATTGGCTCATTAAAAGCCTGTTTTTGGCATTTAATATAGTATTTGTGGAAATTTATCTTCGATATTAATTAGAAATTCATTGATACTTTGTATGTTTTATTTCTCGGTCTCTTTTGATTGTCTGTAGCTTTCGGGACAAGTTTTAACAGTATCAAATTTGTCTTCATTCTATAACTGAATTTTCGTACTAACATGTCATACCTCTGTGCAAGAGCTTCATTTTGACATATTGAATTATAAACTGACCCCTTAATGACCTTGATTTTCAAGGTCATACTGTTTTTCAAAATTTTGGAATTTTTTGGATGAGACATTCATGTTTTGTAGCAGGCCTTTTATCACAATTTTGAGAATGCCGCTGAAAATAGAAAATTGCATAATTAAAAGTTTAAATAAGGAACAGAGTAACATCTTAACACAAAAGAAATAAGAGAATAGATGCTTTCTAGCATTTGTATTTATAGTTTTTGGTTAAAGAATTCCCTTTATCATTTCTGGCCTATACAGTCATCTAGTTTACTGAAGGGGAATAAGGATACAGCAATGAGTCTTCGAGCAAATTGTTCTTATAAATAATTGAATATTTCATTATTTGTGGAGGTTCAATGATTTGACTTTATATTGTAGAAACTGAGGGAAGTCCAGATAAGAATGGACACAATGGAAATACAGAATCTGGCGGGGGTGATTTTGATGAGATGGAAACTGAAACTAAAAAGAATGACGACCATACCAATGGTGATGGTCAGGTTGAAAATGAAAAGGGAGATAATTCTGCTAAAGATACAGAGGTTGGAGATGTGAAAAAGGTTATTTATGATAAATCCTTATGTGTGAATCCAAGACATTATATGTTGATAGTTTTCAAAGTTAGGATATTAAATAATTTACATCAGTAGTTTGCTTCTGATAAATGTGAGAGGTTAATGTGTCTGATTTTTAACTTGCATGTCCCTCTATTGATTGTTCTGCATAAAATATATGCTGAGTGAAAGCATTTTCCCAGTTGACTTAACTGATAAAAAAAAGTCCCAATTTATTATTAAAAATTCTGGAAATACGAGTATATGCAGGTTTCCTTCAACTGGCTCAAATTTTAAGGAGTTCACCTTCGATCTTAGAAGGGGAGCCTTGGCCTACTCGGGTCATGACCATGTTTCTTCATATGACACCAGTACTGGTTGGTTCCACGAAGCAGACTCAAATGTGATTAATATAAGTTGCAAGAACTTTTTGTCGCAATCAAGCTTAAATAAGTATGTTTAAACCTCCAGTCTTCTCCAGTATCTATCAGGGCTCAAACCCATGTTCCCTGCGTTGGGAGGCAGACAACCACAAACCACCGCTCCCCTCAAGTAGAGAGCCATCTGTATGAGATTAAAGCCCAGTAAAGAAATGAAGAAAAATATTTCCTTGTTTGACTAAAATATAAAGACACTCGGATGAAGACAAAAGTTTAATTGAACATTTGTTAAACACTGATGTAACATGTTTCTACTTTAATCACATCCTCGGGCCATCCTTAAAAAAATGTTTGTTTGCAGTAACACGACCCAGAATTTTCAAGGTGGGTAGGTAGGTCGATTTTTTTTTTTTATTGAACTGTACTCCCAAATAAACATGGAATTTCAAAATGCTGGACAATATATGCTTTGATAATCTGGTAACAATTAATAAATTGATAACTGAATTCTAATTTAATAAGACCTACATTTTATTTCTTCCATTTTAACCTTTAAAAGAATGAAAACAAAGCACAAGACATAATTTTCTGATTCAAAAAAATTTTTTTTTTATCCAGACCATGAAAAAAAATTTTGAGTAGGGGCAAACTTTGTGAGTCGGTTGCGTTTCTGCAAACAAACATTTTTTTAAGGATGGCCTCGGGTGAATATTTGGTTGAATTTTGTTTATGTTCAGTGATTTTTTTTCCAATTTTCAAAACAACCTGTGGCTTTCTTAGGGGGAAAGTATAGCACGATAAATCAGAAAAGGGGAAAATCAAATTCCAACAACTGAAAATGGAATTTACCCACATATTTGATAAAATTTTCAATTTCAATTCAATTTAACATGCATGGTACATAGCAGAGGCCTTAGGGACAGCTTTCTGTCTTCTAGCTGATATAATAAGTCAGATGCTGTGGTGAAGAAGTGCACAGGACATTTCAGGGGAAAATATTAGCTTTTTAGCTCACCTGAGCATGCTCAGGGTGAGCTTTTAGGATCGATGATTGTCCGTCGTCCGTCCGTCAGTTCACATTTTGTTGTTAACACTCTAGCAGTCGCATTTTTGCCTCAATCATCATCAAACTTGGTCAGGATGCTTATCTAGTTGATAGCTCGGATGAGTTCGAACATGTGTCATCTCGGATGAAAAACTAGGTCACAAGAGCTAAAAATAGAAAAACCTTGTTAACACTCTAGAGGTCACATTTTTGCCTCAATCATCATTAAACTTGGTCATGATGTTTGTCTAGGTGATAGCTCGGATGAGTTAGAACATGGGTCATCTCGGATGAAAAAGTAGGTCACCGGAGCTAAAAAAAGAAAAACCTTGTTAACACTCCAGCGGTCACATTTTTGCCTCAATCATCATCAAACTTGGTCAGGATGCTTATCTAGTTGATAGCTAGGATGAGTTCGAACATGGGTCATCTCGGATGAAAAACTAGGTCACAAGAGCTAAAAATAGAAAAACCTTGTTAACACTCTAGAGGTCACATTTTTGCCTCAATCATCATCAAACTTGGTCAGGATGTTTGTCTAGGTGATAGCTTGGATGAGTTCGAACATGGGTCATCTCGGATGAAAAAGTAGGTCACTGGAGCTAAAAATAGAAAAACCTTGTTAACACTCTAGCGGTCACATTTTTGCATCAATCATCATCAAACTTGGTCAGGATGCTTGTCTAGGTGATATCTTGGATGAGTTTGAACATGGGTCATCTCGGATGAAAAAGTAGGTCACCGGAGCTAAAAATAGAAAAACCTTGTTAACACTCTAGCGGTCACATTTTTGCCTCAATCATCATCAAACTTTGTCAGGAAGCTTGTCTAGGTGATAGCTTGCATAAGTTTGAACATGGGTCATCTCAGATGAAAAACTAGGTTACTGGAGCTAAAAATAGAAAAACCTTGTTAACACTCCAGCGGTCACATTTTTGCCTCAATCATCATCAAACTTGGTCAGGATGCTTATCTAGTTGATAGCTCGGATGAGTTCGAACATGGGTCATCTCGGATGAAAAACTAGGTCACTGGAGCTAAAAATAGAAAAACCTTGTTAACACTCTAGCGGTCACAATTTTGCCTCAATCATCATCAAACTTGGTCAGGATGTTTGTCTAGTTGGTAGCTTGGATGAGTTCGAACATTGGTCATCTCAGATGAAAAACTAGGTTACAGGAGCTAAAAATAGAAAAATCTTGTTAACACTCTAGTGGCTTCTGTTTTGATCCAAATATCCTGTAAATTGGTCTGAAAGTTTGTTTTGATGATTTCTAAGTCAAGTTCGAACATGGGTCATCTTGGATGAAAAACTAGGTCACACCGCCCAAATATGGAAAAACCTTGTTAACATTCTAGTGGTCACATTTTCGACTCAATTATCATCAAACTTGGTCAGGATGCTTGTCTAGGTAATTGCTCGGATGAGTTCGAAATCGCATGTGAAACTAGGTCACCGGAGCTAAAAATAGAAAAATCTTGTTAACACTCTAGTTGCTACTGTTTTGATCCAAGTATCCTGGAAATTGGTCTGAAAGTTTGTTTTGATGATTTCTAGGTCAAGTTTGAATATGGGTCACCTGGGTAAAAAACTAGGTCACACTGCTCAAATATGGATAATCCTTGTTAACACTGTAGTGGTCACATTTTTGACTCACCTGTCATGAGACTTGGTCAGAATGCTTGTCTAGGTAATTGTTTGGATGAGTTTGATGGGTCAGGTGAGCGATCTAGGGCCATCATGGCCCTCTTGTTTAGGGGAAAATATACCTATTTTGAGCTAGGGGAAACAGCCTTAATTCGGCTGTAAAATTTATTTTATATTTTATTATTGCCACAGGAAGAAGAAATGGAAACTGAAGAAGTAACACCAGAGAAGAATTCAGGTATGATGTTGAAAATTTGAATTCTAGGAGATAAGTGATATTAGTATTGTGTGTCCGTCTCTGCAGCTGGGGATTGTAGGATTTCAAACTCCACCTTGGTCACAAGTAAGGTCTTGGGCGTTGTCATAATTCGACAGTTCAGGAATGGAACACTATATATATTAACTGTATAGGACACGTTTCAAATTGGGTGATAAAAACAACTCTTTAAACTTAACATGTCCTTATGTAAAAGCTAGTTGGAAAAAATGGTATACCCTTTGAATACAAGGACCAATAGTGAGTCTTAATAATATGTTTGCTTATTAAAGTGTTGGGGGGTCAGTCTGTTTATTAAAGCAACTTATGTCATTAACAATGAGTAGTTTTTAAAGCAAGTCATTTTGTAAAGCATAATTTGTCACAGGTTAAAATGTAACTTTTCAGATAAAAAGAAGAAAAGCAAAGGTCGTCAACAAAAGAAGGAAAAGAAATCTGATAAGCAACAATCAATTGCAGCTATGTTTTCTAAAGCGTAAGCTTATTTTTGATGAAGTTCCATCTTTTTAATTTGAATATTAGAATATAATAGTTTTCTTTGTTGGTCTGTTATTGCCAGGTACAACATGTTTAATTGGTTTTCTATAAAGCTTCCTGCCTTGTTTATAGTGATAGCTATATTGTTTTGAATTACTTCACCATTACCATGCTAAATATGAAAAAAATCTTTCAGTGGACATTTACAGGGAAATTTCAAAATAAGGACTGGCTGAATAAGTATTAAAACAGACAACATCAAACATATTGTGCTTGCAGGTCATTTGTCTGCAGACATCAGTAAATTCAGTCACTGTCAGGAAGGGCTATATCCTGGATTAGACCCTGGGGTCTAAACCAGGAGTATATATAAGGTTCATTCCGTTTTCTTTAGTGTATTATATACAAGTTTTACTCCAGAAAAATACATAGGGGTCTAAACAAGGTGATTGCCTCAGGAAGATTAGTGTTAAGAAAACATAATTGTCTTTTAGGTTTTGGCAACAATAGGATTTTTTCCAGGATTTTTGGGACATGACCCATACGAATTTAATTGGGAATTTCAGCGATATTTAGTTAAAAAATGGGAAAAACTATATGACTGAAATAATGCAGTGATTTAATGAATGCAAACAGTCACTGTCTAGGGCAGCATCTTCAAACATTTAACTACAATAACAGTGAAGAAGTCCTTTTATTTTATGCTTTTCAGTGGATTACTGATTTATCTGTGAAAATTATATTTGATAATTTCACAGTAAAAATTATCAAAATATAATTTCACTTTTTTCGATGACGAAACTACTTTTTTAAGATTTTCCCCATGTAGTACCTCAATTTTATTTTTTCTGACAATTCTGACAATGTCAGGCTGTCAAAAGAAATAGCAAAGCTGAAATAGATAAATAACTTAAATGTCAAAAGTAGTAAAGAGAGAAAACTTACTTCTATTCCTTCAAATTCCAATCACCAAATTTCGTCTCTAAAAAATTTTTTGTTTCGTTTTTACAGTCTGAAAAATACATTCCTTCCCCATGCAAAACTGCTCTTGATGACATTTGGGCATATTAAAGTATCCTACGAGCAATAACTGCCGTATGCTTTATGAAAAATTGAAAAGCATTGACAGCCATCACTCGTAAAATAAGTAAATCAACCCAGCGTTCCTTAGCAAGCTTCCAAGTTTTCCAATTTCCTAGCTCCTTTTCTGAATGTTTTCACTTCTGTCAACACTTATTTTTTGTCTGTTACAATCCTCAAATAAGTTTTCTTTCTTTTAAAAAGGTGTATGACTAACAAATCCAAATTATATCCTTCTGAATCTTACACAATTATTTTCCTCCCATGAAATACACAACTTTAAAAAATGGCTGCCGTTTACATTTTACAAAGCCAGGTCTAATATAAATTCGCAGTAAGTAACAGAAATATGGATGGATGGTTGGACTTATTCTCCTACAAGAATTGTTTGTTTTTATTATTAAAACAAGCGATCATTCATATTTTTTGATAAAATGAATAAATATCACCGTCATTTAACCTTGATTGGCGGACTTTTTTTTCAGCTCAAGACTTCTTGTTTAAAATGAGAAATTTCGTCTAAATGGGGCTCTCAATGGGGGAAACAGATTTTAATATTAACGTTAAAATTATGGAAATTTCGTTTTAACTTGTTTTTAAGCATAAAATAAAAAGAAAATTTGTCTGTTTGTTGTGTAAGATGTAATTTTATTTCATCTCGTGAACTTTAAAAACAGTATTCTCACTCGTGGCTACGCCACTCGTGAGAATACTGTTTTTAAAGCCCACTCGATGAAATAAAATTTCATCTTACACACAAACAAACAAATATCCTCTATGTTTTCAAAGATTTTAGAATTTTTTATTCAATATTTTTATTTTGTAACTTTTAGTTGGGAATTTTTTTCCAGTAGATTGGGAATATGACCAAATATAGACTGTAAAATAATTTTAAAAAATCACTAACAAGCAATGCTGTCCATGATAGTGATCTTGTAGTTGCTCCAGGTATACATTCATTGATATAATGCCTGCATATTTTTTGTATCGCTTGTTACAATAGGTCTTCAAGTCAGAAGCGTAAGTCGTCCGCCAATGAAGATATTAAAGTAGAACAAGAAGTTGAAGAGATAGGTTCACCAGAAGAGAAAGTTGCTAAAAAACCAAGAATTGATGATGATGACAACGACACTGATGAGAAAAGGTGCACATAAGTTTTATATCTTTTGTTGAACTGTGTTTAGGAGTTTAGTTTAAACATATTTATTTTAGCTTGATTGCAAAACAAGTTCTTGCAACTTATATTAATCACTTTCAAGTCTGATTCCTGGAACTAACAAGTACTGGTGTTATTTGAAGAAACATGAGTGTGACCCCAGTAGGGCTGGAATCATTGATCCCTGGGTTATGAGGCAGACACCTTAACCAATACATGCAATAGGTCACCGCTCCCATCATAAAAAGCCAATTTTTAGAAATGTATTTGAGATAGAGGCAGACACCATAACCACTAGACCACTGCTGTTTGGGAGAAATGAATATTTGTAGGCTGCGATGTTGGCATTGAAATTTTAATGTTAGGAAGCATAACTTTTACTGGAGTTGGCTTTAAAAATGTTGTAAGTTCTCATATGACATTGTGTATGAAATGGCATGCAGGTATGTTCTTTTTATATGGAAATTCTGAATTTTGCATGTATTTGTTTTTTGCTTCTTAGAAATAAGGAATTTGATTGAAAAACGTAATTGTATACCCATTGAAGTCTTTATTGTGTGTTGAAAGTTTCCACATGATCTGAAAGTTGGCCTAGAAACTATGTGCCTTATATTTGAACACAGATCAAGTGAATTGTTAGACTTACATTGCATTTGCACATTTACTCCACATCCCCCCTCCCACATTGCATTTGCACATTTACTCCACATCCCCCCCCCCCCATTCCTATCTCTTATACAAGCATCTGACATATAAGGCATTGAGTTTTATTTGAAGAAATTTTTTTTTTTCAGAGAGCTCAGAGAGAAGCAAGAGGAAGTATCAAAACCAAGCTTTGCTAAGATCCCGATGAAATGTTTACAGTGTAAACAGCTTCTAGATGACCCAGATCTCAGAACTTTTGCTGGACCTCCTGAAAATGCTGTAAGATTTTTATTTTCTTATTCCCATGGCATGTAAATATTTATACAGCAATGTAGCCGTGAACATAAAGAAAATCTTTATTCAATGTCATAGCCTGCATAAGTTGAGTGTTTCATATCTTTGATATTGATTTGTTGAAGTCTACATCAGGTGGGTAGTGAGCCCTTTGTGGCTGAGGGATTGCCTTAAATGATTGAGGCATAAGAATTGAAGTAACTGTTTATCCCCTATGTGATTGTAAGAAGCAACTACATGTATATGGGTTTGAATCTCTTGAGTCTATATAGCACTTAGCTCCAGCAGGTGAGGTGGTTTTAACCCCAGATGTTGTTAAGAAGTTTGTTATACCCAAGGTTAGCCGAATGTATTTTTCTATTTTGTCGCCGTGCCATTTGACCTATACAGTGTTGATATGCAGTAAAAACAAACAGGTGGGGGTGAAGTCTACTGATATGATATATGGCAGGGCTCTATGTATTTTTGGGAACTGTACCTTTACCTTAAGATTCATAAATTGAAGGCCCTGTATGGGGGAGGGGTGGAGGGGATATCTTCACTATAGCTGGATGGTTGTCTGGAGTTTCTGATCTCTGCAGAAACAGCAAACCTGCCTATAAAAAACTGGAAAATGTTATGCAGTCTTTTTGAAGATGAGAAATTCAACTACAATATTTGTGTTATTTATTAGGTAGAGGAGTTTGTTGCCCTGACAGATCCGAAACTGTCGTTGTTCACTGGGGAGGAGGATAATATTGACAGTTATGATGAGCGGCCGCAACACAAGATCACACAGTTCAGGTAACCTATACAATTAACCATCTTAACATTAATATCCATGACAGTTTCTGTCATTATATACTCTGGTAGGGAGACAATAACTTTATATGGGCAGTGTACAATACCTTATAGAATATTGCCATTGTTGTATCATTTCACATAATGGCTTTGAAATGGCAATATACTGCACTTATTGAATATATAGATTTGTCATATTACCATTATGCCAGTCATCCAATTAAGCACTGGCCCGGTGGCCTATGGCTAGTGTAAATTGGTTCGTGCCAGTGAAAATTTAGTTAAATATATAGTAGAATAGACTCAAACCTGGAATTCGGGCTAGTAAATTCAAAATTGTAAATTCATTGACTGTTATACTGTATACTTTTATTTCCAACCAGAAAATGCGCATGAATTTATTGTCATTTCTTGTACATTGCAGTGTTTATGACAAGAATACACATCTTTGCCCATTTGATACTGGACTGGTAGAGAAAAATATTGAACTATATTTCTCAGGCTATGTCAAGCCCATATATGATGAGAATCCAGACCCTGAGGGTGGGGTTCCAACTCAAAACATGGGACCAATAAATGCATGGTGGACAGCAGGGTTTGATGGTGGTGAGATACCTTTGATAGGATTTAGTACAGGTAGGTCTACAATTCAGTACCTTTTAACCATTGAATCATTGACTTTCTTTTTGGTTTTCTGTGAACAACTTGTCATTTGTGTTGTATAATAATTTAGATGTTTATTAGACTGATTTGGTTATATATTTCAATTACACACTTACACTCATATATAGACTTAAAGATTTACTGTAATTATTAGGTCGCAGTTTTGTTCACAGGATGACTAGTAACCTATTTCACATGGTACAGCGTTACCTAATCACCATTAAGTGTTAACACCATTGGCAACAATATTGGTGTCCTCGACATATATGCAACTGTTGGCATTGAAGGCAAAATTATTGATTTAGATTAATTTCTTGAAACTTGCCATCAAGGTTTGTGTTTATCTGCAATTAGCAAATTTTACAATACTAGTACTGTGATGCTAGTGAGTTGTAGAACTCCAATGATTCATTCTGTCTCTACAAATATGATGACTTATTGCATCAATATACACATCACTTCATGAATACTCAGGGCATATTCCATCATTGGTCAGTTTTAGAATAAAATAATGACATCGTTTTCTTGGATTTTTTCAGCTTTTGCAGAGTACATTTTGATGAAAGGAAGTGAGAGTTACTCCCCTTTTATGGACCAAATGCAGGAGAAGATCAACATGAGTAAGATTGTGATTGAATTCCTGGTGAAAACTCCGGAAGCCACATATGAAGATCTGCTGAATAAAATCCAGGTTTGTTTTAGGTCTAGTTTGTATGCCTTAACTTAAAAAATTTATCCGTTTCCCGTTATTCCAAGTATGAATATTTAGTCTTATTTGTCAAGTTTGTTTTTCGTTTCATTTTTTTTTTTTTAACTGTTGTGGATTTTCACTTGTAAAAGAATTTATCAGATATATTTTTGGGTCAGAATTTTACAAGGGATATCAATTTGTTGTTGTAAAGAAGGTTTTAGTCATGCTTGCTTCATGTTGTTTGTTTTACCAAGGTACCCATCCCTTTCTGTAGTAAGGCATGCAGGAACATGTGTGATATTCTTTAACGGAAACCAGTAAAATTGGAAAAAAATAAGATATATTTGGCTGTAATGGTATTTGTTGAATCGGACCACAAAAAAAGATGATATCATTGCGATTTACATATGATTACTGTTAAGTAAAAGCAAAATTTTACTGATCTTGCAGAATACAACACCCGAAATAATGACAATGATAAAATATGCATGAAAGTTTTTTTTCTGTTATTTTATAGACAACAGTACCTCCAGCAGGTTGTCCCTCATTCACCGAGGATTCACTTTTGAGGCACGCTCAGTTTGTAATAGACCAGGTACAGAGTTTTGACGAGTCCGCTGACGAAGACGAGGACTTGATTATAACCACACCTTGCATGAGAGCTCTTATAAAACTTGCTGGTGTCACACTTGGCAAAAGGTAAACTGAATCAGAATATTCGTAAATAAAAAAGCATTTGCTTCACTTGGCTGGTAGTGCTTCCTTTCTTGCTATAATAGCAGCCTTCTTCAGATCACTTTCCCTCATGAAATTTATTTCAAAACATGATGTTTTAAAGTTGGAATAAGCATCTTTTATGGTTTATAGTTTGAAAAACCATCTTTTTATATCCCAAGAATGTTATGTTTAACTGTCATCCTCAAATAAAACAGAAATTGATTTGTTGTAAATATTAGTCAAATATCAGTATTGCTATTACTTTCACCTTGCATCTTAATTTATTGTTGATTTGTTTGTTATTTCTAGGAGAGCAATAAGGAAAGATAAAGTAGTGAAGAAGGTGGCACCAAAGCAGACATTAGCAACAACAACTCCCCTTGTCAGCGCAATGTTTGACAGTATGTTCCAGGGACAGATTGATGACAAAGCTCTGAAGGAATCCAAGAAAAGACGATGTGGAATTTGTGAGGTACGTTACATATAATGTTGTAATATGACATTGCTTGTATAGATTGTAATACTTATTTTCTCTGGGTGTTTTCTGCATCTGATTTATCAGTCAATCAATAGAATTTATGGCTGGATAATATGGAATATTGCAAAATCCTAACCTAATGGTGGCTGGTTCATTTTGGTCTTTGTGATTATTTTCCTCACTTATCTAAACATATAAAAGATAAACGTAATTGCATTTGGGTGAATAGGAGACCATATAAATGTGTATAGATACGTAGAACTCCTGTATCTTGTGACTTTTAAGTCAATGTGAAATTATAAATGATGGTTAGTGAAATGACAATGCCGTATAAATAAATTAATAATTTGCAGGCATGCCAGTCTCCAGACTGTGGAAAGTGTGTGGCTTGTAAAGACATGATCAAGTTTGGTGGCAGTGGCCGAGCGAAACAGGCGTGTCACGAGAGACGATGTCCGAACATGGCCGTGAAGGAAGCAGAAGATGATGATTTACTGGACGAGGAGAATGACGACAAGTTGATGTTTGAAAACAAACATCAGAAAGATGTCATAGCTCAACATAAAGCCAGTGCCAACAAACAGGTAAATAGTCTTATATCTGTACAGTTGATAACTGGAGATTTGATTGATCAAATGTTGAACATAGTTTGTAATATCTGAACTTGAGTCAGAAGGTGTCACTATTAACATGAGCTTCAACATACATCGTTTAACATTTATTTAAGTGTAAAGGTGTCATAGAACAGGTTATAGATTCTTAATCTTTGGCTGAATGTCTAAAAGATCTAAAGTGTCATTGGTGAACAGTCATAATACTGTAGAATTTTGCTGGAAATAAAGCTCGGCATACACTATAAACTTTAGCTGAACAGCATATACAACACAGTGTCACTTCAGGTATTCACTACTTGAGGTATTTCTGTTTCAGAGATATCACAAATGTTTGTGACTAAAATTCACTGTAGTGAAGGTTATTTCACTATTTGAGCCACCTTTAATCCATTTGAAAGTTAGTTATATTCCTTTGAGTGAAAGATTTTGGTTTTCATGTCTTCATTTATTAGTTAAAAGATAAGGGAAAGTTGTTCCTAACTTCTGTGTTGAAGTGGGAGAAGAGAGAGCAAAATGTCCACTAAGGGGGAACTTTAATTTTTCTTGAATGGCTGACTTTGTTTAATTTAAATATCAAATTTGCAGGTTGAATTGAAATGGAAAGGTTCACCTATCAAGGAAGAAGGCAAGAGAAAATTCTATCAGACAGTGTTGCTGGATGGAAATGAGGTAATCATATACATAATCATTATAAAATAATACTGTAGAAAACAGGTGATAAATGTAAAAAATCTTATTCCAGTCTGTAAATTGTTTGCTGCATAATTTGATCATTTACTTTGCAACTATTTTATATAATAGTTAATGCATGTTTTTACAGGTATCAGTTGGTGAGTGCGTCTCTGTTAAACCAGATGACCCTACTGTACCATTTTATATAGCACGTATAGCATATATGTGGGAGGACAGTAAAGGCGTTAAGAAGTTCCACGCTCATTGGTTCTGGTAAGTCTTTGTTTCCTTCAGTGACAATTTAAAATTAACTGTGGGTTCATTCATCCATCTTTAAAATAAATCTTGGTAATGGAGTCTCAGTGTTCAAGATGGTTTGCTTCCAATTGCTTGCTACTAAGTGGGTTTGGGTTGAATTTCACCAAGAACATTATAGTATAAATGGGACTGTTGCTTAGTGATTAAGGTATGTGCCTCTCAACCCCAGGTTCAAGGCTGTGATCCATACTTTGTCATGTCCATGATTCTTCATATGCACATCAGCACAGATAAGTTCTTACTCCTAGGAAATGGACTCAATTATTTAAAAAAGAAAAATTAATAGTAACCAAATCGAGCTTTAACAAATATGTTTTAATTAATTGCTTAATGTAAAGAAGGTCAGCTTGCTAACAGAAGGTTGGTTGTTCTACTCAGAGTTACTTGTAGCTTAATTACTGCACAGAGAATGTCTTCTTTATTCCTGCCCCAGGGAAACTTTCGAGCCATCTGTTTATGTTTATAAAAAGCTTAAAACCCAGTTAGAAAAAATGATTTATGTTGTACATATATATGGTTCTTTTTAATTCTACTAGAAGTGGTACAGTGCAAGGTCAGCGTAATAAGTTGTTGCCTTGGATTTAGTGAAAAAGATATAAATCTGTTTCTTACTTTTCTCATCCCTTGTGTTCTGTACAGTCCAGACTGACTAAGCGACCCCCTGATTTAAACGACTCCCTGTCTTATCTGACCTTGTTTCAGTCCTCCCAACGTATTTTCCTATATAAATGGTCTGAATTAAACGACTCCCTGTCATATGTGACAAGCGACCCTAATTGTCTGGTCCCAATGCAATGTTTGGTCTGATTTAAACGACTTTCACACCTTTTAATTGTCCGTTAATCGGATAAATAATACCTATTATAACACCCAGAGGGCCAAAATAATTAAGTCCAATTATAATCCAGTAGCAAACAAAGTCTACACACCTCTATCTCAATTACACAGTATACATGCAGGTATCAAGTGACGTAGCGCCTGGTCATGGGAAGCATGATGCAATCGATGTGTGTGTAATGTACATAAAGTAAACTGGGTTAAGACTTGTATTTTTTAATTATAGAGTGCCCACGGAAGATTTTTTAGGCAGCATTTTTTTAATTTACCTTTATATGGCTGCATAATTAATACGGAAAAAATATTGATACCAAACCAGAAAAAGCTTTTGATATGGATATGTAACACAATTTTTTCATGGTTTTATTTCATAAATATGATGTTCAAATTAAGATTTGTCAATATTGTAAGTTCAAATCAGCATGATTTAAAAAGAAATCACCCAATTTAACATTTCATGTAAATAAAGGCCATTAAAGGGAGGTAATTAGAACTTTATTTTCTATAAATTCTAAGTCAAATTTTCCAATAAGAAATCAGTACAGGTAATTTATTGATTAAATATAATGTGTACAAATATTTGCAGTACACATTTTACATATTCTTTGATGTTGAAAAATTGTTTTATTTGCATAATTATATCCATATATATATATATTTTTGCAAGTGTCGTATACACACAGTAACAATATCAATCATCATTATGGCACAATGGTATATAGACAGATAGATGATATTTGAATTTAATTTTCTTTGAGACTGTATTAAGAGACTCCCTGTCATATGTGACCTTTTTCTGAAGATCCCTTGGAAAGTCACATATGGCAGTCTCGACTGTATATTGTTTTATTGAAATGATATAATTTCCTAAGATGAGAGTTAGAAATAATTTTACTTTATTTAAATGAAACAGTTTAAAATTCTGTTTAAGTTTTACTTTACTGAAACACTATTTTTAGCCGAGGAAGTGATTCGGTACTTGGCGAGTCATCAGACCCTCTCGAGCTGTTCCTGGCAGATGATTGCGAAGATTCTGACTTGGAATATACTGTGTCAAAAGTCCAGGTATTGTTTACAATTATTTAGTCATAGTTTTTGTCTTTATGTTATATATATACCTTGATGAAAGTATCAGAACACCTAAAAAGCACAAACTAAATTGAATTCTTTAATGTGTGACAGCGTGCATCTGTGCCAAAGTGGTTAAGATCCATGTCTTCCAACTGTTTGCCCCTACACCATTGTAGGTGTGTATCCTGCAAAAAACTTTGGCTTCTTTTATGTTAGGAAGCTATTTAACTGAGGTTGCGCATGCCTGAAAGATGGGGCACCTGAGGTTTCCCTCCACTTGTAAAGCTGGAAAGTGGCCATACAATATTTTACTGTGTTGATGCCTCTCAAATTCCAAACAAACAAAACTTAAACATGTAGTATGTATGACAACTAGCCATCAACAATGACATTCTGTATTGCACTTTTTAGGTAATTCATCACAAAGCAGACAAGAACTGGTCAATGTTGGGAGGGGAGGAGATTGAACATCCAATAAAAGTTGATGATGGGAAAACATACTTCTATCAGAAATGGTAGGTTTTCAATATATGTGATATGTCTTTGTTAGAAAACTGTAAAGAGTGTCTCTCTTGGAAGAGTATTAGTCTTTGTATTTGTTAGAAAACTGTAAAGAGTGTCTCACTTTGATTAGTATTAGTCTTTTTACTCAACAACTTTCCAAGTGGGCAGCATGTATGTCCTGTTATCCCAGTCATAACAGTTATTTGAGAAGAAGTGGTGATTTATATTACATGGTAAGGACAATGCGTGCATCAAGTACATGACCTCTGTTGATTTTGAGATCATTAGGTCAAAGTCACCGTGACACTTCATGTGATAACCATATTTAATCAATTAACAGTTTCCTTTTTTTTTGAGAGGGGGGGGGGGGTGCAGAGTCATTAGGTGATGATAAAAACTCCAGAGGGATTAATTTGTCTGTTGTATTTTTGTATTTGGTCATAGAGTCCAATCACAGATCTAGATATTAAAACTAAAAAAGAAAAAAAATTACAGGTGCAGGCAAGCCTTTTTCAACAGATGTTTAGATTATAACATGAGAACTATTTAGTACAAACTTGTAATCTTATATCCCATGCAGCATTAAATTTGCAATATCACGGCATGTTTCCAAAAATTTCTAAATAAACATTCATGTAACTCATAAATTGTAAAATAGTACTTACTACAATTTGGAGTACTTGAGATTCCATTCAGTTTGCCATCACCTGCCATTGTAATTATAAGCAATGAAAGTATGATTAATTTAATGTATTTTACAATGCAGGTATGATTCCCAGTATGCCAGGTTTGAGGATCCACCGGAAGTGGGGGAAATACCAGAATCTATTGCCCACAGGTTCTGTGATAGCTGTCAGAGACTTAATGCTCTAAGAAAGGTAGGTCATTACATAAATTCATGGTTATCTAAATGCTTGAAAGGGCTTGAACTTTTATGCCTATCTTTTAGTGAGCTAGCTTACGGAACGTCTGTGGTTCTACCCAGGTGCTCGTTCTTGCCTTAATAATGTTCAGAAGGGCACTTGAGGTCTTCCTTCACCAGTAAAACTTGAACATGGCCATATGACTTATACTGTGTTGGTGTGATGTAAAACTCAAATCAAACAATCAAAATCCTTTAGTGATATCCTTACATTACTATTATGACAAAATGTCCATATTTAGATTTTATAACAAATTTTAGCTTTCATTGGTTTTCATTCCTATTTAGCTCGACTATTCGAAGAATATGAGAGCTATTGTAGTCGCCCCGGCGTCGGCGTCGGCGTCAGCGTCCGCGTCGGCGTCTGCGTTGGTTAAAGTTTTTTGTAAAGTCAAATATTTCAATTATTACTTGAGATATTCAATTGAAACTTACAATACTTATTTATAGTAACAAGGTACATCAGATTGACAAGTTGGATAACTCTGCCTACAATATTGACAGAATTATGCCCCTTTTTAACTTAGAAATTTTGGTTAAAGTTTTTTGTAAAGTCAAATATCTAAATTATTGCTTGAGATATTCAATTGAAACTTACAATACTTATTTATAGTAACAAGGTACATCAGATTGACAAGTTGGATAACTCTGCCTACAATATTGACAGAATAATGCCCCTTTTTAACTTAGAAATTTTGGTTAAAGTTTTTTGTAAAGTCAAATATGTCAATTATTGCTTGAGATATTCAATTGAAACTTACAATACTTATTTATAGTAACAATGTACATCAGATTGACAAGTTGGATAACTCTGCCTACCATATTGACAGAATTATGCCCCTTTGGAACTTAAAAATTTTGGTTAAAGTTTTTTTGTAAAGTCAAATATCTCAATTATTGCTTAAGATATTCAAATGAAATTTAAAATACTTATTTATAGTAACAATGTACATCAGTTTGCAAAATTGCATAACTCTGTCTGCAATATTTGCAGAATTTTTTCCCCTTTTGAAACTTAGAAATTTTGGTTAAAGGTTAACGGTCTTCAAAGATATTTACTTGAAACTTTACACATGCACTTAGGGTCATAATTCGAGGGTCATAATTGTATGTCACTGACCAAGTTCCATAACTCTATCTTGAATTAAGGCTGATTCATATCCCCTTTTCTACTTAGTTTCTTGGTTAATGTTTACATGCAAGTTTTACATATCTCAATAACTATTAAAGATATTTATTTAAAACTTCACATATGCATTTAAGGTCATAATTGTAGGTCACTGACAAAGATCCATAATTCTATCTTGCATTTAGGCTGATTTTTCTCCCCTTTTTCAACTTAGAAATTCATGGTAAAGTTTTGCTTGTAAGCTGTTATCTCAGTAACTACTAAAGGGTTTGTGCCTTTTTTGGGACAATTTTATGCATTCATAATAATAAAGCAGTGATTTACTTGATAAAACATCTTAATAACAAACCTTTGTACCTTTTCTGTCAAATTTATGTATTCATAGGTAATTAGTATTATTATACTCAATAAAAAACCCTTGTGACATTACCTTCCGAATAGTCAAGCCAATTCTGTATAATTAGACTCTCTCTAAGGCCTATAACATGAATTTATAAAAAAAAAATTAGCCCTTTTGTGAACTTAAAAAATTTAACAATATCAAGGCTCTTTTACTATCAAGCACTTAGAATAGTCGAGCGTGCTGTCCTACAGACAGCTCTTGTTATAAGTCACTGATTTCATGAAAAAAATGATCTTGATATTTAACCATGTATACATTTTGCATTATTTCCACACTTTAATCGATACTGTGTCCTTACAGAAAGAGATGCCAGCACTTGGTGAAGAGATCAAGGCTGAAGAAGGAAAGGACAGTTACACATATTACGCCAGTGTCTCCCGGGACGGGTTTGATTTTAAAGTGGGGGATTGTTGTTACCTCATGCCAAGTTCATATGACTTTGGTGTTAAACCAGCGCCTCCTAAAAAGATCAAAGTGGATAAAACTGCGGTAAGATACAGATTTTAGAAGGATAAGGTTATGAAAGGTAATTATAAGTGATGATTGCATACAAAGGTAAATTTCCATTACCACTGAATGAGTTTTATCTGAAACTTTACACTTTTCATAAGGATTATGTTTGTAGGTTACTGATCAATACCAAATAAGTCTTGGCAAATCGTTTCATTTATATCCTTGACTGATGTATATATACATTTGTGGAATAAAATTATACACATACTGTATGCTTACAATTGGTCTTATTTAAGTTCAAGTCAGTTTAAGTTTCACCAACTAACACTTGTATTTTTATATTAGTAACTGAAAAATAAGCGTCTGTAATGACAGCTTCCATATTGGAACTGTCTGTTAATTCTCGGACGATTGCAATTACATCATAGTAGGTCAAATCATTTCACATGACTAAGATATAGCATCTGTTATACAAAGATAAATAAAAGATATTTTGTACTCTAGGTGGATGAAGAGCTATATCCTGAGGCATACAGGAAGTCGGACTATATCAAGGGGTCGAACGACGAGGTTCCAGAACCGTTCAGAATTGCCCAGATAGAGCAGATATTTATCAAAGAGAGCGGGACAAGTTTTCCTTCTCTTGATAAAATAAAACTGAAAGTGAAGAAATTTTACAGGTAAATTTATCTGTCCTGGTTAGTGAATGATTGTTTCATATGTTATTATGATGCCCTGTCAAAGACAGTATTGGTATGTATGTTTGGAAATGTCTTCAATTTATTCATCAATTGATTTGTCATATGTTGACTGGAGCATACATCTTAAACCATTTCAGTTAAAATCTTACAATAAGTACTGTATAAGTTGGTATTGTTGGAAAATTTCGTGAATTTACAAAAAATCGCTAAAATTTCTTCTAGCAGAAATATCAACCAATTTGACAGTAAATTGTACTCTTCAGGACCACGATTCATTAATATTTCCACATCTGAAATTCTGGAGGTATCAATTCGCTTCTTTTAGACAACCAGAAATATCCCCTTATACAGTACTTTACCTGGAATACCTTACTAGTATTAAGGCTAAAGTACATGCACTTTTTATAGGTTTCTTGAACAGCTAAGACTATAAACTTTACATCCCGTAACACTGACTAAATTTGTTACACAAATACGACATCTTGTTTTATGTAGCTTATAAATTGAACTGTTTAAATGAAAAAAGAAATCAACATTTTTCAAAGTTTTAGTTAGCAGGTTTGCTCAGTTTATGATAAATATTTCTTATATTGGTTGTAAGATTGCCTCAGATATAGCATACAAAATGTCATAGTCCTGACATACTCGCTATAACTTGCGTCTATCTGTAGTTACAAGGCATTGTTATTGTATAGTGATCCAATACTGAATCATGACTGCGGTATAACAATGGGTATTGTATCCTGGCCCAAAATAAAGATACCCATCCTGTAAGATTTATGTCTTGATCAGTCTGGAGATGAGGAAATAACTTGGTTGATACTGTCTTATGTGCCTTTTTGAAGAACAATATTTATGAAATTTATGTATCAATGTTATAGGAACTGTTTTATATTTTAGACCAGAGAACACACATAAAGGCGCCTCAGCAGGACATCAGTCAGACTGTAACCAACTTTATTATACAGATGAAGGTAAACTTCTTACAAAGTCTTCATGTTCATTATTATGCTCCCCGAAAAATTTCGGGGGAGCATATAGTCGTCGGGTTGTCCGTCCGTACGTACGTCCCAAATTCGTGTCCGGCCCATAAGTTTGTTATTTGAAATCGGATTTTAAAACTATTTCACAAAAATGATCACCATATTGAGACGATGTGTCGCGCGCAACATTTGGTTCGCTACCTTGAAGGCAGTCTTTCCGAAAGACTGTCGGCCCTGACCTGTAAAAATTCAGAAGGTCCGATAAAAATATATGTATTGACGGCCCGACGGTCCGGTAAAAAATTAAGGTTTTATAAAAACCTTATATTCAACATTTTGCAAAGGCCGATCATTTACGTTAGTCCTAAATTCAAAACATCAAAATGTTGTCATTACACAATATAAGCTTGTGCAATGCTTGTCAACTGTTATGCATTCTCATAATGCAAACTTTTATGTAACTACGTAAGATAAAAATATCCGACAACTAGTACAATTAAAAGTCAATAAGCGGCCGCGTAAATTACATAAGCGGCCCAGATGTGAAAGGTCACCCGCTATTAGTTTGTTTACCACAGATGAAAGTGTCAGTGTATTAATTGGAACAATTTACGTCTTTAATCAACAGACTTAGAGTAATGCTAAATTACACGTGTGCTCAACTGGTGTTTAGCTATGAAAGATCGTCCAAGATGTTGACAAAAATTAAACTATACTGTGAAGGTACCAAAATCATTGAACAATTAATTGTCAACTTCACTAAATTACCGATATATATATAATTCTGTTTACATATGCCAGACTTTTGCTGAAATTTACCCTCTCATTTTGCTAGTATATAGTCTGTATGGAATTAAAGTTTTAAATAGCAAAATCCATTGAATACATGTATAACAATATTTATGTTTACATTTTTGATTGTGGTGAAAAAAGATAACTTCACTTGTTGATAATATAATTTTCTTTTTGTACACAAATTTTTTGACTGCTGACACTTATCAAGTGACTCAAAATGCTATACCAATCAGGTTTTTTTCGGTCCAGTAAAATCATGTTTGGTCCAGTAAAAATTTTCAGTTTACAGGACCTACTGTCCAGTAAAACTCAGAAGTCTTTCGCATAGACTGTGAAGGTCAAGGTCACAGCATGACCTTGCAGCAAAATCGTGTCCAGTCCATAACTTCATTATTTGAAGTCGGATTTTAAAAATATTTCACAGAAATGATCACCATATTAAGACGACGTGTTGCGCACAACATTTGGGTCGCTACCTTGAAGGTCAAGGTCACAGCATGACCTTGCAGCGAAATCGTGTCCGGCACATAACTTTGTTATTTGAAGTCGGATTTTAAAATTTTTTCACAGAAATGATCACCATATTGAGACAACGTGTGGCGCGCAACATTTGGCTCGCTACCTTGAAGGTCAAGGTCACAGCATGACCTTGCAGCAAAATCGTGTCCGGTCCATAATTTCATTATTTGAAGTCGGATTTTAAAAATATTTCACAGAAATGATCATTAATTAAGAGGACGTGTCGCGCATAACATTTGGGTCGCTACCTTGAAGGTCAAGGTCACAGCATGACCTTGCAGCAAAATTGTGTCCGGCCCATAACTTTAATAATTTTGAAGTTGGATTTTAAAACTTTTTCACAGAAATGATCACCATATTGAGACGAAGTGTCACAGCATGACCTTGCAGCAAGTTCGTGTCCGGCCCATAACTTTGTTATTTGAAGTCGGATTTTAAAACTATTTCACAACATTTGGGTTGCTACCTTGAAGGTCAAGGTCACAGCATGACCTTGCAGCAAAATCGTGTCTGGCCCATAACTTCATTACTTGAAGTCGGATTTAACAACTCTTTCACAGAGATGATCACCATATTGAGACAATGTGTCGTGCACAACATTTGGGTTATTTTTACACTTTGAACTTTGTCTGTGACATAACTCTGACACTACAAGAGGTATACCTTCCTGTGTCCAAAACCTATTCGGGGAGCATCACCCGGTTCAACCGGCTCTTGTTAAATCTGATGTCTTAAATGATCTTGAACAATTATGTACAGTCAGTTAAAAGATAATTAAAAAATTTTGTTTTTAAGTTTTTATGGTCAGTTTTTCAAAATTCGGGACATTTCATGATTTGTGTTTTACAAGCACATCTTTGTGTTGTTTTTTTCAGATGTGACAGTAGATTTCAGCCTAGTTAGAGGAAAATGTACAGTTGTATTTACAGAGGAATTAGATCCCAATAGAGATAATGACTTTCTGTTTGGTAGAGATAAATTCTACTTCTCCGAGGTAAAGAGCTTTCCTTGATTCTCTTTTCAAAGAAATGAAATGTGTTGATATTAAACTTCCAATGTGTATCACATTCTGAGATCTAGTGATGGTATTGTCAAAGGGATAACTCCAGTTTAGATTCAGGCCAGCTTGCAACATATGTGCTGTCTGACCTGTGTAGGCTGATCCTACTGAATATTTTGGTAAAATATGGTGTATAATTATGTTTATATGTAATATACAGAAACTTTTAAAAAATCTGGAGGAAGGGTGATCACTAGAAAGTTAAGATATTATAATCGCTGCATCCTTATTGATGTCGTAATTGTCATGCAAAACTATTTTAGCCCATTACTCAAATATTTTAGAAGGTATAAACACAAATCTTGGAATATTTGATAATCATAGGAATAGTTGTTCGACATTCTGAAAGTAATATTTTTTTAAGGGTTTCCCCCCTTTTTCACTTAGAATATTTATGAAAAATTGCTATGAACAAACATGCATGAACACTGCATGCATTGCTCTGGTTTGTGGACAGGATTGCATGCTAAATATATCTTTCCCAATACCTCTATGTAATTAAATATGTATGTTCCTTTTCAGGCTTACAATAGTAAAACAAAATCATTTGAAGAACCGCCAACTAAAGCAAGGATGATGGGATCAAAGGGCAAGGTCAGTGATGATTTACAACTTACAAATTTCAGTGGTTTTAATTGAATAAGGATGAATTTCCTCAATTTCCTAATTTGGGATTAATTTAGGAAGATGTATCAGTTTTTATATCCTCTGTTTGGAAAAAAGAAGGTCCAGCTGCTAAGATCCCTGCAGCATTGGCGTTGTCTTTATAGTTGTGCAAAAGCTTTAATATAGACCAGTATTCAAAAAGTTTTAAAGGTATCAACATTAAACTTAGAATGCTTGATTTTCTTGGCGAGGCACAGTTGTTAGACAAGGTGCATATTTCTGAAAGCTATAAGAGTTATGCCTCTTACTGTTTTAAAATTTTTGTCAAAATTGCTTTTATTAGTAGGATGATTTCAAAACAAAGCTTTCAACTTTTTAACTTGGACTACTTTATCACAACGCACAGTTGCAAGACAAGTTATATTATCCTGAAAGCAATATTTTTAGGAGTTATACCAATTTAAATAATATTTATAAAAAATGGTTATTGTTGCCCTTTAAAACTGCATGAAGTGTTCTTGTTTAGTAGATATAGTTGCTGACTGATCAAAAATAGTTTTCACATTTTGCCAAGTAAAAGCCTCTTGGATATTTTACTCTTAATATGCAATAAATTCTGTTGAAATGCTTACACAACAAATTGACTTGCTATGCTCAGACATATTAATTTATTAAAGTTTTATTCATAGGGTAAGGGGAAAGGCAAAGGCAAGGGAAAGGCAACCACCCAGACTGATACTGCATCAGAAGTGAAGCAAGAGGTTAAAAGACTGAGAACCTTGGATGTGTTTGCTGGATGTGGAGGTATTATCCTCTATTTGTATATCCTATATTGTTTACATTGACCATGCTTGTTTCAATGTAATATAACAATTAAATATTTTATCATGTTAAGAGTTTTTTTTTCATTTTTATTAATATTATGGTTCAAACCTTATATGAGGCAAAATTTCTACATTATATTAATTGATCTTAGTCAGTGAGTCTGATGTTCATTTGTCTTAGTTATCCAGGCAAGTGTGTGTGTAATCTGCACAGACTGATGAGATTCAGTCAAAAATCATCCAGTCTAACTAAACTTTTTTATGTCAAGATTAAGATAATTTGTGTTTGCATTTCAGGACTTTCCGAGGGCTTCCATCAAGCTGGTGTGGCTGAATCTAGATGGGCTATCGAGAAAGAGGAGCCTGCTGCCCAGGCATACAGGCTTAACAATCCGGGTAGTACAGTCTTCACAGATGATTGTAACCTGCTACTGAGACTTGTAATGGATGTAAGTAGATGCTGTCTGTGAATATATCTAAACATAGTCATTTGTAGCAAAGTTATTAAAGCCCCCTATTAGGGCTGCCCCTAAGTTTCAAAATTTGGAAGTCAGAGACTGCAAAATCTCCGATTTTGGAAGTCACATGATATAGATAAAGAAGAAAAAGTACTAGATTTTGGAAGTCACAAGCCAAAATCAAGGAGTAAAATGACTCCCAAACTTCCATTAACGGAAGTCTTGTCCTATATTGATCACAAAGGACCATGATTAATTGTTTATAATGAAAATGGTAGGAGGATTAAGATTCAACTTTAATTTAAAATATACATACATACCTCCTAACTGCTTGTTAGTTTAATCTGAAAGAAGATTTTAAAAAGTTGTAACTTGGCAAACTCACAAGAATAATAATGCATGGAAGGCTAATTAGTCCCCTACCGGTTTAACATTACTATGATAAAAACAAACTAAGAACTCAACAGATTGAAGTTCATTCATGTCTTCCACAATGACATAATTGAATGGACATGGCCCTTCAGAATGTTGCTGGGGTTCTAACCAGTAGGAGAACTTTGTATTGCTTGCAATACTATGATATTTGCTTGTTTATGTAGTTACTCAGATTGAATGATGATCTTCATTCTTGACTATTGTGATTATTTGAAGGAGTATAGATTTTGTAATTTCAGGGAGAGAAGACCGACCATGTTGGCCAGAAACTGCCCCAGAAGGGAGATGTGGAGTTACTGTGTGGCGGCCCACCTTGTCAGGGATTTTCCGGTATGAACCGGTTCAACAGCCGTGAATACTCCAAGTTCAAAGTAAGTTCTGTGACAATGAACAGACTGATGAACTGATGATGAATTTATCATATTTAAGTTTTAATTAATCAAACCTGAAATAGGTAAAAAGCAAGAGAGATTTTGATCTGGAATTTATGTTTGACTCAAAAAGGATATAACTAAGCCAGGGTCTTGCATAGATAGGGAAGCAAGTATCCATTCTAGTACAAATCAGTCAGAACCAGATGTAATTGACTATATCAAAGCACTCTTTAAATGTGATTTTTGTTAAATAATTGTTTGCTTTTAAATCATATATCCTGATATGGATATAATACACTTCAAAACCCAACTAAAAAAAAATGCAGTATATATTTTCAATTTTAAAGCATTATGCCAGCAAAGTTATTTCAGATCACACACTTTTAGAATATAGCATTTCTTTCTGTCTAGTATTTGTACATGTGTTACATGCAGTAAATATAGCAAAATATACATGCACAGGTGAACAATGAAATCACCAAAAATACCTGAAACCAATGAAGCAGTAGAAACTGAAGAAACAATTTTATATCCTCAGTTTTTACACAACATTCTTGTATGTAAATTTTCAGAACTCGCTAATTTCCTCATACCTGAGCTATTGTGACTACTACAGACCTCGATTCTTTCTCCTGGAGAATGTTCGTAACTTTGTCTCGTACAAGAAGAGTATGGTTCTTAAGCTAGCTCTCCGCTGCCTCATACAAATGGGGTACCAGTGTACATTTGGAATACTTCAGGCTGGTAGTTATGGTGTAGCACAAACCCGTAGAAGGTAATGTACATTTTTTGTCAAATATTTTTGTTTTGCTTTGTGTGTTATCAGGCCAAATATTTTCATAACAAATATGTTGTGACTTTTACTGACTTGAAATTTCAAACATAGATTTCTATAATCCAAATTTTCTCTAGGTTTTCTATGTTTAATAAGGTACTTAATTTTCATTTTAGGGCTATTATTTTAGCCGCAGCACCAGGAGAGAAGCTACCATTCTACCCAGAACCATTACACGTGTTTGCTCCTAGAGCCATGGCTCTATCTGTTGTTGTAGATGAGAGGAAGGTATATATATACATGTATTTTCTAACTTGATAATTTACTCTATCTGTTGTCTTCAGCAAATGTTTCTATCTATAAGACAGAAGATATATTTAAAACAAACAAAAAAACAATGTAGTTTGACTAGAATTTGTTTTACTTAAGAAATAATATATCCCAAACAGTGATGTTATGGCAAAATAAAATCACTGTTTGGAGTTCTGATGCAAGGAATTATATCACAAAGGCGTAGCCCAAATGATATAATGCACATCTGAATGACAAACAGTGATTTTATCAAATGATAAATCACTGATTTAGATATATTATTTCAATTCAGACAAGACATCCACAAATAAATGCTGCTGTACCATATATCAAGCTAAATGGTGCCTGTTTGTTTCCGTACTTATTTTCAGCACTTCGCACTTTAAATGGTTACATCACAATCATGTCAAATGGTTATGTCACATGTTAAATATAGAACATCAATAGAGATTTTATTGCATAATGACACACGCTCGCGATCCTTCTATGCTCATAAGGGGAAAAATGCGTGTTGTGTTGACTTCAAACCACTATGGTTTGAATTCCCAACAGGGACTTTGGATTCTTTCATGTGAGGAAGCTACCAAGCTAGCTTAAGGAACCTTTGTGGTTTACTCAGGTACCTGTTCTTGTCTGAAATTATGCACAGAAGGACATGTGAGGTCTTTTTTCACCACTAAGACCTGGAAAGTCTATATGACATATTATACTGTGTTGATGGGATGAAGACCCAACCTAGGGGCGTCCGTGGCCGAGTGGTTAAGGTCGTTGACTTCAAATCACTTGCCCCTCACCGCTGTGGGTTCGAATCCCGACAGGGACTTTGGATTCTTTCATGTGAGGAAGCTATCCAGCTAGCTTACGGAACGTCAGTGGTTCTATTCAGGTGCTCGTTCGTGCCTGAAATAATGCACGGAAGGGCACCTGAGGTCTTCCTCCACCAGTAAAGCTGGAACGTCGCGATATGACCTATACTGTGTCGATGTGACTTAAAACCCAACCAAAAAAAAATGTATTGCATATTTATGTAAAATTGAAATATTTTTCTTGGCAGCTGTTACAATGGTAAAACTGAATCTGTATAGCAAGTCTACATATATTTACTGTGCAACTTTACACTTGATTTTTACCAATCAACTTTCATATTTTCTTAATTATATTACTAAAATTGATATGGACTGTTGCAATCAAAGAGGGGAAATCAATAATGTAAAATCAGTCGTGTAAAGGTTTAAGTTCATATTCTGCATACATTTGTATGTTACAGTTTGTCTCCAATATCACAAGGATGGATGCTGCTCCATTCCGCACAATCACAGTACGTGATACGATGTCCGATCTACCAGAAATAAAGAACGGGGCCAAGGCACAGGAGATATCTTATAATTGTGACTCTCAGACTCACTTCCAGAGAATTGTTAGTATATATATATATATATATATATATGTGATAACTGTCACTGATTAGATTTGCTAATAGATGATTTTAGATGTGTTTGCAGTGAATGGCAGTGTGCTTAATTATTGATATATAGATATCTTTCTAACATAAATGTCCAGTCAACATTTTATTCTATGCTTTAAGATATTTTTTTCAATTTCTTTGGTCAATAAATAAATTACCAGTAACCGTATTATAATTATGAATTAAGTGTAAACCAAAGCAGCTTATGTTAAATATTGTTGAAATACATGAATTGCATAAGTAATAAAGAATTATTTAAGTTTTTTTTCCTGTGATATTTTAGATTCGTGGAAAGCAACACCAGCCTGTATTAAGAGATCATATATGTAAGGACATGAACCCTCTAGTTCATGCTCGTATGCAGCATATCCCACTGGCACCTGGCTCTGACTGGAGATCCCTGCCCAACATGGAGGTGCGACTATCTGATGGAAATAAATGCAAGAAATTGTAAGTAAATTTGCTGTTGAGTTTTAGCATGCTAGTTAATTTATTTCAGTTGGCTGGTGTAAAAAGTATGGTCTTTGAAACTTAAGAAATCTAAAGAATTTAGGATTTCTGGGACAGTTTAATTAGAAATTGCCTATACCTAAGAAAGATGGTTGCTTTGAATACTCTGTACTATAATATGGTGGAAATAAGGGCTGTCATTGATTGAAAATTTTGTATCGATATATCGAGAGACAAATATTGACTTTGACAGTGGATACAATGAAAATCATATATATACTAGTATTTGATATAAATTGGGATCATAGTGTTATGCATACCTTCTCTTTTAAGCCAAAATAGAGAGGTATTTTAACTAACAGAAATAAAAAAAATTTTAGCTTGTATGACATGTGAAAGTATGTACATGTATCGATGTTGTATCTGATGATGAATATCGATGATATATTGATATCGCGATATTCAATGACAGCCCTAGTGGAAATCCAGTATTCAGAATAAACTTATTTTGATATTGATTTTATTTTGATGTATTATAATAGTCAAATGAATTCAATTATAAATTTTACAGTGAAAGATATAAATTATATTTCACTGATAGAAGTCTGTATTTTATTGATATGTAATATATTACAGGAGATACACACACCATGATAAGAAGAATGGTAAAAGTGAGAATGGAAATTTACGAGGAGTGTGTTCGTGTGCCGAGGGAAACGCATGTGATCTGATGGACCGGCAGTTTAATACCCTGGTACCTTGGTGTCTTCCGCACACTGGTAACCGGCACAATCATTGGGCTGGGCTGTATGGGCGACTGGAGATGGATGGTTTCTTTAGCACAACAGTGACCAACCCTGAACCTATGGGAAAACAGGTAGGTTGGGTTTTTCTTTTGTGACATTTAACCAGGCATCCAAATTTGAAAATCTTGATTATTAGATTTGCAATTGGGTGTTTGTCTATGGTCAAACGGGTTGTTGACGGTCAATAACTTAGAGTTAGAAATGAGATATTGTAGTAAGTTTTATTATATGACAAGGTTATGTTGAGACCTTGCTTGGGATTGCTTTTGGGCTCTTTGGGATCAAGGTAACTGTTACATAAAGTAGAAAAATGGTTTCCAGATGGAAAACCTGGTTCCATTACATTGCCCTGATTCTTGTGTTCAGCTGTAACATTAGGAAGTTTACATTTAACACGCTTACAATTTCTTTTGTAAATTAAACAATTTTAGATATCATTAGGTAATACACAGTTAGGTTTACATTGTAGTTTGTTTATTATTGAAATATTGCAAATGAGATTGCATGATATTAATTATTATTACAATTAGACTCAAAGCTATAGTTAGTCGCACAGTGTTTTGATATTGAGAAGTCATTGCTTTTAATAAAGAAAAAAAAAGAGTAAAATTTGCCATGTTGTAATTTGTCTAAATTATAAATGATTTTATATTTACGACAGGGAAGAGTTTTACATCCTGAGCAGCACAGAGTGGTCAGTGTTAGAGAATGTGCCCGGTCACAGGGTTTCCCAGATACATACAGGTTCTATGGTACAATATTAGACAGGCATAGGCAGGTTAGTATACTGAGTGATAATAACTGGTTAATTACTTCAACTGTAGTTCAACTTTAACTGGTTAACTTGTAATACATTCATGAAGTTATAACAGACTGCATTCTTTTGGGTACCTCATCTGTTATGATATTGTCCATTCAGTCTGACCAGGCTTCCTAGCTTACAGAATGTTGGTGGTTCTACTCCTGGGCCTGTTCATGCCTGAAATAATACATGGAAGGGCACCCGAGGTTTTCCTCGACCAATAAAGCTGGAAAGTCGCCATGTAACCCAATCAAACAAACTGACCAGGCTCCACTGATGGTTTCATTAACAAAAAAATGATTTTTATATTGAAATCCCCAAAACTCCCTATGGGACAGTTATTAATTGAAATTATGATTAGTTAATTACACAAATTTCAGCTTGGTAAAAGATATTTTAGCATATCAATCTCTTTTTTAGCATATCAATCTCTATTTTAGCATATCAATCTCTATTTTAGCATATCAATCTCTATTTTAATATTTTAACATATCAATCTCTATTTTAGCATATCAATCTCTATTTTAGCATATCAATCTCTATTTTAGCATATCAATCTCTATTTTAATATTTTAACATATCAATCTCTATTTTAACATATCAATCTCTATTTTAGCATATCAATCTCTATTTTAGCATATCAATCTCTATTTTAGCATATCAATCTCTATTTTAATATTTTAACATATCAATCTCTATTTTAACATATCAATCTCTATTTTAGCATATCAATCTCTATTTTAACATATCAATCTCTATTTTAATATTTTAACATATCAATCTCTATTTTAACATATCAATCTCTATTTTAACATATCAATCTCTATGTAATTGTATACCAGCTAAGGAAATATTAATCAGACCCACTGTTAACAAATTGATATGAAAAAATACTTGATACTAATTTGAATCCATTGCTTTATGCATTTACAGTGGTGTAAGACTAAGTCAATTTAGTTTAAATGCTGCCTGAAATTTGTGAGTGGAGAGTATAAGCTGCTTGTCCACTTTACTTAATAGGGATAGGGGGACATCTTACTGTAAACAAAACAATAGAGTTCATTATAATTATAATAGTGTGAAGAGCCAATGGCCTTTTATCAAACAAAAGAAATGGCCCCTTACACCTATTGGCCCGATGTCCTTCCTACATTCCCATTTATTTCCCCTTCTTCAAAGCATCTTCATTAATTGATCAATGTCTAATATATTTGATATGTTGATACCTTCCATCGACTTCTAGACTTGGTTTGAGTTTCAGTTTGATTTGGGCCGAAGTAAAGGCTAAAGATTTTCGTAATGTAACAATCTCAACTCTGTTAGAATGTTTGTTTAACCCTTTCAAGTATGTCAGTTAACTATTTAACACAGTTATTAGGCCACTGTATGAAGGGTTAGCATTTTTGCTAAGCATGACACCCCTATTATTAAGTAAGCATGCAAAGTGCAATTTTAAGTTTAAAAATCATTTTTTGTCTCATTTTGACATGTTTTGTTAGTGAATAATGTGATATACAATGTATATTATTCTACAGGTTGGTAATGCTGTCCCACCACCTATGGCACGTGCTATTGGACTTGAGATCAAGAAGTGTTTGATCACCAAAGCTACAGAAGAACCATGTACAGACAATATGACCGAGGGAAAGCAGGAAAGTAAAGTTGAAGACATGGAAGTGAAGAAGGAGGATAAACCTGGTTCAAGTTGTTAGCATGAAAAAAAAATAGTGATTAACAAACTTCTATAAATAATAAAGTGATGAACTGTGTTAAAATGATAAGCAACAGATCAAGTGACACAATTTTTTTTTATTGAAAAAAAAAATCATTATTCAAACACTTAATAATTATCAATAAATGTATAAAACCTCTGAAAACCGGACTTTTGGCCAAGTCCTGACAGGGTCCGGTTTTCAGATTTTTTACTGTATTTTAATAATTACATATAATATGTACAAATATTTGCAGTATATATTTTACATATTCTTCGATGTTTGAAAATTGTTTTATAAGCGTAATTATATACATATAACTTACACGTAATTTCATTTAAGTGTGGTATGCAACCTAAATCACAACATACAGGATTTTTAACCCATTACTGCATGAGCATTTTGTGAAAAATGGCTGTTCATTGAAAAGTCTCCCGTTACAAGTTCAAATTGTTATAAAACTATAAAAACTGCTTCAGTACTAATCAAACTTGGCACAAATGTTGACTGGACCATTTACTTTGTAACGACATGCTCAGTCCTAAATTTCCTGTTACATTGGCAACGAGGGGACATCTCAAAATTGCCAAACAATCATATTTTGTGTTGATAATGGATTATGAATATTTTCTAGAATTTTTAAGTTATTTTAATGATAAAGTTGTTTTTCAATGAACTTGATGTGATTAACCTATAATCGATAATTAATATTGTCAGTACCGATAAATTTGGGCAGAAAATTGATAATGAGGTATATGAGCAATTTGGATTTAATGCCCTTTATGTAAATCAGGATTTATTTGTACATAATGTATCTTGAAAACAGATGATGTAATGAAATAGTGCTGTTGATATTAAATTTGTATTTCAAAATGTGTTTTGTTGGATTTCTTTAATTGCTATGTCATGAGTTTAAGTTCAAGTTTATTTCAATATTCCATTGGACCAAATGGTCCATGAGGATAAACAGATACATGATACATGACAAGACAGTGTAAAGCATATACATACAATAACATGTGTAAATGGAGAAGGTATACACAAAATTGTATATCATCAATTAAAATGAACATCGAAACAAAAGGACATTCAACTTAACCTAATGTTAAATAAATTACCACTGTCTAGCAAAACTTACAGATGACTTATGTCATATGATAATTGAAATTAAATAAGGATTTTTTCAGGGCCCTTATGTTTTTAACACTCGCCAGAGCATAAAGTTCTCGTAGAAAGCTTTTGTAATTGCAAGTTGTACATAATTTCTCCAATACTGTAGGGTGGATTTTGACAAAACCACACATGAATGATCTTGGGTTGGCAGACCCTCTTAATAACATTTAAATATAGGAGTAGTTTGAGTCTGGTGTTTAAGTAGGTCACAAGAGCAAGAATATAAACTGAATTCTTTTAAAAAAATCAGTAATTACAATGCCCAAGGTTTAGAAATTTGGCATTTACCATTGCATATGGTCTCCTAAAAATTAATACAAATCGTAACCATGGGGTGAAAGTTGTCCCCATTTTAGGGGTCACTTTGATTATATTGGTTTTTATTAGAAAAACCTTTTAGTACTACATGTATATGAAACTACAATGCCCAGAGCAAAGATTCAATTTATTTGGCATGTAGCAGTCTGGTGGACCTCCACAGACGTTAAATCATGCCTATTGGGTCAAAAATGTCCCCGTCGTAGATAACATTTTAACAGTACATATATATTAAAAAAGTATCTGATCAGGAACTTCACAGCACAGATGTTAGATAATTTGGCATGTTGCATTGCTTGGTGGACCTTTACAATGTGTATATAGATCATTCCCCTAGTGCTAATGTCCCAAACACTTGTCACTTCGTTTACATAGACTTGTTTAGTAAATAAATAATACTATTTTTGTAGTTAAAATATTTTGTTAGAAATAAATTTTCTTGTGGGAAACTATAATTCTTAGCCTATAGCATTGCCTTATGCAGAACCACTGCGAGTTTCATGCTATGAAAATTTAGCTATTTTCTTGTTATTAGCTCGCCTGTCACAAAGTGACAGGGTGAGCTTTTGTGATCGCTTTTCGTCCGATGTCCGTCCGTAAACTTTTACTTTAAATGACATCTCCTCATAAACCACTAAGCCAATTTCATCAAAACTTCACAGGAATGTTCCTTTGGTGGTCACCTTTAAAACTTGTTCAAAGAATTTAATTCCATGCAGAACTCTGGTTGCCATGGCAACGGAAAGAAAAAACTTTAAATATCTTCTTTTAAAAACCCAAAGAGCTAGAGCTTAGATATTTGACATGAATCATCTTCTAATCAGTGTCTACCAAGTTTGTTCAAATAAAAGCCCTGGGGTCAAAATTGGCCCGCCCCAGGGGGTCATTCATTTTCCCTATATGCATATAGTAAAAACTTAAAAAAATCTTCTTTTAAAGAACCCAAAGGGCTAGAGCTAAGATATTTAGCATGAAACATCTTCTAATGAGTGTCTACCAAGTTTGTTCAAATAAAAGCCCTGGGGTCAAAATTGGCCCGCCCCAGGGGGTCATTGATTTTTTCCAATATGCATATAGTATAAAACTTAAAAAATCTTGTTTGAAAAAACCCAAATAGCTAGAGTTTAGATATTTAGCATGAAACATCTTCTAGTGAGTGTCTACAAAGTTTGTTCAAATAAAAGCCCTGAGGTCAAAATTGGCCCGCCCCAGGGGTCATTGATTTTCCCTATAAGCATATAGTAAAAACTTAAAAATCTTCTTTTAAAGAACCCAAAGAGCTAGAGCTAAGATATTTAGCATGAAACATCTTCTAATGAGTGTCTACCAAGTTTGTTCAAATAAAAGCCCTGGGGTCAAAATTGGCCCCGCCCCAGGGGGTCATTGAATTTTCCTATATGCATATAGTAAAAACTTAAAAAGTCTTGTTTGAAAAAAACCCAAATAGCTAGAGTTTAGATATTTAGCATGAAACATCTTCTAGTGAGTGTCTACAAAGTTTGTTCAAATAAAAGCCCTGGGGTCAAAATTGGCCCCGCCCAGGGGTCATTGATTTTCTTATATGTGTATAGCCTAAAACTTAAAATCTTCTTTGAAAAACCCAAATAGCTAGAGTTTAGATATTAAGCATGAAACATCTTCTAGTAAGTGTCTACAAAGTTTGTTCAAATGAAAGCTCTGGGGTCAAATCTGTTCCAAGTTTGTTCAAAGAAAAGCCATGGGTTTAAACTGGCCCCACTCCGGGGGGCCTATATACAGGTGAGAGACCTCAGGGCCATCATGGCCCTCTTGTATTTTATATTGTGCATATTAAATGAGTGAAAAATTTGTATTTGATTTTATTTCAAATTTTTATTTTGTATTTTCTGATTTATAATGCACACTATAAAATGCACCTGCTCAAGGTCGGGTCAAATATCTGATAATTTGCCTCAAATGATCACAACAAGGTGGTGTGCAGGACTTGTGCCACACCGCTGTGCCAGTCCAAGGTCACCTTTGTGTCCATACAGTTACTTAGCTCATAATAATGATAAATCAGACGCAGATCAAGGATTCTTTTTACTTTAGGAGGTTGCAAAATGTTGACAAGAGGCAATGCATATTCGGGTTTTGCACTACTGCAGTATACTAGCTTTTCTAGGGAGGCTCATAAGCAAATTTATTTTTATCGCTGAAAATCTGCAAGTGCTTGGAATTCGTGTACTAGTAAAAGTATCTTAGGTATTTTTTTTTCTTAAACATTCTAGTCGAATCTGGGGTGTGTTGGGGGATGAGTCGTTGGATCATCGTATGACAATTTAAAATACATGAGGATAAAAGAATCATCTTGGTGATCCATTCCTAGATCTATATGGTGGAGAGGGGGTGGGTATTGTGAACCGCATATGGATCTCAAAATTAAGCATCGGTAAAAAAAATATGTGATATCGTCCGGTGCTAAGATTTCGTAAATCTGTACTTTGAGTCCGTTTAGCGACATTCTGTGTACGTTGGCAACATTTTTTTTTAAAACGCATTGAAAGTATTAGACACACCAGAACCCACGACGGGAAGAATACGTCGACGAAGACTGCATAAAAAATCGGTAACAAAAATTTGTAAATATTGAGAAAAGTCAGGAGGGTAAAATCATATTTCGATTTTCTTTAAAAAAAAAAAAAGCTTTGAATTTTATAAAAATGTTTAAAAAGTTTGAAAACTTACCCTGTCATTGGCCTAGTTTCATTTTTTCTACAAATGGTGTTATAGTGCAGAAAATTCACAGATATTTTTATACCGATGCACAATTTTTGAGATCCATATGGGATTCGCGCCGGCCCCTCCCCCCCCCCCTTTCCCCACGCCCCCTTGAACAAGCACTCTTCACCACATCAGTATTAATAATGTTTCCTTTTAAAGCATTATGTTTTACACCCAATTAAAGCATTATGTTTGACACCCAATTAAAACTATCGCGTTGCAATTTCGTCTTGGGTGGACTGTGTAGCTCTAGAGACAACACACTATCATTCTTTCTAATACTCACGCGAGGCCATTAAGAAAAGGGGAAACCGGGGATAGTTAATACATGGGGTGAGTTGTTACTCTCCGGACGCCACATTTGACGTACATTTAAACATTTATAAATATCATTGATGGACTTTGTATTAACACGCTTACAATTTCTTTTGTAAATTATATAAGTTTAGATATCATTAGCTTATACACAGGTTTACTTTGTACATTTTTTATTATTGAAATATTGCAAATGAGATTGCATTATATTAATTATTAATACAATTAAATCCAAAGCTATAGTTTGTCACACATTGTTTTAATATTGAGAAGTCAATGTTTAAAAAAAGAGTAAAATTTGCCGTGTCATAATTTGTCTAAATTTTAAATGATTTTATATTTACAACAGGGAAGAGTTTTACATCCTGAGCAGCACAGAGTGGTCAGTGTTAGAGAATGTGCCCGGTCACAGGGTTTCCCAGATACATACAGATTCTATGGTACAATATTAGACAGGCATAGGCAGGTTAGTATACTGAGTGATAATAACTGGTTAATTACTTCAACTGTAGTTCAACTTTAACTGGTTAACTTGTAATACATTCATGAAGTTATTACAGGCTACATTCTTTTGGGTACCTCATCTGTTATGATATTGTCCATTCAGTCTGACCAGGCTTCCTAGCTTACAGAATGTTGGTGGTTCTACTCCGGGGCCTGTTCATGCCTGAAATAATACATGGAAGGGCACCCGAGGTTTTCCTCGACCAATAAAGCTGGAACGTCGCCATGTAACCCAATCAAACAAACTGACCAGGCTCCACTGATGGTTTCATTAACAAAAAAATGATTTTTATATTGAAATCCCCAAAACTCGCTATGGGACAGTTATTAATTGAAATTATGATTAGTTAATTACACAAATTTCAGCTTGGTAAAAGATATTTTAGCATATCAATCTCTATTTTAACATATCAATCTCTATGTAATTGTATACCAGCTAAGGAAATATTAATCAGACCCACTGTTAACAAATTGATATGAAAAAATACTTGATACTAATTTGAATGTATTTCTTTTATGCATTTACAGTGGTGTAAGACTAAGTCAATTTAGTACTATTGCTGCCTGAAATTTGTTAGTGGAGAGTTTAAGCTGCTTGTCCACTTTACTTAATAGGGATAGGGGGCCATCTTACTGTAAACAAAAAGAAAGAGAACAATAGAGTTCATTATAATTATAATAGTGTGAAGAGCCAATGGCCTTTTATCAAACAAAAGAAATGGCCCCTTACACCTATTGGCCCGATGTCCTTCCTACATTCCCATTTATTTCCCCTTCTTCAAAGCATCTTCATTAATTGATCAATGTCTAATATATTTGATATGTTGATACCTTCCATCGACTTCTAGACTTGGTTTGAGTTTCAGTTTGATTTTGGCCGAAGTAAAGGCTAAAGATTTTCGTAATGTAACAATCTCAGCTCTGTAAGAATGTTTGTTTAACCCTTTCAAGTATGTCAGTTAACTATTTAACAGTTATTAGGCCACTGTATAAAGGGTAAGCATTTTTGCTAAGCATGACACCCCTATTATTAAGTAAGCATGCAAAGTGCAAATTTAAGTTTAATAAGCATTTTTTGTCTCATTTTGATGAGTTTTTGATAGTGAATAATGTGTGATATGTTATTTTACAGGTTGGTAACGCTGTCCCGCCACCTATGGCACGTGCTATCGGACTTGAGATCAAGAAGTGTTTGATTGCCAAAGCTACAGAAGAACCATGTACCGACAATATGACAGAGGGAAAGCAGGAAAGTCAAGATGATGACATGGAGGTGAAGAAGGAGGATAAACCTGGTTCAAGTTGTTAGCATGAAAAAAATAAATAAAGTGATTAACAAACTTCTATAAATAATAAAGTGATGAACTGTGTTAAAATGATAAACCAGAGATCAAGTGACACAATTTTTTTTTTGAACAAAATCATTGTATAAACATATAATAATTATCAATAAATGTATAAAACCTCTGAAAACCGGACTTTTGGTCAAGTCCTGACAGGGTCCGGTTTTCAGATTTTTTACTGTATTGTAATAATTACATATAATATGTACAAATATTTGCAGTACATATTTTACATATTCTTCGATGAATAATTTCACTTAAGTGTGGTACACAACCTCAATTACAACATACAGGATCTTATTAACCCATTACTGCATGAGCATTTTGTGAAAATTGGCTGATTTCATTGAAAAGTCTCCCGTTACAAGTTCAAATTGTTATAAAACTATAAAAACTGCTTCAGTACTAATCAAACTTGGCACAAATGTTGACTGGACCATTGCCTTTGTAACGACATACTCGGTCCTAAATTTCCTGTTACATTGGCAACGAGGGGACATCTCAAAATTGCCAAAAATCACTATTTTGTGTTGATAATGGATTATGAATGTTTTCTAGAATTATTAAGTTATTTTAATGATAAAGTTGCATATCAATTAACTTGATGTGATTAACCTATAATCGATAATTAATATTATCAGTTCCGATAAATTTGGGCAGAACATTGATAATGAGGTATATGAGCAATGTGGATTTAATGCCCGTTATGTAAATCAGGATTTATTTGTACATATTGTATCTTGTAAAACAGATAGTGTAATGAAATAGTGCTGTTGATATTAAATTTGTATTTCAAAATGAGTTTCTTTGATTTCTTTAATTGCTATGTCATATGATTATTGAAATTAAATTAGGATTTTTCAGGGGCTTTATGTTTTTAACACTCACCAGAGCACATGGCCTGGGTTCCAGTCTGTCGATTTTTTATGTGCCTCTGTTCGGCAAATCGACACTTTGATATTGATGTTGTGTTATCTATGACGATCGAGTATGAATATGAATAAGCAAAAAACATCAACGCCTGAATCCCTGGCTACAGAGCAGAAAGCTTTTGTAATGTAATTGCAAGTTGTACATAATTTCTTCAAAACTAGGGTGGATTTTGACAAAACCACACATGAATGATATTGGGTGGCAGGCCCTATTAAAGTATGTCACAATAGCAAGAAAATAAACTGAATTCTTAAAAAATATATATATATAAATAATTAGTAATTACAATGCCCAAAGTTTAGAAACTCGGCATGAAGCGTTTCATATGATCTCTTAAAAAATTAATACAGGTCATAACCTTTGGGTGAAAGTTGTCCCCACTTTAGGGGTCACTTTGATTATATTGGTTTTTATTAGAAAAACGTTTTAGTATTGTATGAAACTACAATGCCCAGAGCAAAGATATACAATTTATTTGGCATGAAGCATTGTCTGGGGGACCTCCTCGGACGTTAAATCATGCCTATTGGGTCAAAAATGTCACTGTCCCAGTAAGTACTATTTTTATAGTTAAAATATTTTATGTTAAAAATAAATTTTCTTGTGGGAAACTATAATTCCTAGAGATAAATTATTAGCCTGTAGCATTGCCTTATGCAGAACCACTGTGTCAGTGTTGTGCTATGAAAAATTAGCTATTTTCTTGATATATTTTATAATGTGCATATTAAATGAGTGAAAAATTTGTATTGAATTTCGTTTTTATTTTGTATTTTCTGATTTAAAATGCGCAATATAAAATGAGCCTACTCGGGTCCAGGTCAAATATCTGATAATTTGCCTCAAATGACCACAAGGCGGTGTGCAGGACTTATGCCACGCCGCTATGCCAGTTCAAGGTAACCTTTGTGTCCATACTGTTACTTAGCTCATAATAATGATAAATCAGACGCAGGTCAATGATTCTTTTTACTTTAGGAGGTTGTAAAGTGTTGACAAGAGGCAATGCATATTCGGGTTTTGCACTATTCTAGAGAGAGTCATAAGCAAATTTATTTTTATTGCTGAAAATCTGCAAGTGCTTGGAATTCGTGTACTAGTAAAGTATCTTATTTTATGCATATTCTAAAACATTCTAGGCGAATCTGGGGTGTGTTGGGTCAACGTATGACAATTTAATTTGTATCTATGTCATGGAGATGGGATATCTAATTTTTCAACTTTTTCATGCGATTTGTTTAACAATGCTTAAACTAAATCAATCAGTTTTCCACCATGTATCTAATCTTGCTTTACAAACTTTGTAATTATAATGATAATCATAAATTGGTAAGGAATTTATGTGTTAAGTAGACTCAGTATATCTATACTCGTATAAGAGAATAAAGACAACGTGATCTCGAGGGAATTTAGAAAAAAAAACAATGTAAAACTTTCCCTCAAAACCCTTTCATACAACGTGCACAAAATTGCACGAGATACGGACAAAGTTGAATTGTCTCGGACGTTTCCGTGTATTTCCGCTAATAGGCGTACGCTACGGAACCGTCCGATACAATACAATTTCAGACGATAGCAGACGCCACGGAAACAAATGACATCCGAAGCATGCGCGGACATTGGACTAATTGACGAATGACATTCATTAATTAACTTAATGTTAGAATGGCGAAAGTCTGTGAAATTCCAACGAGTACGTATGTTTAAATCTAACGACAGTCAAGTTAAGTGCCATTATATTAATATCAACCCCTTTACCCACATTGCTAGAAAGAACGGTCCCGTCTAATTATTTGTCGTGTTACCCTTATTCCTTAAGCAAGGAATTTTGACATCAGTTATTGAATTGTCTATTATGTCATTTATCTACTTGCGGTAATAATGATAAAAAAAGATAAAATACATGAGGATAAAAGAATACAGTTTAACTACAGGATTATAAAACGATAGTCTCCGCTATGACCAAAGATTACCAATGTTGAAACCAGTAGAAATGTGCCAGTTGCGCCAAGAAAAATGTACATATTACTTGTGTATATCGCCGATATTAATATCATAATTACAGTAGTTTCTTTTCTTTTCGTTTTAAACACACTCATTTATAAGAAAGATCTCCCTAATGCGTACTTTAATCAAACCACACACGTTGTTCACAGTTTATGGTGTTTTGAAGGTAATTAAAATGTTTGATACTTTGTACATTGTATATCTTGTAGGCAATAAGAAGTATTTCTAAATGTTTACCCAAAATATGAACATTCAATTTTGTATTTTATGTACTCATCATCTTGGTGAGCCATTCCTTTATCAACACTGAGGAGAGGGGGTGGGTGGTGGGTATTCTGAACCGCACATGGATCTCAAAATTGAGCATCGGTAAAACATATGTGATATCGTTTGATTGTAAGATTTCGTAAATCTGTATTTTGAGTCGGTTTACCGACATTCCGAGTACACTGGAGACATTTTCTTAATGCGCATTGAAAGTTTTAGACACACCAGATCGGGAACAAAAATTGGTAAATATTGAGAAAAGTCAGGAGGGCAGAATCATATTTCGACTTTCTTTAAAAAAAAAACTTTGAATTTTATATATACCGATGCGCAATTTTGAGATCCATATGGGGTTCGCCCCCCCCCCCTCCCCCCTTTGATCAAGCATTCTTCTCCGCGTCAGTATTAATAAGGTTTCCTTTAAAAGCATTATATTTTACAACCAATTAAAGCATTATGTTTTACCATTTAAAACTATCGCGTTGTTATTTCGTCTTTTATATTAAAAATATCATTTCCCTATCACGTATGAAGTATAAAGATATTTTTATATGATATTTTACAAAGATGTACACAGGATGATGGTATTCATGTGAGTCATATGTATACACGGCTAATATACTTAATTTTTACATGACATACATACACATGCAAAACAACAATACAAATTGACGGTTTCGTGATTATACCGGTATATGAACTTAAATTGATATGGCCTAAAAATGTGTATTTTGGGAAAATGTTTTGTATATATTCATAATGATTTCCTCCCCTCAAAGCTGAATGGACTACAGAAACCGATATACTGCACGAAAATACCGTGCATCAATGTCATGCTTTACTAAATATATAGACGTTGACTACGTTACATTCAGAAAATAATTTCCTTTTAATTTGTTCCTTAAACGAAATAAATTATATTGATACCAGAAAGTATTTGGTAACACCGAGTTCCAGATTTTAACAGATTAAGTGATGCTTTTAACATGGATTATTTTTGTTTAAATCCCAGATTTTTCTAAAATTTCGCAATTCGCTATACAAATCCATGATTGCCGATGAACGATTTCGAATTTAAAACGGCATTAATTTCTGAAATAATGGAACTGCGAATCAAATGGATACAGCTGCTGTTTTGAGACCGGGCTAACGTTAAAAATGAGCGTTAATGCTGCAGATTTTGTTTTAAAATTTTTTTTCCAAGAAAAAATTTTGACAAAAATCAAGGACTTTAATTGAAGTCCATGCAAAAATGCAATAAATTTTATTTATTAGGAGCTGACTTTGATAAGACTGATGTATTTTGCGCTCGTTGAGCCATTTCGCAACTTTACAAACTTTTCGGCTCTTTCCAACTTAGCATGATAGTCGAGGTATTCCGATTACGTTTGACTCTCTAAAAGAAGGTGCGAAAATTGAAACCAGACATTGACAGCTGCTACAAAAAAAGACTCCAAAAAAAGTAAGAAAAATGTCAACGTATGACATTGACATACCTTTCATTGTGCACTTTTCGAGTTTTCAATAATTATACTGTAGGTGATTATTAAGTAGAAGGCACATTATGTATTAGAAACGCATATTAATGACCTGTGACATCTATCTGCAGATCTGCATGCATGACAATGTAGATATATAACTATAACTCCATAATTTTCCCACTAAATTATAAATTATTGGTACCAAAATGGTAGGGAATCGATTGCTCTTAAAGTAAACAAAGCTGTCATTAGTGATTACAATGATTTAAAGTAATATGAAAGTAAGCAAACAACGAACGGGGAAGTCAAATAAAAAACTGATCATTTTATATTTTCCATTTTAAAAGTGACATTTGGTATTGTATGCACTGCATATTTTTACACTGGTCTCAAGCGCACGGCATCTTTGACAGGAACCATAATAGAACTAGGAACCAGACTATGCTTCCATTTTCAATCAGCTAGATCTAATATTGTTTACTTTTAAATCGAAACGTTGCAATTAGTGCATTATTAGAATACTCACCATTTATCATTTCCTTACAGCGCCCAACATGAAATGACACTGAAAATTTCACTGATAGTTATTGAATTCAGTATGTCTTTTAAATTGTTTAAAATCTAATTTCCTTTTAAATGAACGCGTCTAGTCTTTGCGGCCCCTGGCTTTGACTTAACCATAATAAGTAGATATACAATGTATATCAAAGTCAGCGCAATTTTAGGTCAACAGAGAATGTGACAGCTGGGTTTTTGTGGAATGTACCGACTGTATTGCGCATTTAAGTATGATAAAATAAAATTATTATTTGTAACAACTGTTCAATCAAATCATCATATGGAACTATAACAAACCTTTTTTCTTATATGTCAAATATTGAAAGTAACATACTTGTGCAGCAGATTGCTCCACTGACTTTATTTTCATTGGTCATGTGAAAACTGTTCATAATTTAACTATGCATGTGCATGTAATGATGTATCAAAAACAAACATTTTATGTTGCATAATTGACACTGTAAACTTTATCAACTTTGTGACAAAAGATGTTTTTACATTCAAGTTACACATTGGCACATATAATGATAATCACATTTAACATTGCTGTATAAAAAAGCCCTTTTTATGCATTGAACACATTGCACAGTACAAATTTCACAATTTCCAAAGACCTGTAGCATCTTGAATATTACATGTTGTACAGAACCGGAATTTTGTAGTCTACCAAATGAATTGGGATAATGGCAAAGCTGCAGTCTACCACCAAAATTGGGATAGTCAAAAAGCTGTAATATACCAACAAAATGGGGATGGTCGAAAAGCTGCAGCATACCATCTGAATTGGGATAATGGCAAAGCTGCAGTCTACCAATTGAATTGGGATGTTTGAAAAGCTGCAGCATACCAACTGAATTGGGATAATGGCAAAGCTGCAGTCTACCAATTGAATTGGGATGTTTGAAAAGCTGCAGTCGACCAACTGAATTGGGATGTTTGAAAAGCTGCTGTCTACCAATTGAATTGGGAGGGTTAAAAAGCTGTGCAGTCTACTAGCTGAATTGGGATGGTTGAAATGCTGCAGTCTACCAATTGAATTGGGGATGGTCGAGAAGCTATAGTCTGCAGCAACTGAATTGGGATAGTTCACATGTATGGAACCGCAGATTCTTGAGTGTTATCCCTCTTCATCTGTTCATCATTGTTTATCACCTAAGTTAACTTAAATCATGGCGCTAAACTAGGGCAACTTTTAGGTCCCATACCCCCAAATATTTTGTTTGAACATTTTGATCTTTGTGCAGTTGACTATATGTTTTGATCTGACATCTTATTGTTGATGTATTTTCCATTGTCAATTATTTTCAACAAATTTGCCTTTCCCAGCCTTGTACTTTTAGAAAATTGTGCGAAACCCCTCCTTTAACCTTCCTTATGCAAATAATATTAAAGCCATTTTTTTATGTGCCAGTTTTAGATATCTTTGCATATATACCTGACTTTGCATAAAATGAATTTAATCTTCTTGATGTGTTCCAAGTGGATTTGGATTTGCAAAAATATACAGGTGTGATGAATGGAGGGGTTTTCATAAAAAATTCTGTGTTAGCACCTATTTTAATAGTTTGCAATACTATATGACAAGTGTATACTGGCGACTGACGCTTGACTACATGTACATGACTGGAAGACACATGACAATTTTAATTAATTTTTGCCTTTAACTAAAATACTAGTTTGTGAATGTTCGCATGCAAAATTTTGTACTTCAAGTTTTATGATGTTATATTCTAATTTGTATCACACTATAAAATAGTAGGTGACACTAATGTGAGAGAAAATGTGTACATGTAAGCACTAAGTGAGCACTATATTTGGTACAGCTGTAGACCTTTGTACTAGTTAGGCTGCACATTTTTTGTGACATTTGCAACTATGTGATAACAGCTGTATTGCTTAACTTTTCAAATTTGGTAATATCAATTTTTTTGCAAGTTAGTATTATCTCAAATATTTTTTACTTTAATAAGTCTTTCTTAACATTAATTGATAACTTAAAAAGATGATATTTAATGTAAATGAAAAATTGAAAATCACTGTGCCTTCTTAATACATAGGGGATAAGTATGATAATTTACATTTTTAGGAATTTTTGTTATTCATTACAATATGATTATTTGGTCTGTTTGTTTTGCTTTTGTAGCCATTTTTCGTGATTAAATGTCTGTAAGTGAGATAGTTGGACAGTCAAGGCAGTGTCTGGCAAGACTTGCTGCATTGTCTGTCTGTAATTCTGGCTCACCAACCAGAGGCTGTCAACAGAATGTGAGTCCTTAAATCTTTGCACAACATAGTCAACAACATGGAAGTAAATCTCCTGAACTGGATAATATGAATTTGTTGTCATCTTTTCTTGAATTCTATCATACGTATTAATTCTTTAGAAAAAGCTAAAGTGTCTAAATTGTTATGCAGATTTAGATTAGGGACGTTTATTATTAAATTCTTGTGAAATGAATGTATAGATATTTAAAATCATAATAATTATGACAAAATATACATATAGGCCTAGCTTGCTTATGGCACATTGTGTTGATAGTATTACCATATGCTGCAGGCATACATTGCCTGGAATTGTGTGACTGCTTAATAATACACTATCAGTTGGCTTACATGCAGTTTATTCGGCTAAAACGTAGGACTTCTTTTAATAGTAGGAGATTTACTTTAATGTTCTGACAGATATAGTGCTGTGTTACTAAAACAATTATGTTGAGTTTATCTGTTTTGGTGTGATTTGCTGCCTATGAGCATGAACTACCATTATACTAGTTTAGATTTAGATTCTCACATTCATTCTTTTTTGGTTTCTAAAATGATTTTCTCCCTTTGCTCTGTTTTGATCCAAAGTTTAGGTTTGCAAACTGATGCTATTTGAATTAAAAATAAATCTTTCTTGCTTTCATTTACACTTTCTTTGCATTGCTTACAGTGCTTGCAACTTGTGGAGAAAATAAAGGTGATTATAGTGATCAGAGCTGCATTACTGGTACTGGTACTGCAGTACGTACTGCAGCGATTTTGCAAGTACTGGTACTGATACTGAATTACTCTTACAAAATTTTGCTACTACTGGTACTGGTACTGCATTACTGTCTTAAAAAGTGGTACTGCTACTGCATTACCCAGTACTTTTGGTTTTGATAAAAATTAAAAATAGCATCAATTTTTCTCATAAAATAAAGCTGTAAATTACATTAACTATATTTTATTTTTGTGAAAAAGTAAGTTATCAGATCTAAAGATAATTTGCTGCAATATTCCTTCAAATGTTAACATAGTATTCATCATAAAAAGCACCAAAGACTTTAAGTAAAAATTAAACTAAGATAAACAGACTCAATAACTCTTTACCCTAAAATATCCTTATTAAAATCTTTTATTACTCTGTATTTACTAGTAAAAGAGCAAAATAAACACTAATTAATTTCTTCTATTCTAAATAATCCCATTTCAAGTGAAAAAAAGTGATATTGTTAGCACCATAAAAAGTTGTTACTTACTTTGGTGTAAATTGAACAGAGGTGTGAAGGTGTGAGAGGCAACAAAAGACTGTTGTGTTTTAAATGAAAGATGTTTGCATTGTATTTATACAGTTGACTGGTTACTAAACAATTAGATATGACATGAATATATGTTGTAAATATTGTTTGTAAAAAGTATGTTAAAACTATAAAGTTGTAAATAAAGTTGTTAACTTTAAAGTAAATTATGATTTTATTTCATTGATGAATGATATTTGCAATTATTTGTTTGACACTTTATTTATTCAAACTTTGATGAATATGTAAAAGTAATGGTACTGATACTTAATTACTTCACCAAAAAAAGTACTGGTACTGCAGTACCGAGCTAAAATCTAGTACTGGTACTGGTAATGGTACTGCATAATTTGCCAAGTACTGGTACTGGTACTTAAGTACTACAACCTTAGTACTGATGCAGCTCTGATAGTGATATAGAAAAGTTTTTACAATACTTTTAAATTTAAGAAGTTCTATGCTTAAAACAGAAAATTACAATTATTTTTGTTGTTAAAATACAATTTCACTTGAAAACTATAAGGATTTTTCTTCAAATGTACTTTTATTTTAAAATTCAATTTTAATATGCAATAATCTGTTTAGTGTTCAATTTTCTAAATTATTTTTGTACAGTTTTTTTTTTTTTTAAATATTCACATACATGTATGTGACTGATTTATTTTGTGATAAAATTGAGCCCTTTATATATGCTAAATTTGTCCTGCATTGTATTTGTAACAGTCAATTGTAAATGTTATGTATTCTGAAATCAAATTGACAAAATGCTAATTACTGTAAAAAAACTGTCTTTTATCATTAATATTTGATAGACATTGTATATGGTCATTGAATAAGAGTACGCACAAACTAATTTAAAACTATATTTGGTTTGAGAGAATAGCGAGGAAAAATACTAACTAACTATGCTATTGTTATAGAGATTGATGGGTTTGTAGAGGTAGCATTTAGTGGGGAGAAACTTTTATCTTGCTATACATCAATTGTTTGCAACATCTGTCCTCATCCATAGGTCAAGATGTAGAACAGGCCTTAGTCATTTACATATTATACACTTTAAACAATACAAAATGAGGTCAATTCTGTATCCCAAGTGTATTCACAGTATATCTCTAATATCAGATAAGATTTAAATGGTAGTTAAAATTTGACTACAGTACTACTCATAGGGTCAAAAGTTGTGCCTCGCCTAATGAAAATATCATGAAGGAGTTTTATTTATGATAAAATCACTGGCTACTGCAGAATTTATTTTGGCTAACATGTGATAAATAAAAATGATTTAACATTTTTTTGAGAGCTTTACTGCTGGCTTAAGTCTCAAATTTTTAAAGATCCTGTAACACAATTTTTTCATGGTTTTATTTCATAAATATGATGCTCATATTAAGATTTGTCAATATTGTAAGTTCCAATAAGCATTATTTATAAAGATATTACCCAATTTAACATTTCATGTAAATAAAGGGAGGTAATTAGAAATTTATTTTCTATAAATTCTAAGTCAAATTTTGCAATTAGAAATAATTGCCTGTAATTTATTGATTAAATAAAATGTGCACAAATATTTGCAGTACACATTTTACATATCCTTCGATGTTTGAAAATTGTTTTATTTGCATAAATATGTACATATATAATTTTTTGCTAGTGTGGTATTCACACAGTAAAAATATCAATCACAAAACATACAGGATCTTTAATGGTTTATTTTTTCAACCCTTATCAATTAGAATGTGATTAGCATGTGCAGCCAATATAGAGCCAGGCTTAAGTCTGAACATCCTTGCAATCTAAATATACACTTAACAAAAGTTCTAACCGATCACTTTTTAAATTTTAATTATTTTATAACGGGTCAATAGATCCTTATAAAATTTTGCAGATGTGATTTTTGTGTTATTTTCTACCGATTTGCGGAAAGAAAAATAATTTAATACAGTTCCATGCACTCACGCGGGAAACAGGGCGCGGTTTACACATTTTGGCACGAAATGTTCGTGCAGAGTGTGGTGAGTATTAAATTTTACATTGCATAAATCCTTGTTAACTTTATAAGTAAAAAAACATAAAACATGGCACGAATGTCGATGCAGGATCGTGCCGTAGCAGTTGGAATGTTGAATGCTGGAGCCTCTATCAGACAGGTGAGGGGCTGTTCATAAAAATATTTTTTTTTTAAGTATCGATAAATTATTTCAATTGAAAATGTTATAATTTTATTATTCTCAATGTGTTCATTCTCTTCGAAATAAAATAAAAGTCGGATCTATTGGTATTATTCTTTTTCATATATAAGCGAAAACTCAGGGTGATCGGTTAGAACTTTTGTTCAGTGTATGCTGTACTGTACAATGATGTATGCTTTTTTAGCATTTTGAAATTAAAATCCCTTTAAAGTTTAAATGGGCTGTACCAAACTCGAAGCTAGGCATGTCCATTAAACAAAGAAAGTTTAGTAGTTTTAGTAGTGCTGATTAACATGATTAATGTATGAATTGTTATCTGAAGAAATATGTAATACAGCGATAATGCAGCCTTCCTTCCCATGATTGTTACACTTGTGTACTAATATCTTGAACCACTGTGTGTGTTTGCATTAAGATAAATTCACAATCCATTTTGGGTCATGTGCTACTATACTAATACTTTATAGTCCATGTAGTATTGTAGAATTTTGATAGTCACACATCAAGGTAAAAATCATGCACATTAGTTTTGAATTAATTACCTTTTATTTTGAAATAATATTTTGTTTCCACAGTTAGTTATTATATGTTACAAGTTCTTTATATTTACGGTTTTGTTGTATTTGTTTCGTAATTTTATTAAAATGCAGAAATAACATTTATTAGTAGCTCATTGAAATTCAATAGCTTAGTAATTTCAAAAAGTTACTGAATATATAACATGAATATATTTGTACATGTATATAGTTTAAGTCTACCCTTGCATGCAGGGCTTTTTTTCACAAGTTGGGGAAGCAGCCCTGCCCTTAATTTTGGGGGAAAAATTACAGGGTATATTTGCAAAAGGGAAAGGAAAAACTTGATGTAAATTCAATTTTAGGGGGAAAACTGCATGATTTTAAAGAATTTGTCTTTGGGGAAGCAGCCCTATACCGGCCCCTGCTATAGAAGGAAAAAAAGCCCTGGCATGATTCTAAAATTAAAGGTGCTTTCGTATCAGTACAAGTTGTTTTCTTAAAAATGCAATTAGGAGACCATAATTTGATAATCCATAAAAAATCCAGCTTACAATTTTCTTAAACCTGATAAGTTGAGAACAGTATTGTTCTTAACTTTTCGTTAATTTCAAATGAAAAGATTATATGCTATAAATTAAGGACTGAATACAAGTCTTGTAATGTAGAACTATTCCATCTGACAGATGTTAGAAGCTAAATATCTTAAATAGTCTTGTTTATCTTTTTATTTGGACAAAACCATACATCATTTATAGGGAAAATTTCATAGGGAATCATGGCACAAACCTTGATCAGACAGCACAGGTGTGCCACCTTATTTTGGTATGCATTGGTTGTATGGGTAGATTCAGCTTCCGCCACTTGGATAAGGTTAAACACCTAGGATAAATGTTAGCTAATTACGATTGTTGTGTATATATTTCTGTATTTTTACAGAGAAAGATGTCAACTAAAATAAAGATGGCCGATCGCCTTAAAGGCACAGAGAGAAATGTTTGGTAAGTTGGCATTTATAGAAAAGTTAAAGCCACATTATGTCTCAGAAATATATATTCTTTTATTTCTTTTGAAGTGTCAAACATGTATTAAATGATTTTTTAGCTCACCTGTCACAAAGTGACAGGGTGAGCTTTTGTGATGGCTTTTCCTCCGGCGTCCGGGCGTCTGTCCGTAAACTTTTACTTTAAATGACATCTCCTCATAAACCACTAAGCCAATTTCATCCAAACTTCACAGGAATGTTCCTTTAGTGGTCAGCTTTAAAAATTGTTCAAAGAATTTAATTCCATGCAGAACTCTGGTTGCCATGGCAACCGAAAGAAAAAACTTTAAATATCTTCTTTTAAAAAACCATAAGAGCTAGAGCTTAGATATTTGGCATGAAACATCTTCTAGTGAGTGTCTACCAAGTTTGTTCAAATAAAAGCCCTGGGGTCAAAATTGGCCCCGCCCCGGGGGGTCATTGATTTTCCCTATATGCATATAGTAAAAACTTAAAAAATCTTCTTTTAAAGAACCAAAAGAGCTAGAGCTAAGATACTTAGCATGAAACATGTTCTAATAAGTGTCTACCAAGTTTGTTCAAATAAAAGCCCTGGGGTCAAAATTGGCCCCGCCCCGGGGGGTCATTGATTTTCCCTATATGCATATAGTAAAAACTTAAAAAATCTTCTTTTAAAGAACCCAAAGAGCTAGAGCTAAGATATTTAGCATGAAACATGTTCTAATGAGTGTCTACCAAGTTTGTTCAAATAAAAGCCCTGGGATCAAAATTGGCCCCACCCCAGGGGGTCATTGATTTTCCCTATATGCATATAGTAAAAACTTAAAAAATCTTCTTTTAAAGAACTCAAAGAGCTATGGCTAACATATTGAGCATCAAACATGTTCTAATAGGTGTCTACCAAGTTTGTTCAAATAAAAGCCCTGGGGTCAAAATTGGCCCCGCCCCGGGGGTCATTGATTTTCCCTATATGCATATAGTAAAAACTTAAAAATCTTCTTTTAAAGAACCAAAAGAGTTAGAGCTAAGATATTTAGCATGAAACATGTTCTAATAAGTGTCTACCAAGTTTGTTCAAACAGTGTCTATTCTAGGAATTCAAAAATAGGGGTGATTTTCCCCCCTCTATTTCAAAAAAGGGGGCGATTTTCAAAATCAAGGGGTGTCAATATAAACTGCCAATGTTAAATCGTCTGCAGTAAGTTTACACTGAGGTGTTCAACCGATGAAATATTTAAAACGAAAATATTCATTTAAGGCAGCAGAAGTTGTCCTCCCTTAATTTATGAACGAAAACAAATTATTATAGAACTGTCGCGATTGATTATCAAGGGATTGACAATACAAACAATCGACCTATCTTTTACGTCAAGATCGTAGCCAAGCTAGGATTTCTTGATTATTTACTACACTAAAATGGCGCCCAACTGTCAGACCTAGCACACTAGTTCCGGTAGGTACGAAACATTCCGTTAATTTCCGTCAACTCACGTAACCAGTACCATACGGTACTAAATTATTATAATTAGCTTACAGTTACCTCCCTTCAGTTTTCGGTGTAATTTAAATGTAAACAAAACAACCAAATAAAATGCGAGATGGAATTATGCTTGCGAGGGATCACTTTATTTCCAGATTTTTTTTACGATTTTATTAACTTTTTTTAGATGCGCGATTTTCACTCACATGATTTTGAATTGTGCGCAATCTTTGAAATATTAGCGTGAATCGCGCAATCGCGCGTCCTAGAATAGACACTGGTTCAAATATAAGCCCTGGGGTCAAAATTGGCCCCGCCCCGGGGGGTCATTGATTTTCCCTATATGCATATAGTAAAAACTTAAAAATCTTCTTTTAAAGAACTCAAAGAGCTATGGCTAAGATATTTAGCATCAAACATGTTCTAATAGGTGTCTACCAAGTTTGTTAAAATTGATTTTCTTTATATGTGTATAGCAAAAACTTAAAATCTTCTTTGAAAAAACCCAAATAGCTAGAGTTTAGATATTAAGCATGAAACATCTTCTAGTATTAGTGTCTACAAAGTTTGTTCAAATAAAAGCCCTGGGGTCAAAACTGGCCCAGCCCCAGGGGTGTCATTGTTTTTAACTATATGTGTATAGTAAAAACTTAAGTTAACATTGTACCTTTGTTCAAACCTGAGATATTTATATTATCATAAGGACATTTTACAATTTTCAGGGTTGAATTTGGCAAGCTTGCAGCTGACTATAAAGCAATCAATCTTGGTCAGGTAAGAATAATTCAGATTCAGTTTCTAGTTTTGTCATTGATGAATATCTTAAAAAATGTTAAAGTCTCGGCTTAGAATTAATGATGAATGATTGTACAGAAATATAGTGTTTGATCTACATTTATTAGAGGTGTTTGTATTGGAATTATGTTTTAGGAAAAAATACAATCCAAATTGGAAGTTTATTTACAAAATTGAATGACAACTAATTTAGAATTGCATTTTTATGAGAAAAGGACAAACACGTTTTGTACATTTGTAGGTTTTAAAAAATTATTTGGTAATACATTTTGTATTAGGAAATTATGCTGTGAGTGATATTAGTAAAAAGATAAAATTATCAATATAATTAATCGATTCTTTTATCTTACTAGTAATACGCGGAATATTTATTGTATCACTCTTTGTTGTTGGTATAACATGGAATTCAAGTTATCAAGCTTGCTTACAGAATGATAATGGTTAAATTTTGCCTGAAATAATGTGTGGAGGAGCACTCAAGTTTTTCCTTTAATGTTAAAGCTACAATATAACCTTTACTGTTTTGGTTGACCTTAAACCCTAACAAAAAAGATTTTGTCAGGACATATTAAGGGGCTTTATTATTATGAATAAATTCATTTCTGTGGGCACATCAGACTGCTTTGCTGATTCTAAAATAATGTGGGATTAGTAGTTTGTCACTTGCGGAGAAATTGGCATTTACTGGTCAGTGATCCAGGAAAGCCAGTTACAAATAGGTGGGTTGACCACTTACATGACTAAAAAATGTGTTAAAATTGGTGTAAAAACCAGAAACAATGCAAACACCTTTAACTGCAATTCATGATTGCAATATTTTGCAAAGATCTTGGTTTATTTGTTAATAAAATCAAACATTGTTTACATACATAATTTCTTCTTATTTTTTACCACAAACAGTTCAGAGTTTTAATCATATGACTATATTTTCAGGGATTTCCGGACTACAATCCCCCGCAGCATGTAGTTGATAAGTTTGTGAAGACTATCTCTAACGCTGACAACCCTCTTATACACCAGTATACCAGATCTTATGTAAGTTGGTTTAAACCTATTTATTTAAGCTCGATTGCGACACAAGTTCTTGCAACATATATTAATCACTTTCGAGTCGTCTTCCTGGAACCAACCAGTACTGGTGTCATATGAAGAAACCTGGTCATGACCCGAGTAGGGCTCGAACCCATGATCTTTGGCTTGAGAGGCAGACACCTTAACCACTAGGCCACCGCTCCCCTATGTAAGTTATATATTAATGATATTCTAATGTAAACTTGTTATGAAAATAGTATTCAATTTATAAATACATGTTGTGGTAGGGTATGAATTATTTTAAAACTAAAAGCTGCATTCCTCCAGATAAGCCAAAAAATTTACTTTGAGAAAAATGTACCAAGATATAAAGAAAAGTGAAAATATTCACAATTTAAGTAATGATTTACATGTTATATGCAATGAATGACTGTTTTTACACTTTTTTTTACATATTTATGCTGTATGACAAATGCAGTAAGGGCTATTTTGGCATATTTTGACCTTCATTTGGTAATTTACTTGGAAAGTGCTGTTTTGGAAGTGTAAAACTCTTCCTTTGTTCACTGGAGAATATTTCTTTTTTTTTAAAGACATTTTAAGAATTTCATGAATATAAGCATCAATCTGGAGGTATGCTGCTATTAGTGATGGGAATCCGATGAAATTTGTCCCAATCGATCATCGGTTCAATCGGATGGGACATAATATATAACTTTTCGAATAACGCCACGTTAAAAAGAAATAGGGAAATAACATTTTTCAAAGGCACTTGATTATATTCAGTAACATGAACTTCATTTAGCACTTTTTGACACAGTTTTAATCTTATTAGTCATACTTTTGCAAAATAGTTTTTATTTTTCAATGGATGTCAAATAAAAGCATTTGCATCATATTATATTATTATTGTTTACATCATGTACTGATCCTGTTCAACTCCAAATTGTCTCTGAGATGATTTTTTGTGATCAGCGAGGTGTTCCTAAAAGAAAATAACGGTCAGAATTAATTCCCTTTGATACTTTAAACATATGCGACAGCGTCGCGGACCAAATTTTGTGAATCGATAATTGTTGCTTTGACTTTCGGCGACTTGCGACAATCAGAGCATCACTAGCTGCTATAGCTTTAGTTTATTTTTATCTGCTTAAGATGATATGTTTAGGGTCTGTTCTTGAATTTAATGGGTTTTTTTGTACATTTTTCAGAAGACAACTGTCTGAATATGCCTTAAATGTTCATTTTAAGTTATAATCAGTTGTACCAGGATTATAAAGAATTTATAGTATAAAGATGAAATTATTTTGCCCATATTATATAGATAGGGTTTTTCAAAGGGAATGGGGGAGGGGGGGGGGTTAGAGTTATGCTCTAAATTTTATTGATAACATTTATTATGAGATTGAGCTCTACTTGAATCATTTAAAAACAAAAGAAAATCAGACTGGATTGGAGAACAAGTAAAACTATACTTTAATCACTTCCGCCCCAGTAAAGGTAAATTTTCAAAATAAAAATAAATGGGTAAATTTCAAGAAAATTTTATCACTGCCATTTCTAAAGGGGCATCCTCATTTTTGTGGACATTTCAAATTATTTGTCCCTTTAAAGAACAAAAATAGATGGGGATGAAAAAGAGGGGAAAGTAAAAATAGGAGCCTTTTGGGGTTCTGTTCTCCCACCCTAAAAGGGTTGGTAAACCCCGGGGGGGGGGGTACAAAAAACCCACTTTGCCCTAAACTGATTTAAAATTTATTTGAAAAACAATGTTTTTCTAAGACGTATTTTAAAAAATTAGGAGTTTAACTATTTCAATGAAAGGGGAACTAAAATTTTTGTTGTTTGTTCCAAGTGGGTGTAAAAATGGGTTTTCTCAAAAGTTTTAAAAATAATAAACCCTTTCATTTTTTAAAATTTCCCAATCATTAAAAAATTAATTTTGTACTTCATTCAGAAATTTAAAATTTCTATTTTGTGTAAGGGAAAATGAAAAATAGTCAATACAAAACTTGAAAATACCACTACTGTCCATAAACAGGCTCAATTAAATAGAGTGGTCAACATTTTCAATTCTGTCATTTTGGGCATTCTTAATGGATTCTGTTTTTCTATATTTTATACTTTGTCAGTAAAAGATATATTAAGAGTTTAATGTCCATTTTATACAGGTGATTATAATAGAGCCATATTTTGACTGTTATGAACCAATGGTGAGAGTGGCAGGTGGTACACCAGTGTTTATACCCCTTAGAGCAGTAAGTATTTCATTATTACTTCATTCAGTCAATGTGATGAACATAATTTAAGTGAAAAATAAAGGGAAACATTTCGATTTCATATCTATGATGTTGAACTTAATACTTTATGTGTTGGCTAGGGGAATGGGTAAAATATATGAAGCTATTTTACTATTTTTGTCAGCATTCAGCATCATCTGTAATTGACATTATAAAAATACAATTTCTGCATAGAAATACCCTTTTGGTAGACAGAAATATTAATTTTTGGTGAGAGGTTAAATTTTATGGAAAAATACTGTTGTAAAGAGGTAATTGCTTAATAAGGGACCTCTCTTCAGATGTGACCCTTTAGCTGCTGTTAAATAATTATGTGAGTTAGAATTTTGTCTAGGTGACCATATGCCATGATCAATATAATTATTCCATACCATAGAATTGTGAAAATATCTACTTTAATCTACCAGGAACTTAACCATGATTTAAAACTGACAGAGAATTTAAATGGTGTGAATTATTACATTCTTTAAGTGACCACATTTTTATCCCACTAATGTTTTGCATCCTCCCAATAGAACATTACTCTAACCACTAATAAGTCTTCATAAAGGACTGACAATTATTTGAATCTTGTACTGCCATTGTAATTAATAGTGATATATGTAATGACTAAATTTCATTTAAAGTATGAGACTGTATGGTTAGCACAGAATACCCTGATGCTATTATGGTAAACTAGTCAAGACATTATTACTGAGTCTTATAAACAGAAAGGTGAAAAGTTTTAAGGAGTTGTTTTTTCCAAACATGTTTCATATTTTGACGTTTTAATAGCATTCACATTTTTTATTTCAGACTAAAGACAGGCGGTACAATTTAGTAAGTATTTGAAATTGGAACTTAGAAAGATGAATTGCCGTAATTCTAGGCTAGTAAATTTTTTTTTTATAATGTTTAAATCCACATCCAAATAACCAGGTTTGGTAACGGTAAGGTCAAATTATACATTCTATTTAATTTATTTCTATATGGAACTAAGTGTACCAACATCCATTATTTCCTGTTAATAATAGTCGTTTTTTACGCTCTTCTTTGTTGTGTCGAGGCAAGAGCTTTGTTTTGTTTGGTCGTAGGTAGCTAATACATAGATTTAAAAATATGTTAGTTAAGTACAGCATGTATAGTGAGCGTTCTGTAAGGTATTCCCTTAGCAGTTTATAGCTGCTGGCTAAATTTTATCACTCTGGACATAAAATAAAATAGTGGTGGTGAGCCACTGGTGACTATACTGTTGTTTTTGTCAGACGCTGACTCAAAGGCAAATGCTATATTATTTTAAAAGGGCCCCTTTTAACACTTACATAAATAAAGAGCTACTACATTTTATGTATAATGTGTAGATATTAGAAAAATAAAGGTCAATGAAATACAACCGCAGGTAAAGGTGGCTAGGAAATTGCTATATTAGTTTTATTAATTATTCATTTGTTATTTTTTCGGTTTTACAAAAATTTGGTGTTAGGTGAATGATTGGCTGACCGTGTTAAAAAACTAAAGTTGTATTTTTTAAAACTTTTGAGGTATTGGGGTGGTGATTTACCCCAAGTAACATATTTAAAATTGGGGAAAAGGGGATTACATGTAATAAAAAATTTAGCCCCGCCCGGCAAAAACCCAAAATAAGGGTTTTTCGACCAAAAATGGATCCCGGGCAGCATCCCCCATTCCGCGCGTTGATCAGGATTTCCCTGCTGTTCGCTTAAAACCCCTAAAAGGTTGGGTACTGATAGGGGAACAGATGGGCTTGATCAACTGCCGGATGCGCAGGTGGGCCGGGGTTTTTTCATTTTAAAAGGCTCATTTTTAGGGGAAAGGGTTGGGGTTTTTTTTAAACCCGTTTAAAAAAAAATTTTTTTTGAGGCTCTTTTAAAAATGTTTACAGCGGGTTTTGGGAAAAAGGGTTAAATGTCAATTTCTTTCTAATCAAAAAATTGCCCGGCCGGCTGGTTTTGAAGGCCCCCCAGGGGCAAAGGTTTTTTTTTTCTTCAGCAAAAAATTTACGCTCATTGTTAAGGACAGATTGGTACGGAACTGATTAGAGAGTGTTTTAATAAGCTTATTGCTTCCAACACAATCAAACTAAGATAAATTTGTATGAACTTAACTAAACATATTAACAAAGGTATTTTTTAAAGGTTTCAATGTAAAGGTTTAAAAGATGTCATCTTTAGCTCGACTATACGACTATATGGAGAGCTGTCCTACTCGCCCCGGCGTCCGCGTCCAGATTTCAGATTAAAGTTTTGGTGCAGTAAAATATTTTTCTCTATAACTTTGTCATATCTTAAGGTATCAACTTCAAACTTCAAATATATGTTCCTTATCATCAACCACAGCTTATGTGAAAAGGTTCATAACTCTAGCACCAATATTTTCAGATTTATCTCCCCTTGAACTTAGAATTTTCCTTAAAAAATACTATTTTTTACTGTAACTTCTTTATTTCTAAAGGGATCAACCTCATACTTCAAATATATGTACCTTATCATCATCCCCATCTTATATGACAAGGTTCATAACTCTAGCACCAATATTTTTAGATTTATCTCCCCTTGAACTTAGAATTTTCCTTATAAAATATTATTTTTTACTGTTACTTATTTATTTCTAAAGGGATCAACTTTATTCTTCAAATTCTTCAAAACTTATGTGACAAGGTTCATAACTCTAGCACCAATAATATATCCCCATAAACTTAGATTATTTTACTAGAAAAATGTTATTTTTTAGTTTTAAAGGTATCTACCTCAAACTTCAAATACTTATTCCTTATCATCAATTAAATTTTATGTGACAATGTTCATAACGCTTGAAGCAATATTTACAGATTTATCTCTCTTTGAACTTTAAGAAATATTATGTATAACTTCTTTACTTTTTAGCTCGACTTTTCTATGAAAAGGGGAGCTATCCTACTCGCCCCGGCGTCGGCGTCGGCGTTAGCGTTGGCGTCACACCTTGGTTAAGTTTTTCGTACCACCCCACTTTATTTCAGAAGTATTACAAGTATGGCTTTGAAACTTACCATACTTGTTCACCATCATAACCTCCATCTACAGACAAGAGTACATAACTCTGTCAAGGTTTTTGACAGAATTATGGCCCTTTTTTGACTTAGAAAGTGTATTGAGCTTGGTTAAGTTTTTTGTACCACCTCACTTTATTTCAAACCATTGGAGGTATTGCTTTGAAACTGACCATACTTGTTTACATCACGACCTTCATCACAGACAAGAGGACATAACTCTGTCAAGGTTTTTGACAGAATTATGCCCCTTTTTGACTTAGAAAATACATTGAATATGGGTAAAATCCAACTTATTGCCTTAACCTTTGAGATATTGCTTTTGAAACTTTTAATGCTATTTCACATCATTACCCCCATCTGTACGCAAGAGAAGGTAACTCTGTCAAGGATTTGTTTTAAAAAATTAAGGCCTTTTATCGACTTAGAATCTTGGTTAAGTTTTTTGTACCACCTCACTTTATTCAAAACCATTGGAGGTATTGGCTTTGAAACTGACCATACTTGTTTACATCACGACCTTCATCAACAGACAAGAGGACATAACTCTGTCAAGGTTTTTGACAGAATTATGCCCTTTTTGACTTAGAAAATACATTGAATATGGGTAAAATCCACTTATTGCCTTAACCCTTTGAGATATTGCTTTGAAACTTTTAATGCTATTTCACATCATTACCCCCATCTGTACGCAAGAGAAGGTAACTCTGTCAAGGATTTGTTTTAAAAATTAAGGCCTTTTATCGACTTAGAATCTTGGTTAAGTTTTTAGTACCAGTCCACTTTTTGACTGAACTGTTTGAGATATTAATTTGAAAGTTGGAATACTTGTTTACAATCATGATTCCCAAACATGTCCAGGAGAAGGTAATTCTGTCAAAGATTTTATTTGAATTATGGCCCTTAACTGTCAATGTTTTGTATTATAGGCAAGCACTAAAAAAGTCGAGCGCGCTGTCTTACGGACAGCTCTTGTTAAGGTTTCTACTTCAAACTTCAAATATATATTTCTTATCATTGCACACATGTTGTGTGACAAGGTTCAAAACTCTAGCATGACTATTTCTAGAATTATTCCCCTTGATCTTGGATTTTATGTTAACAAATGTTATTTATTTTACTATAACTTAATACATAATTATACATAATTGATTTTTCTTTCATAGTTTTGTCCTCCTTACTGCGTCCAGTATTTTATTAGTCAAGCTTCGCTGTCTCCTGTGACAGCTCTTGTTATCCCTCGCTGAAAGGCGGCGGGGGATATAGCAATAGTCTCCGTCCGTCCGTCCTTCTGTCCGACATTTTTGTCAGGAGCATATCTCAAAAAGTATTTGAGGTATCAACATGAAACTTCATAGGTGGATAGATCTTATTGAGGAGGAATGCTGAGCACAAAAAAGATAACTCTCCCAATTATAATTTTTGAGTTATTGCCCTTTGTAATTTTTCATACTTTTTGTCCGGAGCATATCTCAAAAAGTGTTTGAGTTATCAACTTGAAACTTCATAGGTGGATAGATCATATTGAGGAGGAGTGCAGTGCATAAGAATGATAACTCTACCCTGCATAATTTTTCAGTTATTGCCCTTTGTTATTTTTCAAACTTATTTTTTGTCCAGAACATAACTCAAAATGCTTATGAGATATCAACATGAAACTTCATAGGTGGATAGATCACACTCAGGAGGTGTGCAGTGCACAAGAATGATAACTCTACCTTTCATAATTTTTGAGTTTTTGCCCTTTGTTATTTTTCATACTTAATTTTTCACCTGAGTGGAGCATATAGAGCCTTTGAGATGTCAACATGAAACTTTATAGGTGGATAGATCTTATTGAGGAGGAATGCTGTGCACAAGAACGATAACTCTTCCCATTATAATTTTTGAGTTATTGCCCTTTGTTATTTTTCATACTGTTTGTCCGGAGCTTATCTCAAAAAGTGTTAGAGGTATCAACTTGAAACTTCATAGGTGGATAGATCTCATTGAGGAGGAGTGCAGCAAACAAGAATGATAACTCTTCCCTGCATAATTTTTCAGTTATTGCCCTTTGTTATTTTTCATGCTTAATTTTTGTCCAGAGCATAACTAAAAACCTTTGAGATATCAACTTGAAACTTCATAGGTGAATAGGTCTCATTGAGGAAGAGTGCAGTGCATAAGTGTGACAACTCTACCCTGCATGACTTTTCAGTTATTGCCCTTTGTTATTTTTCATACTTAATTTTTGTCAATAGCATAACTAAAAACCTTTGAGATATCAACTTGAAACTTCATAGGTGGATAGGTCTCATTGAGGAGTAGTGCAGCACACAAGAATGATAACTTACCCTGCATGACTTTTCAGTTATTGCCCTTTGTTATTTTTCATACTTAATTTTTGTCAATAGCATAACTAAAAACCTTTGAGATATCAACTTGAAACTTCATAGGTGGATAGATCTCATTGAGGAGTAGTGCAGCACACAAGAATGATAACTTACCCTGCATTATTTTTCAGTCATTGCCCTTTGTTATTTTCAGCTATCAGTATTCACATAGGTTTCAATCTGTAATCACTTCAGCCATCAGTTTTCATAACCAAAAGACCTCTTAAAATTGAATTATTCTGCTCTACTACATATACATTCTTCCAATGAGCAAACACATTCGGCGAGGGATGGCCATGTTGACATGGCTCTTGTTTCTATTAGTCTGAATAGATTAAAATTGTTGGCAAGTCTTTGGTAAATTTATAATTTTGATTTGTTATTTTAGACATATAGCCCCTATTTAAATAATTTTATTTCATGCTTTCCAGTGTTTTATTGTAATATATCAGATGATTATATTCTGATAAACCACTAGTGAAATTTATAAAATATAATTTTCACTGTAGCCGGACTATATCTGGATGCGGATGAAAAGAATATCATAACGAAATGGAATAACTGGCAGAAATAAATGCTGTCATGCGTAAATTTTGCTTCTTTAGGAAAAGAAAGTCGATGTCACCATACATCATGTTAAAAATGTAACACAATTAGACAAAATTTATCAGAACTATATTTCAAAATTAATGATGTGACGTCATGATGTGATGACGTCACAAAGGAGAATGCGCGACGTTACGCGGCAAAATCAGTAAAAAAAATACTTAAAATCACTTAAAAAGAATGAAATAAAAAGAAAATTTATTTGTTTTACATATAAGATTGAAATATATTTCATTCGTGAACACCAGCTATTATATTTTCACTCGTGGCTACGCCACTCGTGAAAATATTGCATCTGGTGTTCACTCAGTGAAATTATATTTCAATCTTACATGCAAAACAAACAAATATCCTCTATATAATATTTTTTTTTCTTGAACAATTATGAAATTATATGAAATTTTATAATACATTTTACATCAATATATGTAATATTTTTACATCCCTTGACTGTTAGGTTGTAGGCTTTGATTATATTTCCCTGCCTTTGTGGTTTTAATTCCAGCATAAGACATTATTGTTAGCCTGTGAATGCTGATGGTCAAACCTCCATGGCTTACGTCATATAAATGGACTAGAAAAGTACATGTAGTGCACACCAAGTGCACATTGTATAAACTTTAGTGTATACTCAACTCTTTGTAGTTGACCATCAGGGGTTGTCTTACACTGAGGAAGTTAAAAAGTTACCATAAGGTCAACTCTTGTTGGCTTGACACAAACCAACCCTATAATTTTCCTATAAATGTTATATTCATCATTTCAGCCACATAAATGGTCTAGAAGTGCACATGCAGTGTACACAAAATGCACTTTGTGTAACATTTAGTGTGAACTCTACTGTATTTAGTTGACCACCAGGGGTTGTCTTACACTGAGGAAGGTAAAAAGTTACCATAAGGTCATCTCTTGTTGGCTTGACACAAACCAAATGATTTTCTTATTAATGTTATCTTCATTTCAATATATGTTATATTCATTTCAGCCACATTACCTGGCATGTGGGACAGGACTGTCACAGTAGGCAGTGCTGGTAAAACTTTCAGTGCTACAGGCTGGAAGCTAGGCTGGGGTATTGGTCCAAAAGAACTTATACAAGCTTTGTTAGTATTACATCAGAACTCTATCTACACCTGTCCTACCCCTATACAGGTAAGCTGATTTTCCCAGTTTGCCCTGAAGAAAAAGTGTAATGTACTGGTCCTGATTAGAATCATGAACTGTCCATTGCTAATGTGAGGGGTCTTTAAGTAGCATGCCTCCAGATTCATGCCTATTTTCATGAAAATTTTAAAAATGTACAGTGTAGCTACTGAAAAACGAACCCCCATGGGACTTGTCAAAAAGTTCGGATTTCAGAGGTTTCCGGAATTCAGAGGTTTAGGATAATGTGGACAAGACTAAGCCACTAGATGTCACTGAATGTAAAGAAAAATTTAGCCATTACTGTAATATCATATATAATAGTCTTTTAATCAAGATAAAGATGTGAAGGAAAAGAAAACATTTATATTTGACACTTTATTTAATACTTAATAATAATGCAAATTTCTAAAAAGACCATTATTTAAAGATTGTTCTGTCTTCATTTTAATCAATTAAAGTTTGCTCATTTTTATCGTACTTGCAAATGCCTTTGAATTTCTATCAGTTTGTAGAAATGTTGTTAATTGCATAAACTTACATATCGTCCGATGCTAGTTAATTCATTAGTACAACAAATGCAATAAAATCCCTAAAGACGTTTGATGCATACATTGTCCCAATTAATTGTCATTTAATCCGCTAATAAACACTTCAAATTAACTGACCGCCGTAAATTACTTTGATTAACCGCATCACTTCAAACATACCATTTCACAGTTTGTGATTTTAACGCGTGTCAAATTACACGATCACCGCTAAAAAGTAAACAATCGATAGGGAGATTAAATCTTCTTGCAGGGTAAACATTCTCGATTTACAATGTATTTCACACCTTTGGAAATTTCCGGATTTTGGAGGTAAAATTGCATTGATTTGACAAAAATTTTACGAAAATATCGTCCGGAATTCAGAATTTAGAAGTTCCGGAATTCAGAAGTATTATATTAATAGAAAATAGAAGGGAAAAAATGGGGACCGAAAAAATTGTTCGGTTTTTAAAAGTTTCCGGATTTCAGAAGTTCCGGAATTCGGAAGTTACACTGTATTTAAAATATTGTGAAGTGAACAAAATAATTTACACATTGCAAAGACTATTATCAATCCATATAAATTACTAAGAAAGAGGTTAAATTATGCAAAATCAAAAAAATATTCCTTGCTGAGATAGTCACACAGTAGATATATGGGGCTAAATACTGCAAAAATAGTTTTTAATTACATATATCAAGAAAATAAGAACTTGACTCTTAAATCTTTTTCATAAAATCTTAGTACATTTGTTTTCAAGTTTGATTGCCTTGAAATAATTTGGCTCATATGCCGGCATGCAGCTTTAATGTGAAAAAAATAAATAAAATAACTGGCCAGCGGTATTGACATAGACTGCATAGATGCTTAGGTTCAGCTGGCTATTTTCCTGTGCCATAGATAAGTTTTTAATACTCCTCAGTCAGAGGGTATTATAGAGAGTATTCAGGTCTACCATACAAGAATGTTTGACTTGCAGAATGTATCGAAACTTTTGTGACCAGCATTATGTGCAGGTTGAGTTTTAGCTGTTTAAATTCAACCAGTCTGACTTTATGACATGCCAGTTCGACCAGTATAGAGCCAGGCTATCATTAATAACTTTGCAGTTTGAGCAGACCAGTGTGTATATGTAAGACAGGCTGTGAAATCATTTTGATCAACATTAGACTTTTGAGCTCACCTGAGCATGCTCAGGGTGAGCTTTTAGGATCGATGATTTTCCGTTGTCCGTCTTCCGTCATTTGCCCACAATTAGTTCGTTAACACTCTATCGGTCGCATTTTTGCCTCAATCATCATCAAACTTGGTCAGGATGCTTATCTAGTTGATAGCTCGGATGAGTTTGAACATGGGTCATCTCAGATGAAAAACTAGGTCACAGGAGCTAAAAATAGAAAAACCTTGTTAACTCTCTAGAGGTCACATTTTTGCCTCAATCATCATCAAAGTTGGTCAGGATGCTTGTCAAGGTGATAGCTTGGATGAGTTCGAACATGGGTCATCTAGGATGAAAAAAAAGGCCACCGGAGCTAAAAATAGAAAAACCTTGTTAACACTCTAGCAGTCACATTTTTGCCTCAATCATCATCAAACTTGGTCAGGATGCTTGTCTAGGTGATAGCTCGGATGAGTTCGAACATGGGTCATCTCGGATGAAAAACTAGGTCACTGGAGCTAAAAATAGAAAAACCTTGTTAACACTCTAGCGGTCACATTTTTGCCTCAATCATCATCAAACTTGGTCAGGATGCTTGTCTAGGTGATAGCTTGGATGAGTTCGAACATGGAACATCTCGGATGAAAAACTAGGTCACCGGAGCTAAAAATAGAAAAATCTTGTTAACACTCTAGCGGTCACATTTTTGCCTCAATCATCATCAAACTTGGTCAGAATGCTTGTCTAGGTGATAGCTTGGATGAGTTCGAACATGGGTCATCTCGGATGAAAAACTAGGTCACATGAGCTAAAAATAGAAAAATCTTGTTAACACTCTAGCGGTCACATTTTTGACACAAGTGTCATCAAACTTGATCAGGATGCTTGTCTGGGTACTTGCTTGGATGAGTTTGAATATGGGTCATCTCGGATTAAAAACTGGGTCACAGGAGCTTAAAATAGAAAAATCTTGTTAACACTCTAGTGGTCACAATTTTGACTCAATTGTCATCAAACTTGGTCAGGAAACTTGTCTAGGTAATTGCTCAGATAAGTTCGAACATGGGTCATCTCGGATGAAAAACTAGGCCACAGGAGCTAAAAATAGAAAAATCTTGTTAACACTGTATTGGCTACTGTTTTGATCCATATATCCTGTAAATTGGTCTGTAAGTTTGTTTTGATGATTTCTATGTCAAGTTCGAACATGGGTCATCTTGGATAAAAAACTAGGTCACACCGCCCAAATATGGAAAAACCTTGTTAACACTCTAGTGGTCACATTTTTGACTCAATTATCATCAAACTTGTAGGTAATTGCTCGGATGAGTACGAAATCGCATGTGAAACTAGGTCACCGGAGCTAAAAATAGAAAAATCTTGTTAACACTCTAGTTGCTACTGTTTTGATCCAAGTATCCTGGAAATTAGTCTGAAAGTTTGTTTTTGATGATTTCTAGGTCAAGTTTGAATATGGGTCACCTGGGTAAAAAAACTAGGTTTTCACACTGCTCAAATATCGATAATCCTTGTTAACACTGTAGTGGTCACATTTTTGATTCACCTGTCATGAAACTTGGTCAGAATGCTTGTCTAGGTAATTGTTAGGATGAGTTTGATGGGTCAGGTGAGCAATCTAGGGCCATCATGGCCCTCTTGTTTTTATTCAGAACAAAAGCAAAAGAAGGTTCTGGTGATTGGCCAATGAGCAACTTTTTTAAACTGTGACAGCACACCAAATATAAAATGTTTTTGAGAAACATAAATAAAAAGGTCTCTTGGGCATAATGGGCCTTAAGCCAGCCAACATAGCTCAATAGGTTAGAGCACGAGACTTGTAATCTCAACATTGTTACATTTGTAGGTTTGATTCCCTGGCTGACCAACTAAAATTACTTAGTTTTTTTGGATGAGACTTTAAATGGAGGTCCTTTGTATGAGTGCTTAAACACTCTGCACGCTAAAGAACCAGTAGAAACTTCTGGAATTGGGCCATTTTTCTGTATCTGTATCTTGCACTATCCCCCAAAAATCTAAAATGACTTATACTCTTCTGGAGGACTCATCCATGTGGGCAACAGGTGACGATTATAAATAAACTCAAATACACACACAATAAGCCTTTAACTAAATTTGTTCAGCTATTTATTGTTATATTTTAGGAAACAGTAGCAGCCGGTCTAGACTATGAACTATCAGTGTTTGGTGACCCAGAGAAATGCTACTTACAATCACTGGCACTAGAAATGTTGCCAAAGAGAGATATGCTGGCTAAAGTACTCACAGAAGTTGGCATCACGCCAACAATTCCGGAAGGGGGATACTTTATGATGGCTGATATATCAAAACTTGGTTAGTAATGTCAGTAACTTTGTAAAGAAAAGGCTAGGGTTTTAGTGGTGCATATGATATGTGAGAAAATGACTCTCTATCCAAATAAACCTCATGGAGAAAAGAGAGTTATGGATATTTATATATATCTCAGTTTATAATGTGTTTCAATAGTTTGGTATTGGACCAGATATCATAACCAATATGGCTGCCAAATGGGTAACTCATTCAGACTAGTAATCTAAGGTTTGCTGACCCGTGGTTTCAAATCCCTTCAGGGGCAAGCCGTTGTTTCATTAAGCAAAAAGCTTTATATTCCTTGCCTACTACAAGTTGGTTCCAGGAATGCATTTGAGAGTGTTTAAATAAGCTAATAGCTTCCAATGCAACAAACTAAAATAAATTTGTATAAACTAATAAGCAATAACCAATATGTTAGTCTTACAGTATTTCAGTCATTTATAAGCTGCCCATTACCAAATTAGCGACTGTAGTCTGTGTCAGTACTTACTTTTTTATCTTCACCAAGTTTTATGTGTTTATCCTTTTTACCCCATGAGCATATTGCGAATATGGCCGTTTTCATTGAAAAGCCTCCTGTAACAAGTTCAAACTTTGATGAAACTATGAAAAATGCTTCAATACTGATGAAACTTGGCACAAATGTTGACAACACCATAGCCTCTGTAACAGCATGCTCAATGGTAAATTTACTGTTACCATGGCAACGAGGGGACGTCTCTAAATCGCCAAAAATCACTATTTTGCATCGTTTTTTTCCATCAAAACTGATTTCAAAGTGCTGCAACTTCTCAATGAATTGAGATAGAGTAAAAGGCTTTCAGCGTCGGTTACTAGTTACCCTAAGATAGGCCTGAGGCCATTTTTAGCTTGTCACATGTCTAAAATTTTCTTGGCAATGAGGGCGACTCCGCCCCCCTTCAACCCCCCCCAAACAGAGGGGGGCACATCCCCCTTCTGGCAACCCCCTGATGTAACATTTGGATGGGGGACGGCACCGAAAAAGTGGTCACTTTTTTAACAACATTTTTCAAACGAAAACCAGTGTTTAGGGCCTAAATATAGCATTTTTTCACTGTTTGAGGTCTCAAAAAGGGGGGTGGGGCAAAAAGCCGTCGAAACACGCTTATACAAGGGAAAAGATTATTATATGTCTGATGAAGTGGTATGTCATGCAAGAGTTTATCTTGTATAACAATTGACTTTGAGAACTTCTACAATGATAAGTTATTTTGTTTTTATAGATGTTGAAATCCCAGATGATGGCACAGATGATCCGTATGACTTCAAGTTTATCCGATGGATGTGCAAAGAAAAGGTAATTATTTTACACTGTGGCATCCAATATTATTATTTTAAACATTTAACTGCATATGACCTTTTAATTGTAAAATGAGATTGTTCAATTTATTTGTCATTGTTATACCCCCGCACAACAAAGTTGTAAGGGGGGTATACTGGAATCAGCTTGTCCGTCCGTCCGTCCGGCCGTCCGTTGGTTTTTTCTTGTCCGCCCAATAACTTAAGATTCCTTTGACCCTTAGTCTTCATATTTGGCATGGAGGTTAGTCATGATAAGTAGATGACCCCTATTGATTTTGAGGTCACTAGGTCAAAGGTCGAGGTCACAGGGGCCTTGACTTCAAAAAGCTTGTCCGCCCAATAACTTAAGATTCCTTTGACCTACAGTCGTCATATTTGGCATGGAGGTTAGTCATGATTAGTAGATGACCCCTATTGATTTTGAGGTCACCAGGTCAAAGGTCAAGGTCACAGGGGCCTTGACTTCAAAAAGCTTGTCCGCCCAATAACTTAAGATTCCTTTGACCCACAGTCGTCATATTTGGCATGGAGGTAAGTCATGATTAGTAGATGACCCCTATTGATTTGAGGTCACTAGGTCAAAGGTCAAGGTCACAGGGGCCTTGACTTCAAAAAGCTTGTCCGCCCAATAACTTAAGATTCCTTTGACCTACAGTGGTCATATTTGGAATTGAGGTTAGTCATGATTAGTAGAGTTGACCCCTATTGATTAAGAGGTCACCAGGTCAAAGGTCAAGGTCACAGGGGCCTTGACTTCAAAAAGCTTGTCGCGCCAATAACTTAAGATTCCTTTGATCTACAGTCGTCATATTTGGCATGGAGGTTAGTCATGATTAGTAGATGACCCCTATTGATTTTTGAGGTCACCAGGTCAAAGGTCAAGGTCACAGGGGCCTTGACTTCAAAAAGCTTGTCCGCCCAATAACTTAAGATTCCTTTGACCTACAGTCGTCATATTTGGCATGGAGGTTAGTCATGATTAGTAGATGACCCCTATTGATTTTGAGGTCACCAGGTCAAAGGTCAAGGTCACAGGGGCCTTGACTTCAAAAAGCTTGTCCGCCCAATAGCTTAAGATTCCTTTGACCCACAGTCTTCTTATTTGGCATGGATGTTGATCATGACTATAAGGTGACCCCTATTGATTTTGAGGTCAATAGGTTAAGGTCACAGGGACCTTGACAAAAAAAAGCTTTTCTTCTCAATTGCTAAAGAATGTCCTGTCGGCAATGTATTGATTTTGACATTTTCACATTTGAAGCATGTAGAATACATAACTAAGCAATACACTGGCTTAGTAACCTCAGATTTGGCAGGGAGGTTGTCCTTGAGCTGTAAATGGCCACTGTTGATTCTGACAAAGTGGTATGCGGGGGTATTCACGCCATGATAGTGGCAGTTCTAGTTTATTTTATTACTCATACTTGCCGTATTATTATTGCCATACTATTATTTTCAACATTTTACTGCATATGGCCTTTTCCATGTTATATCAATGAACAAGGATAAACATGTAACTGTAAACAACAGTAGCATTCAAATGAATGTACCTTTAAAAAATACCTCTTGCTGACCTTTCTTCTCACAATCACAGTTTTCATTTCAAAACTCATTACTTTGCACTGGGAAACATTCATACATATAGTTTCAAAACATGGTTCTAGAGCAATGTTCCTTCTGTAAAATGTTTATAAATGTCAGAGTGAGACTGATGTATTTTCAAGATATACAGAAAATTCAATACAAAAAGTTTTACTGTATCATTAAAAACAAAAATAAAAAACTGGTGGTGTTTTTATAATTGAGAACAATTTGAATATTTCAGAGGTTATCAGCCATTCCACCAACAGCATTTTACTGTAAAGCTGACCAAAAATTAGGAGAGAAATATATAAGATTTTGTTTCTTTAAGGTAAGTGTGATTGTAAATTATTTTACATTACATTTCCCTGAATCATAGTCTGTTCATAAATATCTTGCATGTCTGTATATCCATGTGTTATGGAAATTATAAAGCTCCTTAAGTGAATGGCATTGGGCATCCCTGGCTGAGTGGTTAATTCTGTTAATTTCATAATACTTGCCCCTCACAGCTGTGAGTTGGAATCCAACAGGGACTTTGGATTCTTTAATGTGAGGAAGCTATCCAGATAGCTTACAGAGCATCGTTGGTTCTACTTGGTGCCATTTTGAGCCTGAAATAATGCACAGAGGGGCACCTGAGCACTTCCTCCACCAGTAAAGCTGGAAAGTTGTTATATGAACTATGTGCACTTTTTTGGTGCAGCGTAAAAACAAACCAACAATATAAAAAAAATTGAGTTTGTAACAAACCTTACACAAATACTTTGACCTTTGATCAGAATACTCGCATCAACCTATCATTGTAAATGCTACAGGTAAAACGATATGCCAGTACACTGATATATTGCAAAGCAACATCAGGCAATATGTACCGCGGTATACATCTTCACTGTTTCAGCGCCATACATGGTAAATCATGGTGGTACCCCAAACAAAAACAAAACAGATAAACTTTGAGGGAACACTTGTATTTGGAATTGTATTTCAACATCTGAACCTTACAAGTGAAGACCAGGCTTAATGATATAATAGAGGGTTTATATAAGATAAAACATTAAGAGATAGTTTGAGGCATATTTCTTAAGATGTTTAAAAGGATCTATATTTCAATCACTAGTGACATTACAGGTATATTATTTTCTTATTGTAGAAAGACGAAACATTGGAAGCAGCATCTAAAGTACTAAAATCATGGAATGTAGGTTTGAAGAAATAGTGAAGCTAATTCTGAGTTGTTACGTGTTAAAATCATAGAGATAAAAAGTCAATGTTTTAATGGGGGGAAAAATTAAATTCTTCAAGTCATCAGTTGTGCTGTGTTGTAGAAATGCTAAAAGAAATGTCTATATCAGAATGGATAAAAAAAAAACAAATATGATTTCCTATGGAAATTTTCATATTCATGCTGGTGAAATTTTGGATTTTAAAAAAAGGTTCATGAGACCAATGTGGAAACAAAATAGCAAATTAATATGAAAAGGATACATTTATGGCCATAATGACTAGTTTTAACGACTCATTTTTGCATTATGCAGTGATTTTATTACTTTTAATTCAATTAACCCTATAATTATTGAACTGGGAAATTTAAGCGTGGGAACTTTTAGAATAATGATAAAAACAATTCAAACCTTCACATTATTTGAAGATGATACTGCTCATTTATAAATGATGCTTTTCATAGAAAATTGTGAATTTTTCACTCAACCAGCCAAGTATTCAATTAATTTAAATAAAAAATGTAATTTATCAAGAAAGATGGCGATTTTACTTACCAGAGTGACTCTGGTTTGACTAATACTCTTTTTTTTAAGGTAGTACATATACCCTATTGGGTCCTATTCCAAGCATAAGTAAACTTATTATTTTATTACATTACATCAACAGGGCTCACACTGGCTCAAATAAAATAATAGCCAATATTTTCAACTTAAAAAAATAATAGCCAAAAGTTCAGCGGACTTTTCATGAATTAGCGACATAAGCAGTTGATTAAATAAACATTACATTTATATACAACTTTCAGTTTTATAAGGATTCTCAAATAAACTGATACATTTGTGTATATTGATAACTACTTTTTTTTTTAAATAGAACCACAACTTTAATTGTTATTATAGAACAGAATAAAAACGTTATCATTAGTATAATTACTGTGTAACAATAATATTAAAGATTCATTATAACTTTACATAATGCTGTTATCAGACAACTTTTTTTGTTTGTTCTTATCAAATTTTGTCAGCTATAACCACTGTCAATTTCCACATTTCACACAGAACTGGAGAATAGATCTAGGTCATATTAGCCTATAGAAATAAAACAAGTTTGCAAACTCATTAACAGAATGCAGCCTTTTTCTGAATAATTTATTGAAAAATATCATCATCACCAATGTAATACAAATTTTCTGCCATAGTAGTAAAGATTTTTTAACAGAACATAGCTTATTTCACCTTTAAATAAATATCAAAATTAACGGTGTCGCGAAAATATGTGACAATCGGATTTTTCCTGTTTTCTGAAGAAATATTCACAATTTTGGTTGTTGTGCAAATAGTTGTTGGGAAGTTAATACTTTTTAAATATTTTACCATTGTTTTCCACTGGCGATTTAGTCAAGAAGCTTAAAACAAAACAAAAATCAAAATTTGCAATTACTGCAATTCACGGTAAATTTTGGGTAAGTCAATACCCAGTGTATCAATTTTAAAACGATTTTTGTGGCTAATTGGCGGATATTTGATGGCTATTATAAATGCTGGACAATATCTTTAAAGTACTTATACAATTATACACCTCGCATGTATTTTATCACTTCGGGCAATATAGTTAGCAGCAGGGCAATATAGTTAGCAGCACGTGACCGGTAAAAAGTTGACACTCAATTAAATGCACCCCGCTGGTGTTAATTGGGTCTACTGCATTCATTATCGATTTTTACACCTTATATAAACACTGTTGGAAGTAAAAAATAATCGCCAGATTTTGTAGCCAAAATGCTAAAATAATCGCCAATCTTATAAAATAATCGCAAATGGCGACTATGGCGACCGACAGCGTGAGCCCTGCATCATATATCTCAGCTATTTACATATTTTAAAGGAATTTCACTGTCCAAAAAAAAAAAATTTCCTGTTACTTTGCCTGACACCCTTTTCTGAAAATGCAAAGTTTGCTTATCCCACCCACCAAAGGAAAACTGAAAGTAATTAGTACTGAGTATACGTTTAAATATTCATATTTGATATCAAAATGTTATGTAGACATTAGAGAATTACCTTTCTACTGGAACTTCTTCGATTTTACATTAAAGAAAAGAATAACATTAGAATTTTTTAAAAGTATTTTGTTATTGAAAGTTGTATTTACAGGCATTTAAATTGTCGTTGTTATTGAAATTTTTTAATGTTTATTTGTATAATCAAAGAATTGTTTTTGAAAGATTGTTTTGATGGTATTGGCAATTATTTTCTGATTACTGGTTATTCAAGACATGTGTTTACTATTTATTGGTATGTTATATCAGCTTTAGAATTGACTTTAGAATGGGCACCAATTTTATTTAATCTATACAATACTAAATGTTTGCTTAACCAACAGTATAGATCTTTATCATATAACAAGTTTGTGCTATATAATGTGTATTATGATGACAGAGGTACTAGGTTTTAATGGGTTATATTGTGCATGAAAAGTTTAGTTGTTTTTTTCTGTTGTTTTTTTTTTTCAGTCAGACTTGCTGTGATATTTAATACAGTGTTTAATGATCATTTTAACAAAAACCTTTTTGCATTTGTGCCCTTTTTGAATTTTAACCCTGAACATGCTGAATATCTTAAATGGACTTGTCCCACTTCCATTTTTGGGACTGTCCATTATCAATTTTAGGGATATCAATTTGAATATTTAAAATTTGTCAGCCAACAGTATAGAGCCTGGTCAGACTGCACGGCTGTGCAGGCTGGCCTGGCTCTATACTGGTGGCAAGGGCTTAATGCTTTCGGGTCCAGCACTTAAAGGGTTACTTTATGATTTTGCAGTTATGAACACATTAAATGTATTTTTCAGTGATAGGAAATGGACATCATCTTTTACAATCTAAACCATTTCTTATTCAAGCTATAAAGAAACCATAAGAAAGGAAATTATGTGGCTTGTGCACCCATTTTTAACCACAGACAATGTATTGTACAAAGTTAAACTTTCATTTTCTAAAGAGTTCTATTTTTTCTGTACTTGTGTTAGGGCTGGGATCTGTAAAAAACTACCTTACAAGCATTGTGTGGATAGTATAAATTCACACATGTTGTTAATGAATAAACATTTAAGAAAGTTTCTTGTTTTATTATGTTCGTTTTGTCATTGACTTTTTAATAGTGGTATAGAAATCTTTGACCAGGTGTAATTTGAAAGTCTGAATGAAAAATGGGAGAAACAGGGTCCTAGTTGTGTTGCCCTTCATATTTCAAGCCGGTTCCATTGATACTTAACCACTTATGAGTATGACAGCACTGTTTGTAAGAAGAAAAGAAAAGACAGAAAAAGTAAAACATTCCAGGAAACCAACGTGCTAAATTCGACTTAATACTACAATGAATTTAGAATCCAGACCAAAAAATCGCCACTTATAACAATGGTCAAGTTACTACAGCTTTTCTATTTTCATAATTATAGCAGAAGCTAAAGCCAGTTATCACTATCCTTGTTAGAACTTATGGCAGTATGAGTTAACTAAACTAGTCCTATATGACTAGATTAGCTACGCGGGTGTAAACCTTGCATAGGATGTCCACATAAACAAGACATCACAGAAAGCAAAATGAACCTTAGGATTTCTACGCAGAAACATACTTGTTCATTCCCAATCCAAGTCCGTTGCTTATAAGTCGCTAGTCAGACCGCAGTTTGAACAAGGTTCCGAAGTGTGGTCCTTCCACACCAAAGTACAAATAGATCAAATTGAAAATGTCCCGATGAAACAAGCTAGACTGTCGGACCTCTAGCGTCACGAACATGCTTTACTCCCTTGAGCTTCGAAAACTGAACCTCGGACGTATAGATGCTAGGTTATCCCTTCTCTACAAGATTCACCATTATCTGGTTGCTTTCTCCATAGAAGAATTTGTGACACACCATGCCATGGCCATCCACTGTGCTAGAGGTTATTCACAGCCTAATAACTCTTCAAAGGTCTGTACAATGAATATATCATACTACAAAATTGTTTCCTTTCATTCAAATGACATTAATCCACAAATTTGCAGCAGTATTAAACGTTACAATTTTCCAATGAGCATTCACGTACAGTATTATGAATATGAACCTCTTTCTATTCATGTGCAAGCATGTTCATGATACAACATTAGAACCCAGACCAGCGCGCTTTATTAATTCTATATCTAAAATGGCCTCTCCCACTTCTTTTAAAGCAGCACGACTCCAGATTCATGTAAATTTTGTTAACGTATTTAAAAGAAAAATATTGTGAGGTAAACAAATAAAGTAATTTATATATTGCAATCGACACATACAATCCAAGAAAATTCCCCAAAATGGTAAAATTATGCAAAAACAACCCTTACTGTGTAACTAACGCAGTAGAAATATGGTGATAAAATACTAAAGAAAAAAAAAACAGTCTTAAGCCGCAAATAACATTTTAAATATAATTTAGATCTTGAGTGTTTTACATTTCTTTAATTTAAGTACATTTTTTCTTGAAATATTTTGTCTCATCTGCAGGCGTACAGCTTTAAATTGAAGGACGATAAAAAAAACTCTAATGTGAAAGGTTTCTTGTGTTGTTATAGAATGCACCCAACGTAAACTCAACGGAAACGTAGCATACGTCATCTAATATTTAACACATCTATTGCGGCATTTTATCAAAGACTGTCATTTGCTACGCTGTCGTACGAAATTCCTAACCTAATCAAATGCACGGTTCGACTTCTGATGCGCAGTAACAGCCTTTATAACGACAAAATCAATCGGCCTTACTGATAAATTACAATGCATTTGAACTACAAACCTTGTCTTATATTGTACTGTACATCTACAAACTGTACAACGCAAGACAAAAAAATGATATCTACATGTATTTCAATCGACATGTATATCTCAATAGAGAGAGAATTAGTCCAGTCAATTTGTGAAAAAATACTTCAGAAAATGGGAAAAGCACCATACTTGGTACAAATGAACTTTGATATATATTAGAAAAATTGAGCATGGGACCCATTTTTTAAAATCCAATATGGCGGGAAAAATCCAAAATGGCCGCCATATGTGTTAAAAATTTCAAAAACGCTTGTGTTTACTAAGAGAACTTGAAATATAGCTGCATATTAGGGTATTGTAATCATATTGTAATCAGAAAAATAGTTGTTATTAGTATTTAAAAATTGCTTTGTCTTTTTAAAGCTATTACACTTAACATATTTTATTATTTCTGTTTGTCATTAGTTTTCACGACCCTGGAAATCAGATGAAATAAAATATTGAAGAGGTCTGTCATTGCTGTCTCCTAAAGATGTTAAGACATCATTTTTTACAACATTCCTTTTTGTTTACAATGTTAATTTATCACAAGGAAATACTTATCAAACAGATTAAACAGAACTATTTAAAAATTCTAGCATAACTCAAGCAAATGAAAATTAAATATCTGCCAGTCAAGTCAGGTGTACGCCTTGCAATTTTATCTTGATGATTGCTGTGAAAGGAATTAAGCAAAGAATGTGTGAATAACAGAATTATAAGCTAACATGTGTTAAATTTTAACAGTCATTTGGTATTTGAATTGTCATATCATAAAAATATGAAACTTTATAAAAGTGCATTTTTTAGAATATGTGAAAGAAAAAAACGAAAACCTGGCAGACATAATTATATAATGACAATGTACATTTTGTCAAAGCAGAGATGTAGATGTTATCTATGTCTCTTGTCAAAGTATGCGTTACAGAAAATAAACTCATTCTAAACTATCCCTTTTCTTTATATGAAAAAACATGACTGTCCATTTGTTGTATAAAAATGGAATGATAATTTTGTAGAACTTTACAGTTTACGGGCTCAGATTTTGACACACCTTTGATGAAATAACTGCTTAAATCGGTTTAGTGATCAAAAGTTTGGCTGGTTCGATCTTCGGGTTGGATATGAAAATATGTGTTAATATCGGCGACACCAGAAAGAAAAAAAAACAGAACAGAACAGATCGTTTATTACATTTAAGGTTTAAAACATAGTTTATCCTCTATGCATGCATTACATTGAATAACCAGAAAAAAAAAACAACTAACAAAAATATCTAACAATCTTTTTTCAAAATTAGAAATAAACTCGATATAAACCATGTTGATTAACGTTGAGCGGAGAAGTAACATGTCGCATGACATATAAGCACTCATTTAATTATTCCGTACATGAATATTTTTGTCGAAATAATGCATGCAAATGCACAGTCTTCTTGGAAGGGCATAATCTGGAGCGTGTAATTTAGTGAGGGAAAAAAATAGTCCCATGTAATATATTTGCATATCATTGTTACGTAATAAATTGATAAAGAGACTGCAGACAAGTGATTAAACGAAAATAATGTCAATTAAAAGTGAGTAAAATCTTATTTAAATTTTATTGTGTTTCTTAGATATTTTTTTGATATTATTGCAAGTAAATAGGGTTACGCACGTGTCATGTTACCATAGAAAACAGCACGAGTGTTCTAATTGGGAATTTCGCCCAATAAAACTGTTTTAGAAAAAAATGTCCTCATTTTAACAAAAACAAGCGTCAAACTGACATGCATGTATTTTCTGGCGAGGAAATGTTTCTAGCACCCAATTTGTTTCGGGTTTGCAGAAAGTTTATGCTGCTCTGTGATCTGACACAGTCATGCTTTTCTAAACCTGTTACATACAGAACCGATGTCATCCGCAAAATAATAATGTTGTTTCTTTATTTAATCGGCTATAGGACAAGTTCAAGTATTGAGCGACTTTGGTATATTCAGGGTCTTTCAAATAGAATTCTAAATTAGGATACCAGGCAAACATGAACAAACATACATTATACGGAAATAGATAATATAATTGATACACACTCTTTGGCAATTTTTTGTTAAACTTTAACCGAAAATTGGGTATACACTGTAACAAAATGGGCGTCCATCCTGTTTTGTATGTTTTATATGTTATATGACGCATTTGACGAGTAGGAAAATAGCATGGTCTGGCCATTTAATTACCGTTATATAAAAATTATAAGATTATCGTTGTGTTGGTACATTTTTGTAGGCTTAGTTCAACAAATCACTCCAAAAAACCGAGCAAAAGAGGATAATTTTTACTAATGAAGATAGTATCTACTAATAAGTAACAATTCAGTTATAGCTGAATACTGCATCCACTTATTGCTGTATTAAAAGATAATGAATCAAATGGTTATCTGGTGAAATACATGCAATTATAGCTGCATACTTCTGTTCTCTTTTATGAAAATATATGATAATTGACAGAATTAAAAAAACTACCCTGTTTGTATACGCTTGTGTTTTAGCAGATCATCTTCTATGCTCCCGACTGAACTGACTTCATTCCCCCCAGCCATTCTTTGTATTTAATAACATTATGCGGATAAAGAAGATAATTAATAACATCAATTGCACCATAGGTTATTTGAATATCTACCAATAACGCACACATAGTTGTATATTTTCCATTCGCGAAGTCGTATCCGCGCAACCGGAGACTCTTGCAGAAGGGTTTTTTTTGGACACTATGAGGAGAAAGTGTTAAAATATCCGACGAAAATCTTACTTTTATTATGTACGTCTCTGTTAATTCCATATAAAACACCGCGTCCGTTTGTAAAAGCAAAGCAATATTAATTCTCAACAAATAAATATTATTTTTCAGAGTTTACATGCACCAACGGTGAATTCCTTGTAAATGATGAAATAAGGGCGGCGTTTGAGAAAGACGGTTGTTTTATAGTCAGGTATGTCTATCTAGAATATGTTTGTCAAGTAATTATGGCAGTTGTGGCCCTCCATAGTTTTGTTTACGCGCAATATGTTTAGTTTTTACCGTGACGTCGACGTTGTATGTTTAATTTTCGGTATTGAACCGGTGAAACTCGACAAATTCCGTCAGTGCAATACCGTGAACACTAGTCACTCAGTTTGTGTTGTATTTGTACAATTGTTTTGTCTGTTTGTTTCTATATGAGAAAGATGTCCTTTGGTTCTTTTAAATAGTCTTAACTTCTGCGTACTGTTTGCTTTTCCTAATCCCCCTCATTCTTTAAGTCATTTTCTTACAAAATAAGACGTTACGTTTATTTGATAAATATTATTCAGAATCTGCTGATATCCATAGTTTACATATTTTAATTTACATTGAAATAGTACTACTTCTAACACTGCTGTGGCATTAATTTTATTTCTTATTCCGCATCGATTGTGTATACTCATACATTGTTGTTTGATTGTATTTTTTTATATGTGCAGTATTTCCTGGCAACCTGTGTAAAAAAAAAGATATTTGACCATGTGGTGACACGTTCTATTTAACACGTTTTCTAATATCATTTTAAAGTGTCAATTTATTTTCAGGGGCTTATTGTCACAAGATGAGGCATCACATGTAGAGAGGGCACTCAGTACTGGACCTTTTGAAGAGCATACTTTTTGAGTATATATACTTGTATTAGGGTAGTCCCAAAAGTTCGAATAAAAGTTTTATAATGAAAAATATAATTCTTATTTCCTTTATTATTCATTTGAGGTCACATACGTATTAATTATCGAAGTGTTAAACCACGTGGCAAATTTTACGGAAAATACGTCATTTCCATTATTTTAATTCCTATTTAAAAATCAAAACTTTTCCCACCGACGAACATCGATCAAATTTTGACGATTTTCGTCGACAAAACGTGTTCTTTACAAAGATTACTTACAGGCGTAACCATCTAACATTTTGCTCCACGAATCTTCTAAGGGTTTTTTTAATGTAATAACATGATATAACAAAACAGCATGTTCTTACAGTACATATGATTTAGTAAGTTTACCAGCTGCAAAGGAAATGTAAACAAAAATAGCGTAATTTGAATATAACGAACAACGAAATTTTATACTCATCTCTTGAAACACATCGTTGAGAATTGACGACATGACTGTCACCGGTTCCTCTATACTGTATAATTATAAATACATGTCATTTTTAAACCAATACCATAAAATGTATGAAATCATTCATGTAAAATTCGATAATATTGTCTAGATTTTTAATCGCTTTAAATGTGTGTTATTATTTGTTGAACCAGTTGTTTTTGTTTAAAATAATACAGGTCGGAGATGGAGCCGGGAAAGAAGCATATATGGTAATATGGAACCATCCTGGTGTTGACGTCACTGGCATGGTTGCAAGATGTGAAAAAGTCGCCGGAACCTGCGAGAAAGTAAGAGAAATAATACTATATAAATTTAACTCTGTTTTTTGTAATGAAATGTATATATGATTTCGAATTCGCGACAAAAAAGAGCACCACCTGTAGATATATTGATGTTTATTTGAAAACACGCGCACGCGCACGCTCACGCACGCACACACACGCGCGCGCACGCACACGCACACACACATATTCAATTAAAGGCACATTATGCCTGAAAATAAATCATTTGGACACTTCTTTATTTCAAGTTTCAAAAATTAACAAAGAACCAACATCCTGTAAATTTAATTAAGTTGCTTATGTACTAAATCTAACATATTCTTGAATGTAATAAATTCATCACAATAGATATATATTACTTTTTTGTTTTTGCTAGCTCCTCGGCGGAGAGGTTTACCATTACGTTACAAAGTTTATGATGAAACCAGCTAGGATTGGCGGAAGACATGTTTGGCACCAGGACTATGGGTCGGAAACATTTACATATATATCTTAAAGTAGCTGCAAAAAAAAATAATATAAAAATCGCTCATTTCAAATCACTTATGCATTGCTGTCGTTAGAAACATGCCGGCTTGTTTCTGGAATAATTCTAGAAGCAGTATTTATGAACTTTTTTGTTAAAGCTCTAAGGAGTACTTGAATAGTATCATCAGTTCTTCTGTTTGGATTTTCCTCTGATGAATATGTTTGGACTAGTAATGTAACAATTAAATTGATAGTTTGATGACAATTATCGTTGAACAGATGTGGTTTTTTTATAAATAAGTTAATTTGAAAACTAATTCTTCATTACTTTTAGAATGAATAACATTGTTTTTGCTGGTCACAACCGTAATACTTGTTTAAAGATACTATGACATTACTTTGTATGTTTCTTGCTAGTAATAACAAATATATGTGCATAAAAATGTTTAAGCAAGAAAAGATTTAATTGGAAGACAGTTTACAAAAATGCTTTGTAATTTATTGCTAAAAATGATTGTAAATGTTATCGAAGATGATTTTAGTTTGTTTTGAAACATAGATTATTTCTGTTTCAGATATTGGTATCAATATGGTAATTTATTTCCCAACATGATGACCACGTTCGTTGCTATTGACAACGCCACCAAAGAAATGGCTGTCTCCAGGTATTTATAAAGTCAACAAATATGCGACGATGCATTTCATTCTTATTATTTCTAGTAATACAAACATTGGCTTTTTTTCCTCGATTACATTTTATGTCCATTTTATTACGGATATTTCTTTAACTTATTCAGTAAAGGTTCTTTATGAATGGTTATGCGTTTTTAAGGTTGTCATATTGTTCTTGTTTTTATTTATGTAATGAGCATATATATTATTCTTCTTGCAGGATAATTTTTCTTTTAAATTACTTGTTCTCAAAAAAAAAAAAAAAAAATAAAAATAAAAAAAAACACAAAAAAAAACAACAACAAAGGATGAGGGTTTGTGAAGCTACATTACCTGATTTAAAATTCCATTGCGTTTTTTCGTCTTGTATGATTTTTTGATTGCATTGATTTGTAATCATTGTTATCATTGCATTATTGATTTTCATGATTTTTATGAAGACTATGCATTCCATTTTATCTTATTTGTTTTCATTCACCTGCCAGCCTTTCTGTGTGTATTTTTTTTTCTGCCCAAAGAAATCTGGATCCTGCCATAACTAACAAAAGGTACAAAAGCTAAGTTTATGATACTTTCTATGTGGATACAGGACTATATTGAGATTATACATGTCATTATGTTTCATTTCGCCTCTCAGACTGACGGTCTGTATTTTGTCTGTTCGGAGATTTTTGGATTTGCGATAACTCAAAAAATACAAAAGCTAGGCTGACGAAACTTGGTAATGGGTCATCTGAAAATTGTGCTCGTCATTTTATGTTTTCATCGTCCGTCCGTCTGTCTGTGTCATTCTATCTGTCTAAAGAAATCTGGATCATTACCTAACTAAAAAATAATAAAAAAATAAAAATGCCTTGATGATACTTGGACTTTTGATAGAGCACCACATATGCGCATTATTCATACTATTTTAATTTCTTTTTTTTACCTGTCTGTCCGTCATTGGTGAATGTTCGGAATCCATATAATAATAATACGATATGGGATTGCTTCATTGTCTGTGAGAAGTAAAGTATATTTCCATTTGGACCTGGGTTTTAAAAGGCTCTCACAAGTGTGGACGAATTGACCATTCTTCTCTGGATGGTCAGCAATGTGCAGATATGGAAAGAGTTGAAGAGATAGCAAAACAAGTACCACTTGAATACGTTGAACTTGAACGAGGTAATGCTATTTATATTTAAAGTTTCAATATGAATATACCATCAATTGAGCCACGTCACACAAAACGAACATAGTGCGTTTGCGACCAGCATGGATCAAGACCAGCCTGCGCATCCGCGCAGTCTGATCAGGATCCATGCTGTTCGCTTACCAACCCTTTTTTCAAGTAGAGAGAAACTGATAGCGAACAGCATGGATCCAGACTGGTCTGGATCCATGCTGGTCGCAAACGTACTTTGTTGGTTTCGTTGTAACGCGGCTCAATTATTTAATTAAAAATTTTACTTGATTCATTGTTACCTGACAAATATTGGTACTTGAACATTTTGTCATCGACATAATCATCTCATACGTCTTATAATTATGACACCAATGTTAGAATTTCAAGAAAGTTTGAATGAAGAGCAAGAATGTCGTTCCATTCTTTGATATAAAAAATATGAGACCTTTTTTGGAATAAATGTATTTTTGAGCATATTGGCCCATAACGGAAGGTCTGATTTACCATACATAAAACTTATGTTGATAGAATTTAGCATTATATGTGTCAATAACCAAGGAAGAATTATACAATGTATATGGATGTTATTGGTAAGTGTACAATACATGTTCCGATGTCGCATATCTATATAAAGCAGATAAAACTGTACTTGAAAAAAAATTTCAAACTAAATCACTTAAATCTTTATCTACACATTTTTAAGGCATATTTTATAAAATTATTCTAATGATGTCTAATGACAATTTTTTTATTTTTATCAATGGTTAAACTAATAACGGAAATTGTGTATATGAAGATCAATCCGCTTAAAAATCTGAAAACATTATATTATAAATATATGAAATACATAACTTCTAGAAATTAAAATTAAACGAACCTTCTTCATTTCATAATCCTACCTTTAATGATCGATCAGATAAAATACAAGTTCACAATGTATGTAATGTATTGGAAGGCGTAGCATGGCAACCATAATATGTCAATGTATTCATAAGGGCCAATGTTCGACAGCTTTCATTTTCGTTTTCTTTAAAATATTGTTTTTTTACATGCATTGCCGATGTTTATTTCATATTTACGAGAGGAGTTAAAAGTGGTAATTACAAGCTACAACAGCCTATGCCCCCACCCCTAGCACAATCTTATTCAAAAATTTAAATATGAGAAATGCGAAATCTTTAATAAAGAAACATCCGCAGATCTGTTCATACGGCTGTTATCATGAACCTTCCAATGTAACAAGCTCGAGCCATTCCGTATAAAGCGGCGTATGGTCCCCAAGTAAAAGAAAGCGTGTACCCTACACTAGGAAACAATGGGCGAAAGTAAAATAAAATGGAATTTTGAATGGGGATCATGGCTAACGAAACCTGCATAACACAGACAAGACTTCAAAGACAAATTGAAAAAAGAAGGCAACATATCCTAAGGGTGTTAATGAAATTCTAAGATATATCTTGGACACTTTGCTACGAGATAATGTAAACTTTGATGATTATGCGACATTTAATGTTATTTGAATGTTTGTATTACGTGACCATGAATATTACATTGTCCGTCTATCTATCTATCTATTATAACATATACTTTCTTGCAGGAGATGCATTGTTTTTCCATTGTAATTTATTGCACTGCAGTAGCGCCAACACAAGCCCATCAAGGCGATGGGCATTTATCTGTGTATACAATCGAGCCGATAATAACCCGGTGAAAGCTCATTATCACCCATTTTATACACCTTTAGAAAAGGTAAACTTACTTCAAGACATTTGATATATATATATATATATATATATATATATATATATATATATATATATATATATATATATATATATATATATATATATATATATATATATATATATATACATATATATGTATGTATTTATATATTAATATTGTTTTGTACCGTTTATAGCTAGACATTTGTTTTTAACAAGACATTTTAAAGGTATAATTGTGTCTTGCAGCTTGTGTGTTTCAAACCTTAGTTCTTGTTATTACTGGCAAGACGCTGTTTGTTTTTAAACGGTAAACAATAATTAAGAGAAAAAGAAACTTGATGTTTGCTATCAATTCAAAATATTGATGAATAGATAGATAGATAGATTTATGACATGCTCACCAAAACCAAGGATAACAAAAAAAGGGCAAAAAAGCTCTCATTTCCATTGTGGTCCTTTGTATTGGCGGCATGACATAGAGAGGCAAACCTTAATATAATCATGTTTGAAAATACTAATAAATCATAAAAATGTATATCACAGTCAAATCTTGAGTTAATGATACTCCTGTTTACAGCTAGGATTTAAAACACATTACTTAAATTGTAATAAGATAAATGGCAGACAATTTAAAATCCTGAGCCGAAATATGAAAAAACATGTTTAAAATTTTTTTTAAATACTGTTCATAAGATGACTTTTGATGGCAACCTTAAAACTTTGTAACCTGTTGATCTCCGTTAACTTTACAGGTAAATCATTCCATAATTTTATACCAGAGAAAGCAAATGATTTAGAACCCTGGCCTTTGACCTTAGGTAGACAATATCCACCCTTTTGACTTAGTCTTGTACTATAATTATGAATGGAATCTTGTGAAATAAAGTGTTCAGACATGTAATCCGGAGATAGGCCATTTTTAATCTTAAAAACATGACACAACATTATCTGTTCAACTCTTTTGTGGACCGGTAACCAGTTAAGGGACTTAAATTGGGATGGGTCAATGTGGGCTCTAGAGTCCAAGTCAAGTACAAATCTCATTATTTTGTTTTGACAAGTTTGTAACTTATTTTTTAAAGACTGTGTCAAGCTATTATACCAAAACAGAGCATGCGTAATCATAGTGACACTGAATAAGAGACATAACCAGAAGTTTCTTGGTATGCTGAGTAAGGAACTCTTTCTTACGGTAAAAAAATTTTAACCGAGAGTTGGCCTTCTTAAGAACAGACTCGGCCATGGCGCAAAATGACAGATTTTGGTCTATAGTAATCCCAAGATACTTGATATATGAAGTTGATTCAATGGATGTACCAGAACAGGTTATATGCAGGTTAGATTGTGACCTAAGTTTTTGCCTGGACCCAAATAAAATTGACTCGGTTTTACCCAAATGCAATGACAACTTATTGTCCACTAACCATTGGCTGACCAATTCAATATCATCTGTCAATGCCTTTTCAACAACAGATAAACTTTTACCAGATACAAGGATACCAGAATCATCAGCATACAAAAGCAATTTATTTTTGACCATAGCTGACATATCATTTACATAAATTAAAAAGAGAAGGGGTCCAAGGATTGAGCCCTGAGGAACACCACATGTTATTTTGGAATTGGAAGAATAAGTACCAGAGACATCTACAAGCTGCTGTCTATCTGATAAATATGATTTGAACCAATTTAGGACGTCAATACTAAGACCTGATGCTTGCAGTTTCATTAAAAGAATGGAATGGTCGACTGTGTCAAACGCTTCTTGCAAATCCAGCAGAATGAGATAACCTAAAACACCTTTGAATGAGATATGAATAAACTGTAACCACAAAGTTCTACAATATATGTTCACATTTTCATTCACTTGCATTTCATTTTCCGTTTTCTTTGAATTAATTTCAGGTTCCAAATTCTGCAATTCTCGAGTGCCAAGATTTTACAACTATGGATGGCAAATGGTTTAATGACCCCATCACTGATAACATTCCAACTGGATGACGAATTGAAAAAAGTGGACAATGAAACTTACATTGACCATAGCTTTTCTTGTCATGAATTTTTGTTTTCCCTTTTTTTCATTACTACGCATTAACCGTATTACAACGTATTATTTGATGTCGGTTTTGTGGGTGGATTGATAGCTTTCTTTTATTTCCTGTAATAAGTTTTCACTTTATTAAATATATGTACATTAAACAATGTGAACTCTCGGCATGACTGAGTCGCTAGCCGCACAGTTTATACCCCGCCAGGAGGAATTCATTGTTTCCATGAGCAAAAAACTACATTGTATACACTCATTGTTCAGGATTATTCCAGAAAACGAATGATTGTAAAAACGTGTCTGTAAGCTTTAGTTTCCTACACAATTTAACTATTATAAATTTTGTAAACTAATGTACAATGTTTTATATATATACTGTTTTAACCAAGGTTTTAATTTTCAAAATCCTGGTCATTAGATCGATAAGCAAATGATGGGCTGTTATATTTATAGGGGAGTATAAATTTAATACTATTATTGAACAAGTCAAATTAAATTATATTATGCGAGCCTAAAATTGTCTTGCCTATAGTGTAACACTAACATTATTGCGCACTAACGCTATGTTTGTATTCAACACAAATGACATCACGTCAAATTGTTATTACACTAGTGTAATATCGTTTATATTACATGGTTTTATTACACTCCTGTGCCGAATTTATTTGATAAGTACATATATATATAAGGGAGATAATTAAATTCAATACAGTTATACTTTCCCCTGAGTGGGATCACTTAAGATACAAGTGTGCAGATAAATTGATAGAAATGAGAGAATATATACACACATACCAACACATCGATATGCCAGTCCAATTACGGCACAGCGCCTAGCAGTACAGTCATGAAAGCATAGCCACTGCTCATCCACCATCACAAAAATGATGGTTTCAGAACAGCTTTATATACAGTCACAAACTGCACTACACATTGAAACAAGCTCAACATTCACATATATAGAGTTTGTTCTCTGTTATCATATCTCACAAATCAACGATGACATTTTTATTGTCTTCTTCACTGATTGGGACCAGAGAACTATATATCTATTTCCGAAAGTCAACTGTAATATATATATATATATAAAGAGAGCTGGGTTGGTTGAACATTTTATGTACATGTAACATTATTATTCGGACCAAACATGATGAATAGTTATTGTTTGATGATAAGTAAAAATTTAACTTTTGAATTACATGTATATTTAGTATTGGTGGATATTTTTTACGTCTGTTTGGTTATGTCAGTCTTATTAACAGGCACGGCGTTGCTATCAAATATGGCTTAACTTTTTGTACTTCAGTGATGTATTATTTTAGATCATCGATTCCAGCAAGTCTTGAAAATAATGTGCCGTTTTAAGCCAGTGCTTGGGGCGAGAGGGATGCTGCACTTACCTGTCATTTAGTGATTCAATTTAACCGTGTCTGAAATTTTAATGTAATTTTGTTATTATTTCATGCTTTTGAGGGATCACATTTTCTCCAGATTTTTTTAGTTGTGACATTGATGTATTTGATAGAAGAGAATTACTGTATGAATGTAAATGTTACTTGACAAGTCGATCAGTGTATGTTACATTAAGTATTTTTGTGTATTCAAGTAAGATTTTATTGCTTTAAATGATAAACTAAATTTAATTAAACTTAAATCTGATATTGATAACATCGTATTGTTAAAAAATTGAAGTAGATAGACAAAAATAAAAGCAATCGGTGTTTCCTGTTTTCGCTTGTATATATAGGAGGGTGGGGTAAGTTCCTAACCATAAATTGTAGAATGTTGCCTCATTTCTACAAGAAACATCATTAACACTCAAAAGAAAGAATATAAGCTATTTATTTCTGTTAACAGCAGTCGGACGGGTGTCATACAGGTGATTGTATCCTTAAATATTCGGTTCTCGATAATGTAACAATAAAATGCAAAAACAACAAATGGAAAAGACTCACCTTTATTCTAAATACATCATTGAATCCATAAATATATTCTCTTTAAGTTTTTTAATTGTTAACAATCAATGAAATAACGAATAAAAAATATTTTCAAAAAATCTAACAACAGCCAAAAAAGGATTTCCAAGATGGCGTCTTGAATTCTCGACAACTCGAGATAAATCTCAAAACGAGGCTGTATTAAGTATGGTGGCCCAGTGTTGACATGCTATAAACAACAGTTGCAGTAGAACACTGTATTCTTTCTCACAACACGGACTGGAGAGCAGTATTTAAGGTGAACCCAATGGGAACAAGTAGCATTATCACACTGTGCTCAGTGGGTGAATTCTATTGCACCATGGGAATGCTTGTCTACATAATATTGATGACATTGGCAACACTTATCTTCATCAGGTATTTTCTGATTCTTTTCACTATCAGAGAGGTCTGATTTTTCAGAAAGTTCAATGTTTTGTTTGGATGGACCTGGCTTTTGTTTATCATTTATTTGAAGATTGAAGCTGGTGGCTGAATTCTTTTTGTTCTTAGGAGTTTTAGTTTTTTCTTTTTTAGGATCATTTGAAACTAATTTTACTGTTATTTTTCATCAATGTATTTTTTCATTTTTTCTACAGTTTCACCTTCCAATGCTTTTCCACCCAACAATACTATTAATGCTTTTACGTTTTTTCTTCATGATTTTTATATGTACATCACCCCTTTCTTATCAAAAAAGTTATTTTCTGCTGTTTCAGATTTTTTGTGATCTCCTGATGCTGTCACTTCATCATCAACTATGTAAAGTTCTGATGGTTTGATTTTACTTTTTAAAGTTCAACCATAGAGGACGAGTTCTTGAATGGATAAATGCCTGCCTTATTGAAAGAAGCTTGTAAATTTAAAGGACTTTAGAGCAAATGAGTACGCCTTGCAAGCAAGTGAGCAGACAATCAATAACGAGTGACAACTCTGTGATGTGTTCTAGCAAAATTTAGAACATTCTTGAGCATATTTCAGTTGCAGGGGACCAAAACATCCAATGTCCATAGGCTGGAGGATATGAGAGGTGTGTGGTGGCAAGACAAACAGAACAATATTTTGCTGTTTAGCCCATTCAACAAGATCTACTGATATGTGACTACGATGACCATCATACAGTATTAGAATTGTGTCATCTGATCTTCCCTAGCAAAACTTTCATAAAATGATTTTGCAAATAATCTTTAAAAACAACACTATTTTGACCAACCACTTGGTGTCATGATACCATCAGCACCTGGACTTTTTCCTTCCAAGAGACCATCTAACATTCGGACACCAGGGAAAACAAAATATGGAGGGATTTGCATTCCAGCTGCATTGGCCAGCCACTATTATAGTGACAGTTTTTACACGCTCAGACATGATAACTTGTGCCTTACAATCTTTTCCACTAACAACACTAGGGGGTTTATATTCAGTATTTATTCCCTTTCTATCAAATGTTATAGATAAGGTGCGGTTTGTCAAATAAATCGTATTTACGTAAATTCTTTCAAGTTCATTTTAAAGTATTTAGTGACAGATTCTTCACTGGCACATTTAGCACGTTGTTCAGACAGACTTGAAGGACGGACAACATTAAGTTCTGGCCACCTTTTTTATGAAGTTATAAAAACCAATTAAGAGTGAATGGCTGATCATCTTTCCTCTTGCCTAAAGAAACAGCATAATAAGAGGCTAAATTGACTACTTCAGCCTCGTGTAACCATATCCAAGAGAAGCAAGATTCTTTTAAGTGTTCACACAATTTAGGCTTCTTCATCTAAAGAAAGCACAGGGCAGGGTCCCGATTTGACACAATCAATTGATATTCTATTATCAACCCGGTCTCTCAAAGTAGTAAGAGGAACTCCATTTAGCTTTGCAGCTCTATATACTGGGATTCCTTCATCTTTCACCATTTTATAAGCTGATGTCATAGCAGTTGGTGACCATAGCCGTAGTCTTGACCTATCTGCAGGTTGAGTAAGCTGAAATGAACCAGAATAAATAATCTTTTAATGCATATTTTGGCTTATTTTGAATACCACATATATTAAACATGAAAAGATAACAAAATTTATATCGAGAACTGAAAATCTGAGGATATATGACTAACTGCATAAGATATGTTTGTAACCTTTATCCAGATATCCAAAACAGTTTTATTTAATGCAGAAAACTCTAGACGAAACGGGTAAAAAATGTTGGGTTACTAAAGTAAAACATGTATTGCTAAGTCATGGTTTGGTTTGTCTTAATATCTCAGGAAATTGCTATCATCAACATGTTTCTAAAAATGTTCACTCACAGACATATTGATTGTTGCACTGAACAATGGCATGAGCATATTGCGAATTCTAGTCGGTGTTTTCACTGTAATAAACTTAAATCAGTTTAAATTTTGTTTAATATATAGAAATACCATTTAAACATAAAAGGCTTCTTTGTAATTTCCGGTACTTTAAATATAAACAAGAGCCATGTTAACATGGCCATCTATCGCCGAATGTGCTTGCTCATTGGAAGAATGTATATGTAGAAGAGCAGAATATTTCAATTTTAAGAGGTCTTTTGGTAATGAAAACTGATGGCTGAAGTGATTGCAGATTGAAACCTATGGAAATACTGATGGCTGAAAATAACAAAAGGGCAATAACTGAAAAATAATGCAGGGTAGGTTATAATTCTTGTGTGCTGCACTCTTTAATGAGATCTATCCACCTGTGACGTTTCAAGTTGATACCTCTAACACTTTTTGAGATAAGCTCAGGACAAAAAGTATGAAAAGGCAAAAACTCAAAACTTATGAAGGATAGAGTTATCACTCTTGTGCACTGCACACTACCTAAGTGAGATTTATCCACCTATGAAGTTTCATGTTAATATCTCAAAGGCTTTTTGAGTTATGCTCTGGACAAAAATTAAGTGTGAAAAGAAACAAAGGGCAATAACTGAAAAGTATACAGGGTAAAGTGATCATTTATGTGCAGTGCACACCTCCTCAATATGATCTATCCACCTTTGAAGTTTCAAGTTGATACCTCAAAAGTTTTTTTGGGTTCTCGGACACAAATTGGGGAAGGAGGACGGGGGGATGGGAAAGGGAAAACGATTAACGGCCGACAGACGGGGGACGAAGACTCAGTAATATTTGAAATTTTAAGTGATTTCTTTATATGTTAAAAATTTAGAGTTTTACTTTTGGACAAAGTAAAAATCAAAATAAAAATTGGGAATAACTGAAAAATTATCAGGGGGGTTATCATTTCTTGTTGCGCACTCCTTTTTTAAATGAGATCTTCCCCTATGAAAATTCAAGTTTATTTTAAATCTTTTTTAAATAAGTCGAAAAAAATATGAAAAAAAAAGAAAGGACAAAAAATCAAAATGTAAGGGGCTTTTTTTTTATTACAGCAATGCTCCTCAGTAAGATATACCCACCTATGAAGCTTCATGTTGACATCTCATAGATTTTTTGAGCTACGCTCCACTCAGGAAAAAACATAAGTATGAAAAATAACAAATGGCAATTACTCAAAAATTATAAAGGGTACAGTTATCATTCTTGTGCACTGCACATCCATCCACCTTTAAAGTTTCATGTTAATATCTCAAAGGATTTTTGAGTTATGCTCTGGAAAAAAATTAAGTATGAAAATAACAAAGGGCAATAACTGAAAAATAATGCAAGGCAGGTTATCATTCTTGTGTGCTGCACTCCTCTTCCATGAGATCTATCCACCAATGAAGTTTCAAGTTGATACTTAAACACTTTTTTATATAAAGTCCAGACAAAAAGTATGAAAAAAACAAAAAAAACAAAACAAAGGGCAATAACTCAAAAATTATAAAGGGTAGAGTTATCATTCTTGTGCACTGCATACCTATCTACATATGAAGTGTCATGTTAATATCTCAAAGGATTTTTGAGTTATGCTCTGCACAAAAGTTAAGTATGAAAATAACAATGGGCAATAACTCAAAAATTATATAGGGGAGAGTTACCATTCTTGTGCACTGCACACCCATCCACCTATAAAGTTTCATGTTAATAACTCAAAGGATTTTTGAGTTATGCTCTGGAAAAAAATTAAGTATGAACAAACAAAGGGCAATAACTCAAAAAATTTATAAAGGGTAGAGTTATCATTCTTACGTTATGCACAGCATTCTACCTCAATAAGATCTATTCATCTATGAAGTTTCATGTTGACATCTCAAAGACTTTTTGAGTTATGCTCCACTCAGGTGAAACATTAAGTATGAAAAATAACAAAGGTCAATAACTCAAAAATTATGAAGGGTAGAGTTATCATTCTTGTTCACTGCACTCCTCCTCAATATTATCTATCCACCTATGAAGTTCGAGTTGATCCACAAATACTTTTTGAGAAATGCTGCTGACAAAAATGTCGGAAGGACGGACGGATGGACGGACGACTCACAGGACGGACGGAAGGACGGAAGAACGGAAACTATTACTATATCCCCAGCCCCCTTTTTGGCGGGGGATAATTTGGGAACAGCAATAGACAGACACAATAATATCCCAAGGGAATACAACTTGTTACCGCGTCTACAAAGCGTGATATCTCTTCAATATTGGGCAGTATTTATTATGTTATTCAAAAATTCAAACGGAAACGGCCTTTTATTTTAAAATTTTAATTTGATTTAAAAACTGGTGACGCATTTATACACTTTTTCATTTCTTTCCTTAAATAATCTTATTTAGAATGCTATGCAAGTAATTTGTCAGGCACGAGCTTTCTTTATGATAATGATAATGATAATAATAATTATGAGCACTTCAGTTGTTCAATGCCAAGATATATCTGACGCTTCATGTTAGGGAACAGTAGCTATAAAAATTGCAGTTACATATAAACTACCAAATTAAGGGTGAAGTTGATAAACTTCATGTAAACCTGATCAGTATTAACTGATAAAAAGATACTGATATCCTAGTTTAGTGAGTATGAACGAAAACAATGCCGCTTAAAAGTGAGTAAAATCATTTCTTTAAATATCTAAATTCGGACGGATTTCACTTTTTATATTTGTTATTTTTTTATTTTCAAAAATCTGACAACATATACTCATTACCAGAAATGATGAAACGGTAAAAACCTCGGTGTAATTATAAAAATCAAGAAACATTCGGAGCAAAAATTATTCTCAACAAATAAATGTTGTAACATCTTTTGTTACAGAGTATGAATGTATCGACGGTGAATTCTGTGTTACTGATGAAATAAAGGCGGCGTTTGAGAAGGATGGTTTTATCATAGCCAAGTGAGACTTCTTTATCATACCTAAAACCGTTCTATTTATGTAATTTGTAATAGCATGCACCTTGTAATACTTACTGACTTTAGGCTAATGTCATAGGTTAAAATTGTCAACATATTTTCTAGGGGCTTACTGTCACAGGAAGAGATTGCACATGTTGAAAAAGCGCTCAAGACTGGACCTTTTGAAGATCATACTTATGGGGTATGTTTATGTATACTTAACATTTAAGGTATTGAAAAGGAAATTATATGTATAGGACTATTTGATATATGTATTTTATCTCAACAAGTCTTTAATCTATGAAAATAACAACATTTGTTCAAATTTGTTTTGATCTATTTAACAAATGAAACCGATTTGATTAAAAGAAAATGCTTCTATATATATCTGTTTTAAAAGTAATTTCATTTTTCCCATGCACGGTTATTTAAGCTTGTGACAGGCCTTAACATCACCACATCTGTTTACAGTTATACAATATGCATCGAAATAAAAGTTCGCATTTAAATGAGATAACCTTGACCTAACAGTTTGTTTAACTTACTTGACAGATGTAGATACCGCTGCTTACATACATGTACTGTTCCAATTTTAGATCAATCTTTACAAAGTAAACCATTTAACAATCTAAAATCAGACCAGTATAAAACACTGAGATTTCTGGAAACAAACCAAACATATCTTATTCCACGAAAATGTATGGGCATGTGTTGAAATTTATCTTTTGAATAGCCGAAATCCGCCGTATGTTAAACAAACCATTTCAACGGATATTTACATTTAGGTTGGAGACGGGGCCGGTAAAGAAGCACATTTAATTATGTGGAACCATCCTGGTGTTGACGTTACAGGTATGGTTGGTAGATGTGAAAAAGTCGCTGGTACATGTGAGAAGGTAAGAGATATCACCTAAATCTTAGTCTTATCAACGAAATCCCAGGGTTATTTCAGTTCAATGTACCTTGAACTGCTATGAATCAATCGAATTTTGTTTGTATCTACTTATTGTGATAACAAAGCGTGTGTATAAATCAAGCCGTCTCAACGAAGACGAAGTCACGGCTGGTAATTTCATAAAGCGTGATATATATGTACGTAAAAAACAACACATATGTAAAGTAAGATATGATTCTGCTCATTCATTTACCGACAAATCTCGTTTGTAAGCCCTTGGTAGAGTAGACGTGTTATGCAAGTATCATACCAGGATTGTAAGAGAGTTGTCAACAATGATATGAAGATCCCATCCAAAATTGAAACTTGTGTAGAAATAGTATATTTATCATTACGAATTTTCAATTTCAAATGAGGAGACTTTCAAAACAAATGGCGAAAAGTTTGGACACCATTTTTTTACGCTTTTTAATATTAACCATCGTAAAGCATAATATTTTGAAATCTCAACGAGCTGCCATTTTTAGAAGTGGTTTAATGCTTTCAAAAAAACAAGAAGTATAATTATCACGATTGGAAATAAAAAGAAAAGGGGAATACACATCCTTAAAAAATACTTCTGTAAACAAACTCAATGTAAAATTCATATGTGTAATTTATTTATCACAAAAAATATATTGCGTATTTTAATTGTATTGCTAGCTTCTCGGTGGAGAGGTTTACCATTACCATACAAAGTTAATGAAGAAACCGGCAAAGATTGGCGGAAGACATGTTTGGCACCAAGACTATGGGTAAACATCCACAAATAAACATCATTTTATAAAGAACCATGCAAGAACATCGACTCCTATTTAAGCTTTATAGTGACCTACACAACTTGTTTTTCTTCGTGTAATATATTTAGGAATATTCATGCAACAAGTAATTGTTATTTTTATCATTTTTTGGTTGAATATTCACATTTGTTTAATTGATTTTAAATTTGCTGGATGAATGTGAATATTTGCTCACTCAAATGTAAGATATATAGGATATTCTCGAAAATCAAACAAATTTCTTCTTATTTTATGCAGAGAGTACTTTTTAACTATTTTCTGTAACGACGCACATAAAATGTGACGTCAGACGCATGTGCCCTTTTACGGCTGCAAACAAGTTTCAAGAATAATGGGAGTTCTAGTTTTAAGCGATCTTTGAGCCGAGATTTTAAGATACGTCCAGTTTTAATGATGTTAAGAAATTGTTTTTAAAGGCCAACTTTTGGAATCATAAAGAGTGAAAATCTACACCAAAAAGGTTCGTCTAAGCGGTATCATATGCATTAGACGTAATATTGATTTTAATTATGAATAAAATCCGGTTGTTCTCTGAAATAAATAAAATCATTCCAGTTATAACCGTAACAAGTGTTTATGAATACTGTACCAGCACTTTGTGTTTTCTTGCGCCAGTGATTACATCTTTACTCAGCATAAAATATGTTAAATAGCAAGAAAGTTTTAAGTCTATAAAATAACGCTTTGGTAAATTTAGTCAAAGAGAACGGTTAATGTTCTGCTTCGAAATATAATTTTCTTTATATTTCAGATACTGGTATAGATATGGCAATTTATTTCCAAACATGATGACAGTGTTCATTGCTGTTGACAAGGCCACCAAAGAAAATGGTTGTCTCCAGGTATCATTAAAACTCAACTATAGGCTAAGATGTTTTATTTCGTACATTCGTTCATCCGTCTCTATTTTTTGTCCGGTGCATTACTTAAATAGTATTTGAAAAACCAACATGAAACTTTATAGCTAGATAGATATTATCTCATTAACAAGGATGCACTGCAGAAAAAATTATAACTCTACCTTTCATAATTTTTGAGTTATTTTTCTTTGTTATTTTCCTTTATTTTTTTTGTCTAGTGCATATATCAAAATTATTTGAGGTATCAATTTGAAACTTCATTGGTTGATAGATCTCCAACAATCAGACTAACATGTGCAAGCATGATAACTACCTTTTATAATTTTTTAGTTATTGTACATTGTAATTTTTCATGCTAAACTATTTTATTATTTTTTTTATGCTTAATTTTTATCCGGAACATACTTGAAAAATCTTTTCATATATGCCTCCGTCACAGATGTAATAGTTTGTTATACTTTTATCAGTTGCAGCCTATATCTCTATTGACTTTATTTAAATTAAATTCCCATTTTCAACTAGGTATTAAAAGGCTCTCACAAGTGTGGACGCATTGATCATATCACTGTAGATGGTCAACAAGGTGCCGATATGGAAAGAGTTGAAGAGATAGCAAAACAATTACCACTTGAATATGTTGAACTTGAACGAGGTAATGGTAGTATATGAAAGGTTTCAACATAAAAATTTATTTCTTTATGACTTACCTGTAGATGTTGGTACTGGCAAAAATGCCATTGCACGTATTATCTTTGACCAAATAAACACATCACACCAGTTAAAAGAAATCAAGGTCCATATTTCAAGAAATTCTGAATGAAAAGCACGTAAATTGTTCCCATTTTCATACAATGTAACATTAATTTGGTGTAAAGGTATCGTTTATAATATGAAAGTCTAATAACATATAATGATAAATAAATTTTGGACCAACAAGATATTGTACATTTCACTTCTACTTAAGATACACAACCTAAGGTTAAAAATATTTCAATTCAAATACTATTATACAATTTCTTGCAGGAGATGCATTATTTTTCCATTGTAATTTATTGCACTGTAGTAGCGCCAACACTAGCCCCTCAAGGCGATGGGCATTTCTTTGTGCATACAACAGGGCTGATAATAATCCAGTGAAAGTTCATTTTCATCCGTTTTATACACCTTTAGAAAAGGTAAACTGAATCAAGATATTTTACAAATACTGTTTTATGTATTGGATTAGATTCAGACAGGAATGCCTGTATCGTGCATTGTGTATTTTCTACCGGACTATTTTAAATGTTTTATAACACAGACCTGTGTTTTTTTCAATAATGTACACTGAAAAGACTATCTTTGTAATTTTTAGATATTTTTTGTCAGTAATACAATGAAAATAGCTTTGAAAGTTTAATGGTTAACAAAAATAACAATTAATTAATTAATTAATTATTTATTTTTTTCCCTAAATTACTTTCAGGTTCCAAATTCTGCAATTCTCGAGTGCCAGGATTTTACAACTTTGGATGGCAAATGGTTTAATGACCCCATTACTGATAACATTCCAACTGGAAGACGAATTTCACAAAATGGACAATAAATTATACATCTGACCTGATCATGTATTTCTCTTTCCATTCACGTTACCAGATACGTTAAACAGTTTCTGTAGCGGCAAATATTTGTTTCCGTCACATTGCCTGCTTTTCTTTTCTTCATGTCACAAGTTTTCACTCGACAAATATGTATACGTTAATTATTGTACAGTGCATTTCTTTAATCAAATCGGATATATACAGTATATTATACTGATATACCATACATTGTTTTATTTATGTTTATCCCAAGACAGATCGGCTGTATGTTGATAAAACCTTAGTACCATTCATGTTTTTAAAGATGAAATCAAATTATTATGGTACAATAATGTAATTTAAACATCTTTTTAAATGTCCAGATACATGTATATTATCTTACATATTTGTATATTAAATAAAAATTAAAAACTCCGAAACATCTTTTAGCATATGTAAATAACAAAATTCCAAACCAGTAATAGACTGAATCTATGTCAAAACTCGTACGTTGAATTATAGATACTAAAGACTAGACGGGAAAATCTTGTAATTAACATGTTCAAAACTTTTCTTCTTTTGATTCAACTATGTTTTGTAACAGTTCCTACTGGATGAGAAGACTATAGAAGCTAGATTACATTGTTTAACTGGATTATAGATTGGTAAAAAAGTGCAGTTCGACAAGATCTGCAGTCAAATTGATATAATACCATAGGATGCATAAAAGTAAATTTTGAAATATTAAAATGACACTGTCAAAATAAAAATGTCGCAGACTTAATTTTGTTTAGGTTTTTCATTGGCGTTATCAGCACTAAAGTATTACTCGATATTTACATGAAAAACTACTGTTTTTTTATTTTTGAAACGTATGCAGATTTATTATATACATGTACTTACAAAAAAAATATTAAGAAAAAAAATTGATGGAATAAAATGCGTATTTCAATTTTCCGTAATTTCAATGTAAAAAGATATTTTTCACTGAATTGAAACATATTTTTCGTATGTTCACTGATATCTTGTCGGACAACTTTCTTCTAAACTCAGCCAATATACAAAATTAAAGTGTAAATCTTTCTCATTATAATGTCAAAAAATGTATATACGATAATATACAGAAAATTCAAGTTTTTCCGTAAATACAGGATTTATTTTCCTCTTGTGGTATGAAAATTATCATGTGTTCATATGGCGGTTACAATGTTATCTTTATTTATTATTAAGACACTTCCATGTTTTCATATTGGCCGTATTCCATAAATTGAACTTGTATTACAAGAATAAATGACAATAAATGATTTATAATGTTTTCAGTTTCCTACGCGGCCCACAATTTGATAATACATCTGTGTCAGTGTAGTTGCATGATTTCCCTTCACATTGATATACAGTTGTATTTTAATTACCAGTCAGCGCAGAAATAAAGTTTTGAATTAAAATATCTTAAAATTATATGTTTAAGAAAAACAAAGGAGATCGTGAATGTATTTATATCTGCTTTTACGATAAAAGGTACTTAAACAATGTATATATGTGATATGTGTTATCAAACACTGATAACTATATGAATACAATTGCCTTGACATCCATCTGTTAAGCAGGTTAAAATGTACATGGATTTTAGTAGTAATAAATAGAAAACGTATAAAATGTCACTTAAAGGTAAGTATCATTATGACAAATATTTTGAATAATCACAAATTCATTAATTACATTATTTGCTTTCTTATCTGAAAGTCAAGCGTCGAATACACATGTTTATGTTTTGTATATGTGTTTTCAAGGGACTCCACTAAGGCTCCTTTACATAGCAGACAAATAGAAATATCTCTTTAGAGATTTTTTTATACGTTTTATGTATGTAACAAATAATTTGTGTGCAATATTTCAAATAAATTCGTTTAATACATTTTTTTTTTTCAGAAAAGTAAATTTTATTTTGCAAAATGACCCAAAAATGAAAACAGTTTTTAAAGCGCCTTAACACGAAATAAGACTTAAATCACACTAAATGTCAGAGTATATATCTTTATCATCTTTTTTTTTATTTTTTAGTTTTAAGTGTTCAAGTTGATCTATGTTTACTAGATTTTATAATTTTGCTTCTTTAATATGTACTGGACACGTTTTGGGTGAATGTGCTTAATTTCGAAAGTTAAATCTCGTCGTCAGAGGTGCAATATTATTAGCACTTGACTAGTAAAGCTGACCAATATGTTTTACTGACGTTAGGTTCAATCGCCTAAATTTTTCAAGTTTTTTTTTTTTTAAATAAGATAGTATCAAGCAATGACAAGAATGTATCAACAAGCGCATGCATCTTAGCAAATATGTTTAAGGTAATGGTCGTTTATTATATTAGTTCATTAATTGTTGACCCTCCTTAAAAATGAATCTAAAATGAGAACAAATCATAACTAGAACACAGATATGCAATAAGTCTATTGCAGTAGTGCTGGCTACTTGGTGCCAATGCCACGCCGACGAATGTTATGATACACATGGGCAGAAACTAATACTATAGACGGTCAAGATTTTATTTTCTTCCATAACTTTCTAAAAAAATTATTATTTTTTTATCGTAAAAAGTGTAGAACCCTCTCATATTAGTGAGTTGCACATACAGTATGTAGAATATTTAAAGGGGATAATCAGTATCTTTTATGAAATGTGAAACGCGTGTTCAGACACTCGGTTTCTCTATATAAAAAATGATTTTTTCCACGAAACATTCTATGTATGGCTTCCTCACTAGAATGAGCGGACTGTCAAATGCTATGGTAAAATATGAAACCTTGATCATTTTGTATTATTTTTTGCTCTACACACATCGCAAACAGTAAGGTGGTAAAGGTATCATGGGAAAATATTTCGCATTATTCTCTTCCACTTTATTTTGATTGATATGTAGGCAGGTTAAAATATGGAACATAAATGAAAGTGATACATAATTATATATTTTATTTGTCTCAATGTCTGACATGGTCGATATTTAAATTTTTTAGGTTACAGATATATGGAGAATGATTTTCAGGTGACAAGTGATATGAAAAAAGATTTTGAAGACAACGGGTACATTATTATCAGGTAATGAATTCATAAAGCACAACCCCTATATCATTTATATCCTCTGCCATTTTATTTGAACTTATTTGGCGATTTACACAGTTTCCTTGCTCTAAAATTTGTTCCAAGTTTTCAAAATTTTGACACAAGACACCGTAATATATAGGCAATAATCGTATATACGGAGCGCAGGTACAAGTATCTCAATACTGATCCAACATGTTTTAGAGATCGTTTAAGTTAATGTACTTCCCTACTTGGAGCAGATTCTCAGTATAATGAAATTCAGTGACATAGTTATGATCTCAAATAATTATCACTTTAATAGATGGAATTTTAATTAGCATGAAAATAATAAAGCTTACTTTATAATACCGGGTTATATACAACATAAGTTAATTCCTGTTTTTCCTGAAACTATACAGTACATTATTGTCTCAATAGCATTCACAATAGCGTGAATTTGTCGTTCCTATGAATTACTATAATTATGTTTTTTATAATTTAGAGACCTTCTATCTAATGACGAGGTGAAACATGTCGAGCATGCGTTGACTGTAGGAAAATTCCAAGAGCATACATATGCTGTAAGTCATTGATCCGGTAAATCTTATTTTAAATGACAAGGTTAGCGTCAATAGAAGGACACGTACCTGACCATCTGAAATTACATGTGTACCCCTGGAATTCAATCCTTAAAATAATCTCCCAAGGTTTTGATGATTAATAATTTAAGACAAAGATAACGATAAACCGTACAAGCTTAGGTTCTGTGTATTTTTTGGTTTGGTTGTACATTGTACGAACACTACGCACAAACACAGTAAAGATAATATGGCGACTGTGCAAAATAATTTCCTTACATGAAATAATCCAAAGTCTCTTGCCGGATTTGAACCCACTGAGGTGAGGTCCAAGAGGTTTGACGACAACGACATCAACCACACGGCCATGGACACCCATTTTCTGTGTATCAAAAAAGTGAACAAAGGGACATAATTGTCAAACATTTGTTGTATATTTTCTTTTGTGATTATTCAAATCACATAAGATTCACATGTGACATCATCATTTAATTTTGCTCTTTTATCAAAATTATGCGCAAAGGTACCTGATGGAGCCGGTCAGGAAACGCATATGATTATGTGGAACCATCCTGGTGAAGATGTTACAGGTATGGTCGCAAGAAGTGAAAAAGTTGCCGGAACCTGTGAACAGGTATGTGAAACAGAAAAAATGTTAAATGGATAAAATATAACATTTCCGTTGATATGTATCATACAATGTCGGCCGATGGAATTTACCTTTGCATCATGTTTGTGTTTGTTGTTTTGTGTTTGAACTTATGCTCAGTGGTGTCTGTTTAGTTGGACGGTATTAGGGACTGCGTTCCATGGACAGTCTGCTTCCATGTTGATCTTTGTATGCATATCTTTACATAATAACTTTTACTACAACCCTTATCTTCGAAAAAGTACATTCATGTATAAATTAGTTTTAAAACTCCATTTCAAAACAATAAGCTGATGACCTTCACGCTTTTGTATAGTTTGTATTCTTTAATGATGTTTGTTCATACGATCTTTATATATACCTTATATAATACCGTAGTTACTTGGAGGAGAAGTCTATCACTACCATACCAAGCTGATGAAGAAACCTCCAAAGATTGGCGGACGACACATTTGGCATCAAGACTATGGGTATATCTTATATAATATTCCAACTGGTGTCTTTGTGGAGATTTTCTTTTTTAATTTGTGTCAATCACAACATCCCCATCATATATTCGTCCATTATTAACTTTAGTTGTAATTTTGGTATTTACTTATAAGAAATGAACCAGAATGTTTTTATTACATGTTTAACTGGTTTAACTTGTGAATTGTAAGTGGAAAGTGTTGTAATACATAGGATGAATTTTAAATATTTTCAATTTTATCGGCAAATTTTTTAGTTCAAGCTAAGGACACGGCGATAATGATAATATGCAAGTATATTATGAAATCAGGTTCGTCTTTAAATTTCAAATTTGTAGGTATTGGTACAATTATGGGTGTTTGTTCCCAAACATGATGACTGTTTTTATTGCGGTAGATAAATGTACTCGGAGCAACAGCTGTCTTCAGGTAATTTCGTTTTCTTTTGGGTTTGAAACTGATCAGTGTATGAAAGGGTGTGTAACATTGGTGGCATCCTATTATTTATGTTGATTCCTTGTCAATATCCAATAAGGATGAAAGTATTTTACATTAAATGGTCGACATACGGTCTAAAAAAGAATAATAAAGTCATACAATTTCTCTTATCTCAATGAAACATCGGGATGATTTTATGACTACTAAATCTTGTGTTCACTAATTTGTAAAGAAAATTAGCAGGCATTTAATGTATCGCAACGTTACAAATTGTATTTATTTATTTTTAAAATGATTTATATTTATTCGTTGAAGATTCTTAAAGGATCGCACAAATGTGGCCGGATTGAACATGTCAAGGTAGCTGGGCAGGTCGGTGCTGATATGGAGAGAGTGAATGAGCTTGCAAAGTCTCTCCCTCTAGAATATGTAGAGCTTGAAAAAGGTAGGACATAAATAATGTAACGATATCTAATTAGTTTCATAAGGTATTATCCTCTTTTCATTTATTTCCACCAATTGTTTTCTGTAATGTCGTAACATGCACTTACCACGACCATCCATGAATAAACTCAAAGACTCATTTACAAACATCCATACACGTATTCATACGGCGGTTATTTCGGAGCTTTTAATGTGACAATTCATTCCAATCCATGAAAAGCGGCAATTTCGAATTTTGAAAGGGGTAACGAGGTTATGAAGTATACATATCACGCAAGTAGTGAAAAATAGGATATTGCAAAGAGCATTTTCAAGTAAGGAATGTTTAAACGGCTCAGTTAGAAAAAAAAGTCAAAAAGTAAGAACTTAAAGAACCTTTTACACAAAACAATGTCGAGTCGAACGACTCCAAGTATCGAAATAATAACAGATCAGATTGTATGTACGGGCCAATTTCAAAGGACCCTTTTAAATTTGTCCTTTGACATTTTATCTGTAATATACAGGCTTCATAACCTCTGATCCACTTTCAAAATTCCATTTTGTTTAGCTCCGCCCATTAGGCACACGCTTTCTTTGAATTTTCTTTTACAAACGCCGTTTTTCATGGAACGACACAATTGTGTCACATTGAAAATTTTATGATAACCGCTGTATGAACACATCTACATGTTTCTAAATTCAAAGTTTCACCGATTTTATGTGTTGATTTCTGCTTAAGTCAGTGCAAGAGAACAAATACCTGCTAGAAGGTAATTCCATTTCCATCCATGAACAGGTTCAATCAAACCAAAACTGTAACATTTTTAATTTTGCCGTTTTGGACTTTCTTTAGGGATTCCTATTTTCTTTATTTATTCACACGGGACAAAGAATTCTTATGTGACCATACAAAAATAAAATCAATTAAAAACGTTCAACACTTAAAAATAAAATTATGGCAGACTCAGTTTGCTTGAGCGTGTTTATGAACGATACTGAAATGAAATTGCAAGTTACCTCCTAGCAACGGCATATACAGAAATCACCATTTACGATTTCATGGAATTTTGAATTTTAAAACATCATCTGCTGTGTCAGTCTTCAGTTGTATGCCATTTAGTTTTCTTTTCTGTCATCCCGTTTCTGCTATTTTATTTTACTTTTTCTTTTTTTTAAGCAAATTATTTGAAGTTTAGAACAGAGTGTAATTATATATATTTTTTTTTTAGGTGATGCATTGTTTTTCCACAGCAACTTATTGCACTGTAGTAGTGCCAACACAGGTACAGACAGGCGGTGGGCTCTTCTATGTGCATATAACAGAGCGGATAACAATCCCACGATACAACATCATCATCCTCAATATGTACCCTTGAAAAAGGTTATTTCATTCTTTAGCTCACCTGGGAACAAAATGCTCGGAGAGAAATTTTTGTGATAATAGTGTTTTTGGCGACCGTCGTTCGACGTTATCCACACTTTCTTTAACCATAGCTTTTTTAACTGTTTAATGGATTTTGACCAATCTTCACAGCAATTTTCATGGGATGGTCCTCTACAAAAGTTATATAAATGGTCACAGTTTTATGCATAGGAAGGTCACAGGAGCTAGCAATAGAATTCTGTTCAGCAGGAAATCCCTATCTAAGAAACTTCTATCCCAAGAGCTAGGATATTTTAGCAAGAAACTTCTATCCCAAGAGCTAGGATATTTTAGCATGCAACATGACCTTGAGGTCCTTTACAAAAGTTATATGAATCATACCCCTCCTATAAAAAACATGGTCACTTAGTTAACATAGTCTTGCATTGAAAATGCATTTAAGTCTTCTTTCACGAAACTGCAATGTTCAAAGCTTAGATATTTGGCATGTAGCATTTAACATCACAACAGCAGGTGTCAAGTGCCGTGTGGCAGCCGTAAAATGTTGCCCCTTATTTCACTTCTACTGGTCATACTTCAGTATTGTTATATTTTCTAGTCCTTCGGGATCATTGATTCCAGCACTTTTAATTTTTTGAAATTTGCGTACCGCTCAAGCCAGTGCTAGCGGACGTGAGGATGTTACACTTTTTAATTATCCCTCATGTACAGAAACAAACCGAGTTGGCTATTTCCATATAAGTTTGATGATTTTAATGCTTTGGAGGGATCACTTATAATCATTACCGCTCTATTTCCTGATTTGTTTACCACACCAAAATGAAAACAAAGGATAAAATGACAAAGCACACTGATAGCCTGCCCTGTGTAACAATATTTTTATTATATTAGAAATTGACCCCATAAGTCATTTACTGAACCTGAGTCTTTGTCAACGTTGATATTTGCCCCTGCTAACATTTCAACAAAAAAATGTCTTTTAAAATCGACAAATTATAAGCGTTAAAACTATGAAATACAGACATTTCATTTTTCATCTGTATGAGACAGGCTATATATTTGTGTCTAACGTTGAAATATAGTTTGCCTACAATTAATCATTTTACAAGTATCTGTTTTGTCATTAAATGACAGGAATGAGTTAAGTTGACACTTAATAATTAATCCGTCTGTATATTTAATGTTACAAGCTTATACCGGTAGGGACGAAGAATAACACGCAAGTTACTTTTCCGGCATTTACAAAACATGACAAATAGCTCATAAATGGACAAGAAAATGAGACGAAACAAACAGCCTTTGACCGATAAACAAATAAAATTCAGGTACTCTTCAAATATGCTGTACATTTCAGGTTGCCGATTCAGCGATTTTGGCCTGTCATAATTTTACAGCATTGGAAGGCAAACATTTTATAGATCCGATCAGTGATAAGCGTCCTGGCCGTGTTCTTCCTTTACACGAGCAGTAAGAAGCCACATACTTTATGTATAATAAAAACACTTTGTACAAGGCAATACATTATTAAAATATGAAGAAAAGTGTTATTTTTATACTTCTATTTAGAGTTCGCCTTACAGCACCAAACATGTATGAAAATGTGACAATTATGAACACTCAAAGTGTACGTAAATTTGTTAGCTATAGTATAATAAAGGATATTGGTAGTCTTAAAGACTCAGTTTATAATAAAAAAAGCAGCAACATCTTCTTCATCTTTTCTTTTCATTTTTTTTTAAATTCGTAATTCAAACAAAGAATTTTCATGTTAAGAAATAGTAGATGAATATGACACAATAATTTAAATGTAATTGAAGATGCTTTGTTTCCTGTTATATTGACGAGGTCACAAATGAGCCGTGTCACGACAAAACCAACATAATGGGTTTGCGACCAGCATGGATCCAGATCAGCCTGCGCATACGCGCAGTCTAATAAGGATCCATGCTGTTCGCTATCAGTTTCTCTACTTGTAATAGAGTTGGCAAGCGAACAGCATGGATCCTGATCAGACTGCGCGGATGCGCAGGCTTGTCTGGATCCATGCTGGTTGCTAACGCACTATGTTGGTTTTGTCGTGACACGGCTCAAATATGTTCAATCAGATTAAGTTTGAACTTTCAATAGAAGAGATGTTTTGTCGAGACCGAGAGGCATGTACATGGATCAACTTCTTACTTGAAAGTATTTCGCTGTCATTGACCTGAAAAATATCAACTGTTTCAGCACGTTTGCATCAATTAATAATTCAATTCAAAATGTCAGTTTGTGTATTAAAAGAATACTTTATTAGATTATTTTTCACTACTACTAGGTAAGTTCTTGATATGACTTAGGGATTATTCGATATTAAATTAAAGGACAAAGTCCAAGTAACATAACTCTAGCATGATTTTAACCTTTCTGAACTTTTTTAAGTTTTTGGAAGATTAATTGCTTTGATACCGTTATCTTATATTTAAAGTGTATAAAACTATATCTTTGGTGTTTTTGGATGTCAAGAATATTGTTTATATTATTATTAAAATAGCTACAAAAAACAAAACAAATATGTCCATATATTTTAATGAAAGCGAGTGGAACATATTTTATATAATCGCTAAACCGACTAAAATAGTAGGGGAACATTTTATTTTGATTTACGTGCAATGTTCATGTATGTTAAATAACAGAGGCAGTCTATGTAACAACTTTTTCGAGATACATGTATTACTGTTAGGATATGAAAACAATATGTATTTATCGCTTTTAAATCGTAACAATTTTTTTTCATCAGATATAGCTTTGTACCCTTTAATATTTTGTAAAAATTTTGTCAAATTAATCAATACGGGTAAAATGAAGAAGCTGGGCTGCAGAAAACAATACGCATCTGTATATTGAAAACATCATAAATAACAAATGAAAATAAGAAGCTCTAAAGTAACATTCCGTGTAACAGCTTTAACATGATTATTAATCCTCCGTATTTCAGACGTTTTGATAGCTCATAGAGAGTCTAACAAAAGATTTACTACTATCACTCTCATTCAGTACGATAATGTTAAAAAAAAAATCGGCATCATTGGATGATATGAAACTGTTTCACCAAAGGAAATAAAGGTAACATGACTTACGTTGAAACCTTTTGGTGGAGGTCAGACTATCGTATTAATTTTACCATGTAGAAATTGTCCTTTAACTTGCCTTAAAATTGAGTTTCCTTTCAATAGATGTATATTTTTCTAGCAGATTAAAATGTCTGACATATAAAAATGACCTTGTTATTTCGTGGTTGCTAACCAATTTTCTTTCAAAATGACTTCAAAGAGGATACTCCTCTACCACCCCATTGATTATTTCTGCTGATCATATGACTAACATGCAATTATCCAAGTGATAATTTAATCCAACAGAATAATGAAATATTTTCAAACATGTACTAGTTTCTTAACTGAAAACATCAATTTTTCATTCTATCACCTGATGTCTCGTTTAATCTTAAGGTTTACCTAATATTTTTTAGCCATTTAATACGGTAGCCTCACTTTGAATTTGTCGCTTCCTTGGTTGTTGATGATCACATAATGTGACTTATACATAACTTTTCATTGTTTAATTTTCATAATTTCTTTGTTTTAAAATTGTATTTTAATTGGTTAATAATTATGGGCATTTTTTTCTGGTTTAAATGCACACGCACGCACGCACGCAAGCACGCACGCATACATATAAGTAAAGTTTTCGGAAATGTAGAATTTAAATTTCGTTTATTTTCTATACGTTTATTTCTCTCAGCGCTTTCAATGCTTGTACATGTCTTCGTCAAACAAGAAGAAAAGATGACAAAAAATATGTACAGTGTATGTGATGCAGGACGTTAACGTGAAAACACAACGTTATATCAATCCACACCATTCCACACACATAAAAGTTTCTGTAATGTCAAATGTCTTGTAATTGAAGGACTATGCTCGTACTACAACAACAGCAACAATCTCATTATGTTTATTACGATCACCATGTCTACCATAGTCACTGGTTTTCAACTGTCCTATTATTGCCTGCTGGCACATGTTCGGATTCCAATTGTCCAAAACGATTTCTTTTCCATGATGTGGGGTATTTTTTCTGCATTCCACCGGTAGAGCTTACACTGATGTTGCCCGTTGTTCACGCCGTATACAAACGAGAGACACAAGAATCTGCAATAAGTAATTAAATCTTGTATCACTAGAACTTACCTTTTTTCCATTCACATATTAATTATTACTTTAAAGGCCAATTTAGTCACAAAAATGGTATAATATATTTTTTAAAGAAAATTACCTTTTTCTATTCACAAATATGTTCATTAAAGGCCCATTAAGTCACAAAAATGGTATGATGTTTTCTTTTTCTTTGTAAAAAAAAAAAACAAACAAAAAACTCATTGACCATTTAGCTGAACTATTCTTTCGCATTTTGGAAATTAGTGTAGTTATAGTGATTAGAATATCGTATGGAATTAAAATACTCTTGTTCATTTTTATTTTATTTGCAAGATATTGCACATGTAGTGCTGCGTATCAGGTTATAAGCACGATATATAATTACACACAAATTCAATAACCAAAACATTTTAAAACTATATAGAACATAAGGTGTTTTCATCACTAAGGCTTTATGTGTCTTTAACAGTATGAAGGGAATGTTGATGTTTCAAAATATACGTGTTATTTCCAGAATAATTTCGATAAAAATATCTACTACATAAATATGTAAAATAACACGCTTCAAAGTTATAGTAAAGAAGCTTATTTGTCCAAAACGCACATTTATATGTTAGAAAATACATAAAAATAGTTAGAAATAGTTTGACAACCCAAAAATACAATTTACCAATAATATGAAAAATAAAATTTACGGAAATTCAAAAGGCTAGGTTAGTATTTCACAGAAGCGCAGAAAGGTCAAAATAAAAGCGATGCGAAGAAACTATACAGGAACTTACCTTTTAAAGCTTTTACAGGCCCGTTCACAGGCGGCGTAGGACCCAAGACCCAACTTTTTGTACCTCACACCTTTTTGGATTGCCATATTTTTCTTAATTTTGAACTTTTCAGCTTGGCTACAAACTGATTAAAAAACGAGCAAATAAGTTATCTGTTTCAAAAAACCACTCTTTTCTCGCAAACATTCGACTCAATCAAGACATTCTTATGTTCCAAAAACAGTATATTCAAGGAGCTGATTTTATAAGATTCAAAATTCACTTTCTCATTTGGACATACCAGTGTACATTAATTTAATATATATTTTGTGTTTGTAAATATGCGTCAATAATTTGCATGTCACTTTATCATCAGGAAACAAAATTATTACTGTCCTTTAAAAGCAATATGAACAACAATAAAAAAAACAAAGGAAAATAAAAAGCAATATAATACCTATATAAGACAAAAACAAAATGAAAAATGTTTAACGCTGATTATCACACACCCGTGCCGATTTTGCGACTCCGTAAATATGGTATTGCACGGCCGTGCATATATTTTGACGTGACGTCATTAGCGTTATACAAACATAGTGTAAAGACGCGCTAAATGTTAGCGTTATACTATAGGCGCGTCAATGAAAAAAAGGCTCTTTTTCACATTAAACGGTCTTTATTTTGGGTATGTGATAAATAGAATATTAAATTTGTGTAAGTTCATCACTGAATTTATTGCACGAGTTGAATTAAATAATATTATGCTCGCCAGAATCTCGCATAATATAATTTATTCAACTCGTGCAATAAATTCAGTATTGAACTTACACTCATTCAATATCCTCTATTTCCTACACATTTTTGTCATATCTAGACACAATCTCCCCACAGTGATCTCCCCTTAATTCTTCGGCGTAGATCTCTGCCACCAAGGTCCCGATATATCAGAATTTCTGATATACTATATTTTTTCAAAAATTGTTTTTTCTACTGCTTTTATCTATCAGATAAGTTTTCTCTCATTTATTTAACAATGTTTATGAATAAATAAATAAATACTATGAATATTTAGAAATAATTTTAAAAATTATGAGATTATTTTCTACCGAGACGATATTTTGATATTTTATATTTTTTAGCTTTTGAATTTATTTTTCTTTATTTTGTATACTTTCGATAATTTTTTGATAAACTTGATAAACTATATCAAACGTAGGCACTAAAAGTTAAAAACAAAACAGAAAGAGAAAAATAACGTTAGATTTTCTATGTAACAGTCGATATTTACATTTGAATTTCGACGTTACGTCATGTGACTTTCATCATCATGTGACGTCTTTGAAGGCAGTGATTACAATGGATTTAGCTCAATACAGGATTGGAGCAGTACCTCTAGACGCTTGCAGAAATCATGATCACAAAATAGACAAATATCGTTTTTTTCGCCGAATTTTACATTTTTCCTTGATTATCGTACTTGATTCGGTGTGAAAAGATGAATTAGACCTGTAAAAGTTCATTCCGTTGGGTAAAAAGACAAGATTTTAGCATTTTATCATTCAAGCGCCTTGTCCGGTATATACCGGAATACGGTATTTAGTGTGGTGCTCCAATCCTTTTTTAGTCACAGCCGATTACAATTCTGCCAAGGGAGGTAATCACTGTGAGGAGTTTGATCTAGACAGTCAGCCCACTTTACCGGTGGCTTTCCTGGATAACTAACCAGTAATTATCTATTTCTCCGCCAATGACGGACTACTTTTTCTACATGGCGAGATACAAATATCCTCCTAAATAAGTTTTCAGTAGAAATGTCAACTTGCCCGGGAACCAGAGTCCGCTGGATCACGCATGCTTTATGCAGTGGTGCTTCAAATAAGGCGTGCGATTTGTGGTGCTGTCATTGTGCACGTTAATTTGAAGGAACAATACATGAGAGAATATGTTATAACATGGTGATCTATAAAATTTCTATAAATCATTTTTTCAAATTCAAAACCGACATGGCTACAGTACTGTTATAGTATGTGTATTTATTTTCTAAGCTCTATAGAAAGTAAAGTACGAAACTGACTTATGTGGCGGTAAACAGCCTTCAACATGTACATGTTGAAAAAATTCTAATTTTTTCTGTATATTTGTCTGGTTCTGCAACTTAAGAAAAACATTTTATATCATAATTATGTGAATATTCCTTTTTATTACACGCTTTTCGATGGTTTATAGAAATATATCAGTGATATAAAACTGGTAATTTCAATGTTTGAAACAGTGAAATTACCACTTTGATAATTTCATTGTTTTGAATTTAAGCCCCTTACGTTGTTTCAGTGAAATACCAGCGTGCACAGTACTGGGTACCAATTTAATGACGTTGTATTATTATTTGGCGCGCTTTTCATTCAGTATTAGGTTTAATGTCTTTTTAAAACGTTTCTTTGCATGCAATAAAAAGAAAATTTGTTTAGTTTAGTGTAAGATCGAAATATATGTCACCTTGTGAACACCAAAAGTTCATATTTCACTCGCGGCTGCGCCACTCGTGAAATATACATTTTGGTGCTCACTCGGTGAAATATATTGCGATCTTACACTGAACTAAACAAATATCCTCTATTTCCCATGAATATTTTATAATGGGTAGTATTTCCCTTCTTTATTTCGTTAAAATATGTCCGACATTATCTTGTTGAATAATTATATAATTTTTAGGAAATAATACATTAGACATCGGTTTATCGCTCCCGTTAAAAAGACATCAGTTTATGCGCTCCCTTGAAAAAGATATCAGTTTATGCGCTCCCGTTAAAAATACATCAGTTAATGCGCTCCCGTTAAAAAAGACATCAGTTTATGCGCTCCCGTTAAAAAGATATCAGTTTATGCGCTCCCGTTAAAAAGACATCAGTTAATGCGCTCCCGTTAAAAAAGACTAATAATATCTGTCATATGTTGCGGTTCGGACCGGAATATCCGTCCCGAGGGGACCCGCCCATTGGGCGGTAACGAGGCTTGCCGAGTTACCGCCCATGGGCGGGTTCCCGAGGGACGGATATTCAGGTCCGAACCGCAAACATATGTCAGATATTTTTTCTTGCATATTCTGCCACATTATTTCATATTTAAAATGGTTTACCTCAATATGATATATGTTCATGGAAATTAAAGTAATTTCATCCTTAACTATTTTCTTAAAATAGCGTATGAACTTACAACTTCAATAACAACGGCGAAATGACGTCATCCTAAGCACATATTTCCCTTCCAAAACGACGTCATTTTACAAATATTGAGAAATATTGATGAAATAAAATGCGTATTTTCATTTTCCGTATTTTCACTGTAAAAATTTATTTTTCACTGCAGTGAAACATATTTTCCGTATTTTCACTGGTGTCTTGCCGGACTACTTTCGTTTAAATTCTGCCAGTACACAAAATTTAAGGGAAAGTCATTAAATTTTAATGTCAAAATAGAGAAAAATGTATATAATAAACAGAAAATTCAAGTTTTTTTTTTATAAATACATGATTTATTTTCATCTTGTGGCATGAAAATTACCATATTTCACTCGTGGCTACCGCCACTCATGAAATATTTATTTTCATACCACTCGATGAAAATAAATCATGTATTCATAGAAAAAACTTGAATATCCTCTATTTATGCGCTCCCATTAAAAAGGCATCAGTTTATGCGCTCCCGTTAAAAAGACATCAGTTTATGCGCTCCCATTAAAAAGACATCAGTTTATGCGCTCCCGTTAGAAAGACATCAGTTTATGCGCTCCCTTTAAAAAGACAACATATTATGCGCTCTCGTTATTCAGATTTCTATCATTTGACAATGTAAAGAATGGATAGTTTGCACAAAAAGAATTTTTTTTTTTAAATTTGTTTGTCATTTTAAAAAATAATAAATCTAAGAATATAAATGATGACACTTAAATAAAGTTCTTTATTTTCGATAGAATGCCTAAATGACAGAGACAGCAAATGACATTTATCGTCAACTGTATTCCTATAAGATAATTCATTTCGAATTTGTGCTAAAACATTACAAAATAACATTGGAAACATTTAACACACGTAGTTTGCGTTAGACGCACACCTGACACACACCTGAAGCATCATGCGCACACCTGAAGCACCATGCGCACCCCTGAAGCACCATGCGCACACCTGAAGTACCATGCGCACACCTGAAGCCCTAAAGTAAATGTCAATTATTTCTTTTTTTTTAATGCGTTTATTTAAGGTCGCCCCCGGAAAGCCCATGTGGGCGAACGTACCCTCAAGTCGGGTCATCCTAGAGCGTCCCGCCGAGATTTTTCGTCGATTTTTTTTTCCAGCTTTTATTGGTGGAGGAAGACCCCAGGTGCCCCTCCGGACATTATTTCAGGCACGAGCGGGCACCTGGTAGAACCACCGACCTTCCGTAAGCCAGCTGGATGGCTTCCTCACATGAAAGATTTCGACCCGAGTGATGATCGAACCCACAGTGGTGAGGGACCTGTGATCTAAAGTCAGCGCAATTATTTCCTTTTTGGCTCTGATACTTAACTAACGATTGTAGGCAGTCCATACACGTATAATTTGATCAAAATTACGGGGCAAATGACTTTGATATATCAAAAGAAAACATGTTTATCAAGATGTCAGATGAACACTGATTTCAGCGAAACGGGTCGTACAATTTTGCACTCACTTTACTCACTCAAAATATATATTCTAAAGTGATGAGAAAATAAATACACACGTAGTACAAGAAGCTGTTTTCTACGTAACTACGTTTTTCTTTTTTGAAAATATTTGATGAAAATATGATTTATATCACAAAAAAGAAAGTCGCACATACATGATTCTTTATAAGATTTACCGCGCACCAGTGCCACCGGAAATCGCACACCTTATTTGAAGCGTTGCACCAATGGTGCTTAGGGTATGAGTTGATAAGGCGTGCAGATTACATACAAACCTGATGCTCTCTATTGAGCATGCAGGCGGACAAAGAACTACAGAAATACATTACAAACCTGAAAAAGCGACTCACAAAACACAACAACAACAAAAAAATAACATTATAAACCTACATGGTTTGCAGATTGCACTGTCAGACCAGTTCCCAGTCTTTTGACACTCAAGCTTCGAGCTTCCCTCTAAGAAAAGCGATCCTTGACAAAAATGAACGGAAACTGTGTCGCCGTATATGTATTTATCTTTCCTAGGCTTGTAACCTCTGGTCTTGACAACTGTTGGTGGTGGGCACTCAACTAAACATATTCATACACAAAATGTATTGTCATTTCAAGCGTAATTTGAACAATGAACAGGATCTCGTTCAGGCCACGCGATATATCGAGATTTAGTAAAAAGCTTGATTCTATATGTGGCCCAAACAGGATTCCGTAGTGAAAATCCTGGTGAGTTGAAGATAAGTAAATAAAATAAATGAATTAAATCATGAGCCAAACTTACAACGAATTATTGTAGAACAAATACTTGTAATATTCAAATTGATATTAATGTTAATATTCCTACACAGTTTGACAAAATAATGAAAACAAAATCTTAGTGATAACTGTTTCACTTACAACCTAATACGAATGTTGAATAACAAAGTATCTTTACTGTTTAACCTATCTAGCAAATAACCTGCTTATTTGTTTTAATTAATTAGACCTGTTTTGAGTTTGAAGCAGTTCATTTTCCTTAAAGGGAGTGTTATATCAAAATACATTAACTGGGCAACAGTATAGAGCCCGGTCGAAAGCACGGGTTGGCAGGCTGGCCTGGCTCTAGCAAAGGTTACTCAATTTGAGTTCCAACAAGGGAAAATTTTCTTCAGAATCATTTCTATAGATGAACAAATTTAAGCAAAGAACATACATTTTGTACATAAACTGTTGATTTCATATATATCTTTTTTTTAATTTCTAGATCGAGCTTTTTATTTTTGTTTTGTGTGTAAAATATTTAAAAACTGATAAAAATATATATAAAAAATAGAAGTAAAACTACCTAAATTGCACTTTGGAAATATGCCATCTTTCGTGTTCCATGTACGGTGTCTGCATGTTAAAGTAGCCTCGTCTGGCACATGTCCTTTATTGCATTTGAGCGTGACGTCATTTCCGTGTAAGACTTCAGGATCATTGAACACCTCGTCATTTGTGGCATAAAGAGTGCCATCGTTAATTGGTGGTACGTTACAGCTTGCTATAAATGAACACATTATGATCTATGATCAGATATCCTATTTAGAAATCATGCGAGAGTATCTATTAACGTCAAAAATAAAAAATAAAACGTTGTTTTTATGATAGGTAAACATAAACATAAGGATAAGGTTAATCAAAGGAAAACTCTTAACAATCATAAGATGCCGGGCTAAGAACAAGTTATATTAAGAACGAATATAGATCTAAATTGTATATAGATATACATGTACATTGTACACATGCTTTGACACGAGCAATGAGCAATTAAATTTAAGGCTTATTTTTGGTCTTTTGAAAATATCATGAGACATCAGCCAAACACTTACAAATTTCAATACAGCGGAAGTCAGTGCGACCGCATGCGCTTTGTCATGTCTCGCTCAGTTACCGTTTACTCGCTTCTAAGCGGCCACAAAATGGCCAGCTTTACCGATATATAAACAATAATGTCATATACATCTCTCAGTGTGAGCTCTAAGAGTAAAATTTCTATACCAAATCTTCAAATTTAATTATTAGAAGGAATCTTTATCCGGAAAAAAGTCAATGGTGCAAAATCAGTGAAACTTATGGGCTGTCGCAACAGTAGGCTGAGATATAAATTCCGCTTTGACAGGTGAATGTTTACTTCCGGTTTTAGATGTTTATCGCAAAAACTAGTTCTGTTTACTATAAGAATCATATATAAATAGCATGGAAATTACTTAGTCTTAAACACGATGCATGACCATATTAGTACCCTCAATGTGAAATCTACTATACTGGTAATCGCTTTGCCCAGCACAGGTCATTCTCTGAGTGCCAATAACAGATCATTCAAGTATTTTAAGTATAGTTTGGATCATCTCTCAAACAATGATTTAAATTAACTTTTGTAAAAGGAACTCCACTGAGGTCCAATAGCGTAAAAAAAATATTTCTTACATGTATCTATTAACTTGGTTAGTTGAAAGAAAAGGATATGCAAACTGTAAATAAGAAAACCAGAGATAAATTGAAAACCGTATTTTGTGCTACTCTTATCTTGATTTGAGTAAAAGCGTTCCATCGTTTTTTCACAATTAGAATAATTATTCTGGAAAAAACGAAATGGTGTAGACCTTCATCAAATGGAACAATTATGTCTTATCCCGGGAAAACATTCTAGTCCAGTCGGTCATGTTAGAAAGCCTGAGTGCAGTGTCTTCAAACTAAGTCAATTCGACATGCGTTGTGCTCGTTTTGACTGACTTAAAATTTAATGGTTAAAATATATATTATGTGGTCTTGGTTGATAGATGGTCTACCGTTTGAGAGATCAACAGTCTACTGTACTGTTGTATCTATAACAAATTCAATTTTGGAATTAACAAAGATATAAAATTGTCATAGCTCCAAAGAAACTGACAATTTCATGTACATGTACCTAATTCGCATTTCGGAACTTGCCCGTCACTGGTCATCCATTTTCCAAAGCTGCAAGGTAGTTTCTTCTCCACTGGTATATACCTTCTATCACATTTAAGTGTGACGTCACTTCCGTGTACTATGACATCAGCTCCATTGAACACATCCCCATTTTTACCATAAAACTTACTGTTACTAACATCTGGTACGATACAGCTGGCTTAAAAAACAAACATATGAAACATTACCTAAATCTAGTGTAAAAATCTGGATATGGAAGCGTCCTGGTGTCAATTCATAATCTTCTGTAAAACAAAAAAAAGAATAACATAATATTTAACACATAATAGGAGATAACAAAAAATTAATTAGTAGTTAGTAGCTTTTTATAAATCTGAAGTGGGAGATAAAAGAAACCTTATAATGACTTTAAAATCCATATGTTGGAGACATTAAAAGCATAATTGCGAGTAATGACAATGACAATGACACAAGGAGTATATATCTCCTACATAGGAAATGAAAAGTCTAATTAGGACTTTGTGACTCCGACGTAGGAGATAAAAAGCCTGATTATATATCAACTCATAGTTATGCTTTTTTATGATACTAGATATATATAGTTTTTAATTTTCTACTTCTGGACATAAAGTTTTGTATTTTCAATTTATTTTCATTTCCGTTCAAATAACGACAAGGGTCATATCAGTGGCCGAGTGGTTTAAGTAGTTGACTTCAAACCGCTATATATGTCCGAGGCGTGCAACAGGCGTGTGCCGAATTCGTGAATGGAGCACTGAAGCAACAGCGGTTATTTTAATAAAATAAGCTAAATCCTATTTTACCAGCTTCCTTCTATATCTATATTGTTATACGACACTTGCAGTTGACAAAATGTCTTAGACTATGAAAAAAAAAAGTTTTTAAATGTGTTAAAGGAGCATATTTATTTGACGAAACACAAAGTCACCTTCAAACGGTAATCAGGTTGTCTTTCTCATGAATGAACTAAAGAAGTTAATATATTCCTGAAAAAAAAATAAGTAAAGCTGGTTTAAGTATAATGTCGTAACAGCCGTTTGCGTTAGTTCATTTCTTTGCATTTAATTTAGAATAAAATATTTTTGTCCGTTTATTTACTGTGGTTTTCGTGTTGGCCACAGCGTTCCACATATTCGGCGTTACTTTTACGTTACTTGTACATTCCTGCGTTACTGGATATGCACGGTAGTGCAAGCGTCTTCGGATTCTACATGCGAGAAAGTTATCCAGCTACCTAACGTGCTGCTGGGCGTCCGTGGCCGACTGGTTAAGGTCGTTGACTTCAAACCACTTGCCCCTCACCGCTGTGGGTTCTAATCCCGACAAGGGGACTTTTGGATTTCTTTTCTTTTCATGTAGGAAGCTAATTTCCAGCTTAGCTTACGGAACGTCCGGGTTCTAATCAGGTGCCCTTTTCGTACCTGAAAAAGATGCACGGAAGGGCAACCTGAGGTCTTCCTCCACCAAGTAAAGCTGGAACGTCGCCAAATTGACCTAATACTTGTGTCGGTGTGTGGCCCCTGTGACGTTAAAAAACCAAAACAAAAAAAAAGCACAAAAAAAAACCTAACGTGTTTCTACTAAGGTTGCCCGTTGGTTCTGGAATAATGTATAGAGGGGCACGTTTGTCTTTTCTCCGTCAAGTTGAAGCTGAAAAATTTCGCCAAATGACATATAGTGTTGAGCGACATAAAATTCAAGAAAAATTAAAAAGATTCCTATATTTTCAACCATGTTTATGTTTGCAGGTGAATATAAACACTATTTTAACACTAAATAAAAAGATTTTGGAACATATTTCATGAACACTTACTACGCAAAGATAAATGACTTACACAACTTATTTATAGGTGATGTAGGCCTACAGGTGTATTTTCATCCGAGAGATATATTTTATGACATTTAAAAAGAATAAAGACCAAGATATTTGACTACCTGGGTTACACTTAGGCGTGACTGGTTCCCATATTCCTCCCCAAGAACACGTGAATTTGTTTCCTGGTCCACCTTGTTCTTCAAGCTCGTATCCTTGAAAACACGTGACTGTAAACCCTTCATCGAACGTTCCTTTTATCTGAGCATTTAATACCATAGTGCAAAGTTGTTCTGAAAACAGTATTTTTTTAAATGGAACTGGTCGGGCATACTTCATATATTAAGCATTATAATTATACACGTTTACTAATCGCAACTTTTTGGCCCTTTCCGTTAGTCTTCGGATTATCATTGATAATAGCCGAGATGTTCCGATTGCACGTTACAACATTGTTTGAAGGAGGCCCCCAGCAGGCACTCGACGTTGTCTCAACGTTGAAACAATGTTGATATATGGTCGTGACGTTGTTCAACCAATATTCTACTTTGGACGACCAGACAGATATATGGCAAATGTATATTCAACGTTGATTCAACGTTGTTTATGATCGAAGTTTTACATTTAGTTTAATCATTATATAAACTTTTATACCTCTAATTTTGTGTTATTATTCCTTTATTGAATTGGTCTGTAAGTGTTTTTGTCAGGAAAAAATTTGCGTAACAATCTTTTCCCGTATATTCAAAATTAGCGCTTAAACAAATAAAGTTAGAAATAATTTTTCACTTTCCATTAACGCTTTAAATATTAGTTAATATGTTTTGTTGTTTGTTGTTTTATTTTTTAGTTCTTTATATAATAATAATTAATAAATTGATATTAATCAAAAGCCCCGCTGATCAGGGGAAGTAATTGTTGCGGTCTATAATTTTGTTTTTTGTCTATGATTATCGTTCGTGCAAATGGTGGCGCTGTTTGGAAAATTTGAAAACAACACGATCGGCAATTTATTTGGATTTCGAAGGTATAAACCGTAATTTTTTACTTTGGTTTACTGATTATTTTCTAAAAAAAAAATTTAAAAATTAAATTTTTAAAATTCTTAAAAATTCTTTCCTTTTAAAATTTACCTTTTTTTTTTTTTTTTTAAATTAAAAATTAAATTAAAAACAAAAAAGATTATTTAAATTTTTAAAAACTTTGTTTTTTCGCAAACCAAATATTTTTTTTTATTGGGAAACCCCAAAAAAATACGTACATTCTTTTCTTTTAGCCAACACGTCGATTAATCTCTAAAAGTAAACATTCTTGACTAAAATCCTCGCTTAAAGTCATAATTAACATATGCACTTTCGCCTTCCATATATTTTTGAAAAGTGCCGTACGGCTAGCCAATACAGTGTGTCCTGGCTAGTCGTACGTGACTCACGTACGGCTAGCCACTTCCAATAATATAGGCTAAGTTCGGTAGGCCTTGTAAGCATGAAGACGTTATTGATGTCCTTGGCAATATATGATTTTACAAATCTTGTCTTTCTTTAATTTATTTTTCATATTATTAAACATTTGTCTGTACTATATCCTAATTAGAATTTAATCAATTATAAAATTGAAAGCTATAAAGTAGTTCGGCCAACATAATTTACGTCCCAAGACGATTCGTCAATATAACTATGTTTATATTTTAGTGATAGTATAATACAGTGTTAATTAGTTTGAAAAAAAATACATTATTATTAAGTTAAATAACAAATTTGAGTGTTAAACTTTAAATTTTAATAGTCGTAAATTTATGGGGAATAATAAATCTATTTCTATTTTATTAAATATTATTTTATATTCTAGATCCTGGTCCTGGCTGAAATTTAGAGTATTGCAGCTGTAGCCTGTATAATGAAAAGGACTGTCAGGTTTGTTAAATTGAAATTTATTCTTATTAATTTATATATTTGAATTTCTTTACAATACAAAGTATAAATTTTTCAACTACTGGATATTTATCTTGTCTTATAATATTATTTTCGGAATATTTCTGTAACATTATTAATATAAAATTTACGTGTTTTTTTTATTTCAGAATGCTGCATAAAATGGTCTTAGCTAGAGCCTAGAATGTTAATTTCTTGGGAATATTATATGCTGCAAGTAACTGACGGGGAGCAGTTTTTCTTACCAATCATAGGTGAGACTTTTAAATAGCTTCTTTTTAAAAAGATTTTGTTGTCTTATATACAGTATTTGCTGTGAATATGAAACTTACCTATGTTTCAATTTCTATGCTGTTTTATGATGTAAATCTTAGAGAAAAGCATTTTAAGATAAAAACAAATCACTAAGTTGAGTAATAATTATATGTATAATTTGAGATTGACCAAGTCACTTTTAACTACAAACTTCTTATTTTTTTGCAGAAGCAGTAAGAGACAGCCAAAGAAGTACTCAAACACTTGACATACCCAGAAAGATCTAGAAGAAAAGATTGGAACAGATTGTAGCTTAATTGTTAAAACTATTAAAGTGAATTTAAGCTGCACTTCAACTGTATTTTTTGAAATAAAATATCTGAAGTATTCAATATTGTCTTGATATTTTGTTAAACTTGGTTTCTTTGCTTTATATCCAAAAATATAAGTATGGTGGGTTTTCAACGTTGAAATGACATTGAAACTTCAACGTTGAATCAACGTTGAAATTTCAACGTTGTTTCAACTTTCAAATCCGAATATAAATCCAACCTTATTTCAACGTTGAAATCTGACCATAATTCTACGTTGAAACAACGTTGATGTGCCTGCTGGGGGGGGGGGGGGGGGGGGGGCTCTTTAGATTTTTTTTAAAGAAATATTTGTACATAACATTGTTGTTCATGTGGAACCTTTTAAAGGGACTCCACTGAGGTTTTTTGACATGATGGGACTGAAAATATCTTTCCAGATAAATGTACCATTTGATGTAGGTTAAGACCACTAATCTTTGTGCAAAATTTCAGATCATTCGCGCACTTCGTTTTTCCAGAATAATTATTCAAACTGTAAGAAAATGACCCAAAATGAAAAGCGTTTAAACACTTTTCACTCAAATCAGGCTAAGAAAATCATAAAAATACGATTTTCAATTTATTTCAATGTATATTTCTTAACTATCTTTTGCATATATTTCTGTTAAAAGTGCACCAGCACATTTGTGTAAGAAATTTAAATGTTATGTTTTTAGGCTTTTAAACCTCAGTGGAGTCCCTGTAGGCCTTTTATTTCCATTATATAAATTATTTATTTACGAAATTTGGTGCCGGGCACGTGCTTTGTTGTAACCAGTCATTCATACATCAGAACTACAGCTTTCTATTTTATTTTTAAAGACCTGTTATTCATTGGTACTTCAAAATGATACAACAACAATGTTAGAGTAAAATAAAACAACTTTTCAATTTATTCAGTGTGTCACAAAATTTGTCAGTGAGGTTTGGCGTTCACGAGTTACAAAGTCACCGACAACCTCCCTATTACTTTGTTCTTTTTTCAAACATCGGATATCATGTGATGACATCGTCTTTTACAATCAAGCTCTTTCCAAAACAATAAATGATTGAGTTTTTTTCATATTATTATACTTTAACAATTACATTATAGTAAAGATACCTTCAAATTATCATAACGCTTCCTGCGTGACTAACAATTGTAACTGATTTACGTGATAAATGCATGGTAAATGCATTGCTTCAAATAAAAAAAGTTGTAATTAGAAAGCAAAGATAAATCATATAAATATTCTAAAGTTTAAACAACGTAAAGGTATTTTATAAATATTAATACAATTATATAAAAGGCATACTTTTCCCTCACCATTGTGTAAAAAAGGAAACACATACACTATGGAATTCAGTTTTCACAGTGAGGCGACCCAACACAAAAAGAGACAAAAAATAGATAAAAACTACATACGTTGACATTCAATGTCGCTTATATTTTTACTCCATTCACCACCAGAACATTCAAGATAAAACTCGTCCAGGAAAGCATCTTTTCTTTTTTTCTGTTTACAGCTCACATAAATCTGTTTAATTATGAAAAAAGACACCAGGGTAACAAAAATACGGACCCCTAAAAGTGCTATTATAAACAGTTAGTTGTTGTCACATATTTTAAGGAAATTTGGATAGCTTCCACATTATCAAACATATACGTGGAACATCAATTAAACTCGAAAAAAATATTTATTTTCTAGTTTCGACGATCCGTATGAGGTTAAAACCTTTATATACATATTTCAATCAATTGTACTGATCAAGTCTAAATAAGTTTGAGAAGATGCAATTTCAGTAAAACCACCTACAAAAGACCTGTGGGGACATTTCAACTTTATGAAATCGAGAATTCATGAAGCTAAAGTCTTGAATTCGTGAAGTTTATATATATTTATTTATTTCTAAGTAGAAATAATCAAGTTACCCCGGATGCTGATACAACCGTTTCTCCAGGTTTTGCAATTTCTCCAGTGTCGTCGTTTATCACCGAATAATCATTACTGAACTCCTCCACTACACAAGCTTAAATACAGAAGTATTCCGAAAATATGTTAAATTATTGTGTGCATTTTTAAAATTATTTAATGATACATTTAAAAATGTTTAAGATAATATCTCTTGAGTACTATTCTCGTGCTTAATGAGCAACTTATAAAAACGCCTGCAACAATGTTGTTTATTTTTTGCCAATTTGTTAGAGGTTCCATTCGCATGGCGATGGCCTTTATACGACACCCTAGTTTCTAGGAAAAAATTGCACCAATGCAACCAATGCAAGCCAAAATCAGCTTCGACATCATGACCTGTACTGTTTGTTTTCAGATAGATAGATAGATAGTTTATTCATATAAGACGTGTACAAAATGCACATGGTCACAAAATACATACATTCAAATATAATTAAACATCACGTAATCATCAAAGTTAACATTATTTAGTAGCGTAGTGTCATACAATGATACAACTACATCTTTGGACTGTATTAACAAAACATAGAGAATGAAAAGAAATAAAGTAATATTACTAACAAGATAACATTTTTATATTCGGTTGATTTAATTCCCTGCGTTTAAATGCTTGTGCTATAAAATTTCCCAAATTTAACAAGACTTTTTTCTTTTTAGAACTTAATAAATCAATAAATTTGTACATGCTCGGATTTTTCACATAATATTTTGGTATGAATTTGTTTCTCAGGTCAGAATATTTTTTGCATGTGATTATAAAATGAAATTCATCTTCTATGTGACTATGTCATTACCGCAGAAATAACATAATCTTTCAGTTCTTGGTTTTCGATTACGCCCGTGTCTAAGAGATTCTATAAATAATTTATGCGACGACACGCGCAATCTAGTTATGCTATTACGTATTTTAAACGAATTTATTTTAATCAAGTAATCCGATATACCAAAGCTCTGTTTTAAATGTATGTACATTATCATAACGCTTCCTGCGTGACTAACAATTGTAACTGATTTACGTGATAAATGCATGGTAAATGCATTGCTTCAAATAAAAAAAGTTGTAATTAAAAAGCAAAGATAAATCATATAAATATTCTAAAGTTTAAACAACGTAAAGGTATTTTATAAATATTAATACAATTATATAAAAGGCATACTTTTCCCTCACCATTGTGTAAAAAAGGAAACACATACACTATGGAATTCAGTTTTCACAGTGAGGGCACCCAACACAAAAAGAGACAAAAAATAGATAAAAACTACATACGTTGACATTCAATGTCGCTTATATTTTTACTCCATTTACCATCAGAACATTCAAGATAAAACTCGTCCGGGAAAGCATCTTTTCTTCTTTTCTGTTTACAGCTCACATAAATCTGTTTAATTATGAAAAAAGACACCCGGGTAACAAAAATACGGAGCCCTAAAAGTGCTATTATAAACAGTTAGTTGTTGTCACATATTTTAAGGAAATTTGGATAGCTTCCACATTATCAAACATATACGTGGAACATCAATTAAACTCGAAAAAATTGTTTATTTTCTAGTTTCGACGAAAACCTTTATATACATATTTCAATAAATTGTACTGATCAAGTCTAAATAAGTTTGAGAAAATGCAATTTCAGTAAAACCACCTACAAAAGACCTGTGGGGACATTTCAACTTTATGAAATCGAGAATTCCTGATGCTTAAGTCGTGAATTCGTGAAGTTTATATATATTTATTTATTTCTAAGTAGAAATAAACAAATTACCGCGGATGCTGATACAACCGTTTCTCCAGGTTTTGCAATTTCTCCAGTGTCGTCGTTTATCACCGAATAATCATCACTGAACTCCTCCACTACACAAGCTTAAATACAGAAATATTCCGAAAATATGTTAAATTATTGTGTGCATTTTTTAAAATTATTTAATGATACATTTAAAAATGTTTAAGATAATATCTCTTGAGTACTATTCTCGTGCTTAATGAACAACATATAAAAACGCCTTCAACAATGTTGTTTATTTTTTGCCAATTTGTTAGAGGTTCGCATGGCGATGGCCTTTATACGACACCCTAGTTTTTAGGAAAAAATTGCACCAATGCAACCAATGCAAGCCAAAATCAGCTTCGACATCATGACCTGTACTGTTTGTTTTCAGACAGTTAATATTTTGAGATTGTCCCTAAAGTGCTGAATTGTTTTGTCCAGATTGAAACATAGTCGAGTCTCTTGATATATTTGGTAAGGGAAATAAAGTGCACGCGCTCTTTTGCGCAATATTTAATATAAATATACAATATTTATCAAGCAAGCTACCTTTTTCACACGGTGGAAATTCGCCCATCCATTGTCCGTCTGTGCAATTAAAGTTTGACGTTTCTAGTCCACAAGAAATGTTTTTTTTATGCTGAACAACAAAAGTCGTTCCGGCATTATAAAATGTTTCGTTGCTCCATTCCGTAACGTTTACGTCAGTATTTATGATGAAAACGAAGTAGTCGGAAAGACTTATGTTTGGGTGACCACATTTCTCTGAGGAACAAAAAACAACAACAAAAAACAATAATAAATTTATACCAAATTATGTAAAAAGTTTTGCCAAATTATGAAGGAACAAATATTTTGGGCCTGTATCTTGAGGGAAATCATTGAAATATAAACTTATTTCATATAAAAATCGCAAAATGTCTAACTTTCTTCACATTCCAAAGGATGAAGGTAGCTGTATTAGTTCGAACATTTGGTTAAATAAAAATGACACATGTTCCTCAGGGTAAAAGTGCAAATAAAGCAACCTGAGAACTGAAGCAACACCTGAGGCGGAGCTTTTTTTATTATTACCGAACCAAGATTTTAATGTACCTTTTCACCTCCATGATCAATTTTTTTTATCAGGGGAGATAGACTAGAACATTATATTTTCTAAAGTTTATATATAGATTGCTCGCCCCTGGAGAATATTGCAAATAAATTATTGATCGGTTAGTATTTATTTCCAGTATGATAGATCGAAATAACATAATGTGACGTAATATTAGGCTTTACTGTAAAAAGTTTACGTGACGTATAATAAATTAGGCTTTACAGTAAAAAGTTAACGTGACATATAATCAATTAGGCTTTACAGTAAAAAGTTTACGTGACGTATAATAAATTAGGCTTTACAGTAAAAAGTTTACGTGACGTATAATAAATTAGGCTTTACAGTAAAAAGTTTACGTGACGTATAATAAATTAGCTCTACAGTAAAAAGTTTACGTGACGTATAATAAATTAGGCTTTACAGTAAAAAGTTTACGTGACGTATACTAACCTTTTTCATCACACAAGATGATGTCATACATGTTGGCACCAGGACAGTAACACTCGCAATTCTTGCCAAGAAACCCGTTCCCCGGACACTGCTTGGGTATGCATCCGCCTGTAACATCAAGCAATCTTATTAAATAGCGCATCGTCCAATATCAGTTTGACCGCCTTGTTTTCGTCTATTGTTCTCAGACATATATAACAATTTTATATCATTCCATACTTTTAAAACGTATCCAATGAACTTAACTCGATTCACATGCGACTTCCCAATGTAAGTCATTATTAATTTTGATCTAATATTATCAATTAAGCCTTACATTTTCCAAGTCAAAAGTTAAAATCAAATCACTTAATTGAACTAGCTTCGTTTATATATATTTTTGGTCAAGTCTGGGAGGTCGATCCACCTGATCGGCTTTCCAGGATAACAAAACATACTTCTTATACCAAATCACTCACTCCTTTATCAATTTCCGAGATAATTGAGAAATTACGCCCCGGCCAAGCATCGAACCGGCGACCATTTGATTACTAATCCGATAACTCCTTAACGTACACACTTAACGGGAACAGACTGTTATCAAAATGACAAACATTTGGTGATGTAAAATAAAAAAAGGCCATTATTTTTTATTAAGTACAATATGATATTTATTGGACGTGTACGAGTTCAATAGAATCCATTATTGTACTCAACAATACATAATAGATTCATATTAATGCATATTAAGCTTATCACTAAGATATACATGCTTACAGTAAGCTCCATGATTATTTACATCTGTGTTAAACAACAGTCGAAATGATAAGGGTTACAAACCCTAATTTAGAATAATATGGTTTTCTTCAGGCCGTTAACATATAACTTCACCGTGCCCGAGGGGTTTTCGCGCTCTCTTAGGAAGCGAGAGGTCTTGAGTTCAAATCCCAGTTAAGGCAACTCATTTTTTTAAAAATTATTTAAGTCAAATAAACATTGAATTGAATATCATTGTTGCAATTAGTCTTAAAGCCAATTTACTACAATTAAAACGCTGGAAAGCATTGGTGGCACTATACAAAAATAAATTGGTTTATAATCTCACAACCTTCACCTTTCTGACATTCTGAGACCCAAACAAATTCAGCGCCTTCTGTGCTTTGATTTCAGTATGTAATAAATATAATACTAAATTTGTTTAGTATCATTAATTTACAGGACTCGTTGAATAAATTCAGTACTGAATCATTTATTTATCAAATAACCTCTAAAAATTCGATGAGGAATGAATAATAGAATCAAAATAGTTATTCTAGCAGTATAGGGATTTTTTTTTGTCTCGAATGGAGGATGATTTTGGAACAGAATCTCACCTCTGATATGGCCATCTTTTATCATATCCCTATTGTTTTGTACATATTTTTCTACAATTATAATACTTTTTTGGCTCATTAGGCTTTACAAGAACGGATGTTAAGCGATGGTTCCGAACCTCGTGATTACCTAAGCCTTGTTAAAACATTACGATTAAAGTATACAAAATTGAATTAAGAAGTTTCATTTTCCTTCTATACATGTACGTGTATAAATGAACTTTATGTCCGACTTTTATAAGAGTAGATACTTATGTTACTCAAGAGGGCCATAAGATATCTTTTTTAAACTTTAATTGCCTGGAGCCTTGAAACCTGAGAGGGTCCTACAATCATAAAAACCAATTTACATCTGAAGATGTTCTTCACATTTTAAAGTAGGTCTTTAAAAAATCACTTAAACTAGTGTGAAATAAAACGTTGTAAAAACAACTGTCGATCTGTATTCATACGAAATTAGTCATTTCCGAAAAACAATACTTGTGTTCTGATTAAAGCCTTCTAAATGAAAATAAATTGCATATTTGAAGCAGCACTTACGTGAACACTCGTACATTTCGCTAACAATCTGGACGTCATAAAAACTAAGTGACTCTGCATTCCCTATAGTGTTTAGATATGATGCATTCTTTGGTTCAATTGTTAATAACTCCTCACGTCTGTTTCGAGAATAATACTGAAGAAAAAACAACAAAATAACCAACAAGTAAACAAATATTGTGAGTTAAAACCCATTGCATACAAGAAGAGTTAAATAAAAATACCAACATTTTCGAACAGCACACACGGCAGTTACCTCCCCCTTGCAAGTTTAATGACTGAGGAATCAAGGGTAGATCACTGTGTATGGATTGCAATTTTAAGCACAGCACCAATCGTAACTACTCGGCCCTTTCCGTCAGTCTTCGGATATTATAGATAATAGCCGAGGCAGTTCCGAATGAGCAGAACCAAATGATTGCCCACCCTTTTATCTTAAATTATTAACAATGATTATTATATCTTATTATTACTGTGTCATTAATGACGTCATTCATTATAGTTTAAAGAAGCACCACACTAAATACCGCATCGTCGGAACCCATGGTACACTGTCCGTATATACTACATTTAATACTGGTTACGGTAAATAGCCTAGGTTACCGAGGATGTAAATAAAGTACAATCATACCAGTTTCCCATAATGCATTATACTTTCGTAGTCATAAGGTTTATTATAACTGTAATAGTGGCCCGATTTTAGTTTGTCAAATTGTGGATGATAATTCTCGTCAATGTTTTCATAGTTTACGGTGACGTAAGTATCACGGTCAGCTCGCATATGCTCGTGATATAATCCTAGCGCGTGTCCTATCTCGTGCACTATAACAGCTCCCTGAATTGTAAAAAAATACATGTCAAGGTACACGTGTGCACAATAGGTTGATATAAGGTGTAATTATCTTTCGACAAGTTCTATACTGAATTGAAAACAAAGAAGAAGATTATTTACTTATTCTAGGTAGTAGAACCTTATCTGTCGGTGTATATTTTGTGATCACTTCATTTATGGGTCAACTACACTCCCTTCGCAGCTCACTGAATTTGCGATAGTGGTACATTCGACCGATGCGCAGGCGAGTGTGTCAACATAATGTGGAGTCGGCTGAAATGGCAGTCCGTTCATGCAATTGCAAAACTCTTAAGTCTGCAACTTTTAGGTTACACCCCTACGCTATTACACGTGAAACAACATTCTTATAAATATATAATTTTCAAACGTGTTAAAGTAACCCATCGTGAATTCAGTGCATTTTTGCAAATTTTGATACCATAATATACCAATTCTTTGCTTATTCAATTCAACAAAATGTTCCTAAAATTAAGTTTACACTTTGTTTTGTAACCCAGTATAATTCAAGTATGTACAATTGTCTATTTTACACAAATACATGTATTCACATCTTCAACAAATATAAACTACTGGTAAAGTCATTTGAAATATAAAGTTAATTCAGTTTTTCTTGGCAATGAAAAAAGGAGCAACATTTATCTTTATAGAAACTTACATGCATGCAGTTGGGCGCTAGGTTTATCGGCTGTTTACCCTGCATTCGTCCAAGTAAAGATTCGCACCTGCAACGATTCGAAATAAAACTATTAGAACAGACATCTTGTTCTTACAAATGTAGGAACAGAAATCTGCAAAATTATAACATGGTACATATGTGGAGATGGCAGTGATAATATATCAAGACGAGTCTTATGATTTTAAAAAAGACGCATGATTCACGGCACAATGACACACGTTATGTTATTAAAAAGAAACATTTTTATATACATTTTCGTTCTGCATGCAAGTACTGCACAGCAAAACTGTCTGAGTGTAGTTTACAAGAAATCAAGGGGGCACTAAGGGGGTACTGTTTTTGCATCTAGAAAAAAAATCCAAACTTTTGTTATTTTCTTTGGAGATGATTGGTAGGTGCTTAATGAACACAGTTCTGACTTCAAAATTTTAAATAACTGCAATTTATTTTGTGTTAATAAGGCATTAAAGGCATCAGACCCGTAACCAAGGTGTGACCACGTTAAAATTCACTAGTATGTATTTATGGATAAATTGCTACCATATCAGGGTCAATTAAAAAGAAAAGTGACACTTATATTTCAACACCACGTGACAGCGCCAGTTCAAATTAAACGTGACAGCTTCAGTTTAAAAAAAAACTACGTGCATGTATAGATTTATCAACTAAAAAACATGCTTTAAATATCTTATTCTTTACTTACGCTGACGGATCCGGAACGAATTGAATTACGTCATAATCATGCTTTTTAGCCTCAACAAACTGCAGACAAGTGTGTTCTTCCCAGTGTTTCATTGCCAAAACCAACAGTAGTCTATCTTCTATATCTGTGTTTTTAATATAAAAGTAAAAACCGATAAACAATTTGTTGAAAGAAAGTATGGTGATATGTTATTAAAGACACTTTTTTATGTTTATTTGCATTTTATACTAGAAAATAGAGTAACTCAAAAGAAAGAAGCAAGAGCGCTTGACAGTATGAAAAGAGTCGTAAATGTAAAAAACTTGGTGTTACATGACATGTGACCTTCATTTTGACAGTCACAAAGAAGAAGCATGTGAAGTTTCAACCCATTTCTTTAAGTAGTTTTGAAGATTCCAACTAGCATGCAAAAACTAAATCAAAAACCGACGTTTGGTTAACTCCAATAATTCTTCCTATTTTTCGAATAATCGAGTTAAAAATTATGATTTTGTTTCACGTATAGTTCATATGGCAACATTTCAGCTTCACTGGCGGAGGAAAACCTCAGGTGACCCGCCATGTAACATTTCACAAAAACCCATAAGGTTTTCGTTCACCAATAAAGCCTTGCTCGGATTATCAAAACCTGTAGAACACTGTGGAGTGTAGAAATGACGGTATTTAATAACGGAAAACAACGAACGCATACCTGAAATAAATAAAATGCATGCAACACAATGTTTTAAACTTATACCAAACTTTTCGTCAATGTCGTACGGAATTCTACGTGGCCACAATTTCAGTTTTTCCTTTACTGCGTTTCTTTTCTGCCTGCTAGGAAGTGCAATATTACTGAAATAGAAATTTTCTGTATTGCAAAGGTCACTGTAATGTTTAATATATTTACATTTTAAACTTATAAGTGAATAATTCAGAAAATGTTTTAAATCTATCATATTTAGAGTATAGTATAGTTCACTTTATGTTGTGCCCATAAATTTAAAGAACTTCTTATAATCTTATGTGACATGACCAGTTTGTAAAATAAAATACTGAGCAAAAATTCAAAAAAGGAAGAAGAAGAAACAGCAACAATTAAACTTGAAATGTGTCCAGAGGAATGCCCCCACACTCCACAGCTTTGTCAGTCTACTGACGTACAGCAGGACAGTATATGACAGATGGACAAAGGTAATTCTACATATGCGTGACACAATATGAAAATTGAATATCTTCCAATAAGTCGAGGGCAATACCTATACACATACTGAATTACTCCACAAGCAAACCACAATGTGTATAATTTCACATGCTTATCAACATTTCTGTATAGTTTGTCTCTTATTCAAGTACATAAAGAGCTTCACAAAATAAGAACACAGGGACGCACATACGGACGGAAGAACAATGGCAAATATCAATGCTCCCCTATAAATACCCCTCTCCCCCAAACCCCGCAAAGAAAGGAAAAGACAAAAAACACATGTATATTCTCTCGCAAGAACAAAACAACAACAACAACAACAACAACAAAACAACCCTATATTAGCTGCTGTAAGTACTGTTTACATATACTCCTCACCCGGTATAACGCATTTTCAATCTTAATGACAATTCTACTTACATTACGGAAAACCACGAACATGAACCGATACATACGTGTCAGTGACATTGTCCCAGTGATCTTTAGTAAGCACCAGGTCAAGTTGTACTTTCACTAGTTTCTCTTCACGTCCAGCCATTTCATAATCATACCAAACTGTTTCAAGTGTTAAAAATACAAAGTAACACCATACAACAATTAAAAAAATCAGTAATGAGCCGCGTCACGACAAAACCAACGTAATGCGTTTGCGACCAGCATGGATCCATGCTGTTCGCTTACAAACCCTACGAAAGTAGAGAAACTGGATCCTGGTCAGACGGCGCAGATGTGCAGGCTGGTCTGGATCCATACTGGTCGCAAACCCACTATGTTGGTTTTGTCGTGACGCGGCTCGGTAATATTAAATTCTGCTATGACATGATTGAAATAATGAAAGATATATGCTAGTCAAGATATTTAACATCTTATGTGGAATTAATGGAACAAACAAACACACGCACGCACGCACACACCACACGCACGCACGCACGCACTCACCCACGCACGCACACTTTCACACGCATGCTCTAACAAACAAATCAAACAACAATGCATAAACCTCAGTCCCCACAAATAACAACAATATATAGTTATCGGTGGGGGGAAATAATACTGGACTACATGTTGGACAATGATAGAATTTTCAATAAAAATATGCGAGTGAGTAACGACATGAAAACATAAATTTAAGACACAGTTTTAGTTAATCGTAAGAAATTAAAAATATAACACAACAAAACAAGACAGGCATTTTAACGCAAAATGAAGCGCAGTCCAGCAACAAAACTGCAAAAACACACAGGACAACAAAATAACGAGAGTGCAAAATAATGGACAGTTGAAACAAGAGATATCAAAATGATCCCAGATCGCGCCCCTGATTATCAATGCAATACAATGACGAATTTTCCGTCAATGTGTTTTTTTTTCTAAATAAGTGTACATTAATTGAAACTGGTCTGCATAAATTTCTAAATACAGAAGAATCATTTTTTACCTTTTGCCGGAAGTCTGCTGGTAGGACCAGAATTACCCTCTGAAAAAAAAATATTTTCTATGTTTACATAATTTTCTATGTACTTGTACATAATTTTCTATGTACTGACGGAAAGACTTAATAAATATAGAAGGTCCATGTGGCCCTTTATATCGCTTACCTGAATATAAATGTTCTTAATGACAAGGAACAAGTTACATTGTAAACTATGATTATACAAAAATCTACTAGTTAATCTCAAAATGATATCACAAAGTTCATATTTGCATCTGAAATACTAGTAGTGCACATGTAAAATCGTCACTGTTGCTTTCTCCTGTAAATATCAATAGTTACAATTCACTGGTTGCTATAAAAATCACTCTTTTTCTATGGAAGGCCAGTTTTTGCTATGTAATATACTTGTTTCTATGAAAAAAACAAAACAGCAATGTTTGCTATGGAAAGTCAGTGATTGCTATGGTATTAAACAGTTGCTATCGAAAATCTTCGGTTCCCATTGGAGTGACCAACTGCTTATGGAGAAACAATGGTTGCTATTGAATGTCAATGGTTGCTATGGAAAGTTTACGATTGCTATGGGAGTCACCAGTTGCTATGGAAAGTAAATGGTTGATACGGAAAGCACCGACTGCCATTGATAAACAATTGTGTTATGTCAATGGTTGCTATGGAAAGTCAATGGTTGCTATGAAAATCAACAGTTGCTATCGAAAGACAATAAATAATATTGGAAGTCAACTGGTGCTTTGGAAATTTATGGTTGATATGTAAATCAATGACTGCTATGGTAGTCTATGGTTGCTATGGAAGTCACTGATTGCTATTGAAGTCACTGGTTGCTATGGTAAGTCAGTGGCTGCAATAAAAGTTTTTGTTGCTATGGAAAGTCAATTGTGGCTATGGAAGACAATGGTTGCTATGAAGGTTACTGACTGCTATGAAAAGTCGAAAGGTTGCTATGGAGGTCAATGGTTGTTATGGAAAGTCGATGGTTGCTATGGAAATCACTGATCGATACAAAAACATTTCATGATATTACATCCCTTCTGGGTGGAGCCAATTAAGCCTTAGGGGCATAATTTTAACAAACGTGATAGAGGTCAACAACAATATAATGTTGCATGCCAAATAGCGCAATAGCTCAGTTGGTTAGACCACTGACTGTCACTCCTGAGGTTCCGGGTTCGATCCTGGGTAACACCCTTGGGATTTTTCAGAAACACTTTCAGTACCCTACTGGAAATAAGTGCTTGCACTTTCGTAGGTTATCCTTGACCGCCCGGTCTAAAGAAAATCAATCAATCAATCAATTTGTAAAGTGTAATCAACTTAAATCGTGGAAAAATTGAAGACTGTTTGTACTTACTGTTATATTCTGTTTCTGCATCTTCGATAAATTGGTCAATGGAACGTAGGTTTACCTCGTGAAGTGCGCAAATCTGAAGAAAAACAAGAAAAACATGTCACTTAAATAGCTCACATTTGTTTTGAGATCATTCTACTAGACAAAAGATCTCAGTTAAAAAGGGGCATAACACCAAACTCAGAGAGTTTAGCTTTAGAATAATGTCCCTTGTCTCCCAACTGCGCATTTAGTTATGATATGCCAATCTGAACACCTCTACAATTATTTATAATCATCTTGATGTACCATTTGACTTGTTATGTAAACATTGTATGAAATGAGCTAATTATTTGACATCCAACGGCAAATAAAGTCAATGTCGGTAAAAATATGATTTAAATAATCATAATAGCTCGAGATTTTCTTCGAAACAGTTGAGCTTATATAAAGAGATGCTTATATGATAAATAGAGCCTAAAAATTGAAGTCAATATCCATAGTTTATTGCTTCAGAACATGTACATTTAATATAACTATCGTACATAACTGCACACTGGAAAAGTGAAAATTATTAACACTCAGAATGAAACAACATTTAAAAAAATAACCGTTTACAAACGTGTAAAATTGTACATTTTGACCGACGCTTATATGAAGAAGTAAACAAATAATACTTGCCAGAATTAAACTAAATATCACATGTATGTTATCCATCTTGTAACCACAGAGAGTCTTGGCTTATTAAACGAATTCATGCCTTGATAAGAAACCCGGATGCTACAGATAAAAGATTCCAGGAATTTATTTTTGGTATTCCGTGCACTTTGGTTTATAAATTGATTTAGTCATGGGAAAATACGGCGCAGAATGTAGCACTTGATTTTTAAAAAGCGACAAGTGTTAAAATTGAAATTACAAATTAAAAATAATATGATATCAAAAGGTTATTTTTCATAACTATCTTCGACTTTGTACTTGAAATAAATTCAATGAGTTAATTTATACGATTTATAGGCATTTGAGCTCCTTAATCGAATGAGTTTTACAAACAATTACGGTGTCCCGTTAAGGCCATCGCGACACACATATAACTCGAAATAGCGAAAATGGTGGAAACACAAAATAATGAAACCACGATGGTGAAAACTCAATATAATGTCGTAGAAAACCTTTGTACGTTCGACCTTTCAACATTTTTGTTTATTTCGAGTTTTCATCATCGGACTTTCTGCTTTCCATCATGGAATTTTCTACTTTTGAGCCGCGTCACGACAAAACCAACATAGTGGGTTTGCGACCAGCATGGATCCAGACCAGCCTGCGCATCCGCGCAGTCTGATCAGGATCCATGCTGTTCGCTTACCAACTCTATTACAAGTAGAGAATCTGATAGCGAACAGCATGGATCCTGATCAGACTGCCGGATGCGCAGGCTGGTCTGGATCCATGCTGGTCGCAAACGCACTATATGTTGGTTTTGTCGTGACGCGGCTCTTTTATCGTCGTGGATGAAAACTCTCAACCACGATGATGAAAAGTCACGAGTACAATGGTGAAAAAACAAAATTATATCAAGTTATCACAATCGTGATTTCGTTATTCGAGTTATGAAATGAATATAATAAGGAAAAGGCCGTAAAGTCGCGATAGATTTTAATTTAAGCAAGTATTCAAGTTTCATTTTAAATTTTACCTTTTAAAATGTTTGGGTAATAAGCCACATTAAAGCTTTTGCGCCGAAAAAAACCCAAAAAACAACAGTGACGAATGGATCATAATAGCTCGACGTTTATTGTTGTTGTTTTTTTTTCTTTTTCGAAAAGGTCGAGCACTTAAGAAAGATGCTACATGTATTATGATACATAGAGTCTCCTAATTAAAGCCAGTGTGCATAGTTTATTGCTTTAAAATATTTACGTAATAATCTAATATAAGATCGTACATAGTTCTGCACACTGAAAAAAAAAAGTTATACACATACAGAATCAAACAACATTTAAACAAAACAAAACAAAAACAAATCGTTTACACGAAAGTTAGACAAACGTATATTAAGAATTGTAAATTTTGACCGATACGGAATTTAAAAGTAAACAAATAATACTTCCCAGAATGAAACTCAATATCACATGACTGATTGTATGTTATTCATCTTGTTAACTTAGAGAGTGTTGGCTTATTATACAATTCATGTTTGATAAGAAACCCGGATGCTACTAGGAATTTACATGTATCATTAACACGTTTTAAACTTTTTCGGTAAAAGGACCTAATTGGTATACTTCCTGTCCACGATATTTGCTACTTTAGTTTCGTCCGATCATTAATTCACATTCTCCAAGGCATTAGACATATTGTTGTTTAAATACATGTGTGCTTTTATAGTAATGGATTTTTATCAGTATTTATTGTAAACATGTGCTTAATGTTATTACTGATGAACTCTGACCAACTTGACATGCATTTATGTCATTGCTACGAATGTTTGTGTTTATGTTTCACTATAAATAAACATGTATTAAATTGTAAATAATGTCTTTCTGTTCATTTATAATTTGTAGTTGTAAGTGATTAACTGTCATTTGAACAACGGTTAAATATTGCAGTAATGCCGTTATCAACAATAACAAACCTACTACTTTGGACATTCAATCAGGCATATGTACATGTATATACATTTGTACGAATGTAAATGTAATGACAGCAGATCCACTTTACTCGAATTCCGTTTCTCTCGAAGTAAAATGCCCAGTCCCTTGAAATTCGAGTAACCAAGAGCCAATTGTATTTCTTGTATTCCGTGCACTTGGTTTCACAGGAAAGTATGGCACCAGATGTAGCCCTTGATTTCTAAACAGTGAAAAGTGTTATATTAAAAACAATTCAATATAAATTACTGCCTCGACTTTATACTTGAAATAATTTCTTTAAGTTATCCGATTTATAGGCCTTCGAGCTCCTAAATCGAATGAATTTCACAAACAATTACGGTGGCCCGTTAAGGCCATCGCGACACACATATAACTCAAATAGTGCAAACACGGAATGACGATGGTGAAAAGTCGAAATAACGATACCACGACGGTGAAAACTCAATATAACTTTGTCTTTTCACCCTCGTACGTTCGGCTTTTTTTTACGACATAGTTTCATTATTTCGACTTTTCACCAGCGTAATTTCGTGTTTTCGTTGTTTCGAGTTATGGGTGTATTGCGATGGCTCTAATGGGACATCGTAAACATAAATTATGCTAGAAGTCATAATTATTTCTACCATAACAGAAAAATAACAAGATTTCGCGATATTTGTTAGGGCAAAAAGCAAGGTTGACCGACCGACCGACCGACCGGCCGACCGACCGACTGACTGACTGCTAGAGATCAGAATTAATTCTACAATAACAGCAAAATAACAACATTTTGCGATATTTGATAGAGCAAAAAGCAAGGTTGACTGACGGACTGACTGACTGACTGACTGAATGAATGAATGAATGAATGACTGTCTGTCTGTCTGACTGACTGACTGACAGACTGCGTGGTTGTAGAGAGGTTAGCTGAGGGATGTGTCCGTAAAGAGGTTAGCTGAATGGTGTGTATATTGAGAGGTTAGCTGACAGGCGTGGTTGTAGAGAGGTTAGCTAAATGGTGTGTCCGTAAAGAGGTTAGCTGAAAGGTGTGGATGTTGAGAGGTAAGCTGACAGGCGTGGTTGTAGAGAGGTAAGCTGAAAGGTTTGGCCGTAGAGAGGTTAGCTGAGAGGCGTGGTCGTAGAAAGGTTGGCTGAGGGGTGTCGCCGTAGAGCTGAGGGATGTGGCTGTAGAGAGGTTAGCTGACAGGCGTGGCTGTAAAGAGGTTAGCTGACAGGCATGGCTGTAGAGGGGTTAGCTGAGAGGCCTGGTTGTAGAGAGATTAGCTGAGAGGTGTGGTCGTAGAGTGGTTAGCTAAGATGTATGGCTGTAGAAGTTTAACTGAGAGGTGTAGATGTAGAGAGTTAAGCTGAAAGGTGTGGATGTTGAGAGGTTAGCTGAGAGTTGTGGCTGTAGAAAGGTTAGCTTTATTGTAAAGTCTTAGTTTGGAGGAAATTGAAATTACTTTTGCTAAGAGGTTATGATTCTACAGAGGGTCGCTCTGTCTAGGTTGCACTGTACTTCAACCGAGGCAGCGGTTCACTTAGTTCATGGCAAAGTGATGTTTCTATTTAACTAACCGCTGGTGTAACATGATAATCCCGAAAGTTCTTCTTCTAACAATAAAGGCATTTTAGAAAAATACCAAGAAACAATAAAACTTCAAAGTACCACAACAAAACAATAAAGTTAACGAAATGAAATGCCTACAAAAAAATTACAGGGGCAATCAACATGAACAAAGAAACTCATTCTTAGTTTACAGGCACATTGAGCCTCTGAAATGAATAAAAAAGAATTTACGCAGCAGAGGCAAATTTGTGTTTTATAATTTTGTAGAAATGAATTTATATCATGTAAGTACAGAAGAAAACAGCGCGGAGTATATCTCGTGAAGGAAATAACGCGGAATGTAAAATAATTTGTGACTAATGTAACAAAGTGGTATTTTGACCTCCGCAAAAGTTTACTTAATCACTATAACTTACTTAATCACTATAACTGTTTTAATTGCCTTAATGCAAAAGAAGATTAAGATAAACCTAATTTAATGACTAATGAAAAAAAAACAACATTTGTCTATATAGTTTGTAACAAAACACCAAAAATATAAAACTTTTGATAAATAGCAATACGAGCAATATTGGCTGCATGGGCCTTTAATTTACCTTTGACCCAATTAGTAACACAAAATCCGATGTAGAGAAAAAAAAATGAGGAGAGAAGTACGAAGAGGATGCCCTCTGTTACTTCCGGTATCTATTACTCATAAACACTTCATCACGGACATTTATAACATTTATCAGATAGTATGATACATTTGCAACAAACGTTGCTCATTATGTTAAAAATGTTTTGGTTTAAAGGAGCATTAAGCTGTGTAATTCTTCTGCTTGGATTATCTTGCTATGGCGCCGCAAGTAAGTTCGGGTTCTTATTCATTTTTTTCATTTAAGTTATTAATGAAGGCTATTGACATATAACTCTGCAAAAACGCTTTGCTTTAAATACGGGCTTGATGCTTACATTAAAATTACATTGTATACGCTTTTTCGTCAACTTGGACCCTTAATCAACATCGTTCACGTTATTAATACTACTTTGAAACTTTTAAAGTAAGCAATATTTATGTCATCACTTCCTTCAACATTAAAAACATTATTCAGCTCTGAAACAATTTATTCAGAACAGGTATTTGATTGTTATCATTTTACAAAATAAAAATGTGTATGCAATATATGAAACGCCATTTTGAAGTTTGAAGCATTATTCTGCTGAAGTTTCAAGAAATAAAGAATTTTTCTAAGTAAAGGTATTTGACTAGTCAGAAACCAGCACAGAATGTTTATTTGCCAATGAAAATCCTGATATTCGTGACGGAACTCGGAAAAAATATATCCTCAAGACCAGATAAAGTCACTTTTATTATGTATGGGTAAGAGTTCGTATTAAGACGACCGTAAGGAGTCTTATCGAACTCTTACCCATATAACTGCAAATCGGCTCTTACAACTCGATATCAGATAAAAATATACACACCGTATTACCGGCGGCAGTGATGGCAGATCACTGCAGTGATGGCAGATATCTGAAAATTACCGATCGATACAGGTAGGTTATAAATTTGGTTGGTTTAATTATATTACACAAATACAGCCCATTTCATTGCTATAAAACTATTGTCCATTGAATGGAGATACTGTAAGGTAATTTTGGACTCGTTTTTTCCTGTTTTAAGACTATTTTGAGCAGATTAAACGTGACAGCCTCGAAAAAATCCGTGAAAATGTCTGTTTTCTGTTCAAAATATCTCAAGTTTTAAGTAAATGGCAGGATTTCCTGTTATCAATATAGACGTTCATCCATTGGGGTCACGCAAGCCAAATATCTACCCCGTGAGTCTTTTCTTGAAAGTTTTACAGACGCTCAATCTTGTTTGGTCGAAGAAAAAATGCTGCCGTTGTAGGCAGATACATATTATAAATGCTGCCGTCGATGGCAGAAATACCATGAAAGTGGCTAACATTCTGACAGAAAATCAAGTTCAATCTTTTATCAATTCCTCTTTTCTTTGCGTCCTTTTAGTCGGAATTGACACGTTAAACTATCATTTCTAATATTTTCTCAAGATAGAAAAGTTATTAATGCGGTATGTGCATCGAAAAAAGCTTTTTAGCAACATGCAGTTACAATACAAAAAGTGATGATTTAGTACGACAAAATTACACTATAAATAGAGAAATGAACATGAAAAACTTCATTTTTCTATATTCATGCATGTGTGCTTGATCTGTTGTGTCTGTCAGTTACATGCATACAATACTATATGTATCTTAAGTTTAGCAGCGCACTCCCTTTTTAAGACATAACGCCAATTGCATATTACAGCAAGTAACTTCTGTAAGTGGATATTCATTTGCTAGCATATGACATTATTTTCTCGAGGTAATAATGTTCATCGCTTTATGACAAATAAAGGCTGAAATTTACTTAATCGGCGCAGATTATAAGTTATTAAATTGATGTAATAAGGGGAGACTATTAACCTCGCAACTGACATCAGTGTATCATAAAACAATGTATGTTAATGTAAAATGGAAAGATAATATTATTGACAGTTCAAATATTTTCCTATATTATCAAGTTCTTGAAAAACACGACAACGTGGATTCATTTCTTTAAATTTTCATGTTTGTAATAGCGTTTTAGTTTGCCTTTGAATTACATTTACTATGCTAAACTATTAACAACAGTTCTAACATCACGTGCTCTCATTTAACTATATATTTTTTCATTCATTAATTATAGTTGTAACCATGACAACTTATAAAGATGAACCTTTCGATGATTAAGACGAAGCAATGGCTCCATTAGATGGCTCGTTTCTTGATGTATCTTTTATAGTGAGATATTTGACTGTGACATTTGTGGCAGAGGTTGCAAGACCAAAGTCTTACTGAAAAGACATCTAAGAAAACATTCCAGCGAGGAAACATTTGAATGCACAAGATGTACACAGTATTGGAGCCATTGCCTCGTCTGAATCATCGAAAGGTTCATCTTTATAAGTTGTCATGGTTACAACTAAAATGAATGAAAAAATATATAGTTAAATGGGAGCACGTGATGTTAGAACTGTTGTTAATAGTTTAGCATAGTAAATGTGTAATTCAAAGGCAAACTACAACGCTATTACAAACATGAAAATTTAAAGAAATGAATCCACGTTGTCGTGTTTTTCAAGAACTTGATAATATAGGAAAATATTTGAAATGTCAATAATATTATCTTTCCATTTTACATTAACATACATTGTTTTATGATACACTGATGCCAGTTGCGAGGTTAATAGTCTCCCCTTATTAAATTAATTTAATAACTTATAATCTGCGCCGATTAAGTAAATTTCAGCCTTTATTTGGCATAAAGCGATGAACATTATTACCTCGAGAAAATAATGTCATATGCTAGCAAATGAAAATCCACTTACAGAAGTTACTTGCTGTAATATGCAATTGGCGTTATGTCTTAAAAAGGGAGTGCGCTGCTAAACTTAAGATACATATAGTATTGTGTGCATGTAACTGACAGACACAACAGATCAAGCACACATGCATGAATATAGAAAAATGAAGTTTTTCATGTTCATTTCTCTATTTATAGTGTAATTTTGTCTTACTAAATCATCACTTTTTGTATTGTAACTGCATGTTGCTAAAAAGCTTTTTTCGATGCACATACTGCATTAATAACTTTTCTATCTTGAGAAAATATTAGAAATGATAGTTTAACGTGTCAATTCCGACTAAAGGGACACAAAGAAAAGAGGAATTGATAAAAGATTGAACTTGATTTTCTGTCAGAATGTTAGCCACTTTCATGGTATTTCTGCCATCGACGGCAGCATTTATAATATGTATCTGCCTACAACGGCAGCATTTTTTCTTCGACCGGACAAGATTGAGCGTCTGTAAAACTTTCAAGAAAAGACTCACGGGGTAGATGTTTGGCTTGCGTGACCCCAATTGATGAACGTCTATATTGATAACAGGAAATCCTGCCATTTACTTAAAACTTGAGATATTTTGAACAGAAAACAGACATTTTCACGGATTTTTCCGAGGCTGTCACTTTTAACCTGCTCAAAATAGTCTTAAAACAGGAAAAAACGAGTCCAAAATTACCTTACAGTATCTCCATTCAATGGACAATAGTTTTATAGCAATGAAATGGGCCGTATTTGTGTAATATAATTAAACCAACCAAATTAATAACCTTCATGTATCGATCGGTAATTCTCAGATATCTGCCATCACTGCAGTGATCTGCCATCACTGCCGCCGGTAATACGGTGTGATATAGAAAGTGTCACCTCTTTAATTAAGCATAACATAACATAGATAATACATGGGAGCTCAGCTCGCAGAGACAAATGAGTACACAGTAATTTTTTGATATCCTTTTAACTCTAAGAAAAATGTCAATTATTAATTGCTGACTGTTTATATTTTCTAGAAAAAGTAAGCAAAACATTATTTTGTTTCATATGACAGGAATGAATTGCATTAACAATCCTAGGTATTGTTGAAAACCCATTGTTTTACATGCCAGATTAAGTAATTAGACCCCATCATTTTTTGTACGTGACTGCTGGGGAAAAATAATGTTATGCTTAATTAAAGAGGTGACACTTTCTATATTTTTATCTGATATCGAGTTGTAAGAGCCGATTTGCAGTTATATGGGTAAGAGTTCGATAAGACTCCCTACGGTCGTCTTAATACGAACTCTTACCCATACATAAACTTTTATCTACAATCATTACATAAGGTTACACTTCAGCTGTTAATTTTTTTTATTAGCGTCTATAGCGTAGAGGAAATATTTGTTTTTCTTATACACAGAGGATATTCAAGTTTCTTCTATAAATACAGGATTTATTTTCAGCGAGTGGTATGAAAATAAATATTTCACGAGTGACAATAGCCACGAGTAAAATATGATAATTTTCATACCACAAGATTAAAATAAATCCTGTGTTTATAGAAAAAAAATTAAATTTTCTGTTTGATATCATATATTTATCTTTTTATCCTTATGAATAGGAAGAAATCCCTTTTAAATGTGTGTGTTTTGGCAGATTTAAGAAGAAAGTAGTCCGGCAAGAAATCAGTGAAAATACGGAAAATATGTTTCACTGCAGTGAAAAATAAATTTTTACAGTGAAAATACGGAAAATAAAAATACGTATTTTATTTCATCAATATTTGTCAATATTTTATTTATAAGTATATAATAAATGTGTTTATTTATTGTTCGTTTAGCATCATCCTCCGATATGACATCATCTACACCGGCGCCTTCTGGACTGAAAGGTTATTATGATCTATGTATTTCAATCTTATATATTACTTTCATTTACTTTGCCTCTACGTATACTGTGTAGTCTGATGATGCCTAAAAGTGTAGTTCATTATAATTTTTGTATGTAATTTGTTGATGTTAATAAGGCATTTCCCAGTTTTCCCAGTACTCCGATAAAAATAAAGCACAATTGAATCGGGCATTTTTTCTTACAGTTCTTTAATGAAAAAATTTAGAAAAAATTTCGCAAAACAACAATTGTTCTTCAAAAGTAAGTGTAAGGCCATTTTTTTAACATTGAAAACTCGAGTTTGGGCAATTCCAATGAATTTTCAGCATTTTTTGTTAAAGAAAAAATAAAAAATGCCACAAAACAACAAGTGTTCTTCATAAGTATGTGTAAGGCCATGTTTTAACATGGCAAAACTCGAGTTTGGGAAATTCCAATATTTTTCAGCATTTACTGTTAACCCATTATTTCATATAGATGTCTTTTCCCACCTTTCCAGCCTACCCCCCCCCCCCCTTTTGAGGTCCTATTAATACCACAAACACTTATTTTCGTTTGAGAAAAGTTGTTTAGAAAGTGATAGCTCTTTCAACGCCAACCCCTATCAAATAGATACATCTAGGGGTGCCAAAGGGGATGTGCCCCCTTCGGCAAGGGGGTTTAAGGAGGGTGGGGGGCAGCAAACCATCTCATTTCCATGAAAATTATAGACTTGTTACAGGCTAAATATGACCTCAGGTCGATCTTAGGTAACGTGTAACCAACGCTGCAAAGCTTTTGACTATATCTCAATCCATGGAGAATAGCAGCACTTTGAAATCAGTTGTTATGGAAAAAAATAACGCAAAATAGTGACATTTAGCAATTTTAAGATGTCTCCTTGTTGCCATGGTAACAGGAAATTTAAGATTTAGTATGCCGTTACAAAGACTAGTCAACATGCGTGCAAAGCTTGAACAGTATTGATGCCTTTTTATATAGTTTCATAGATCATGTTAGATGAAAGCTGCACTGTACGTGCAGTAATGTATCGCTGTTGTATTTTACTTCCATACAAAACACAAATTCACTATAATTATGCCAATTGCCAACACAGCAAAAGAAGCAAAAGATAGTTCATGTATGTATATGGAAAATAAGTATATATTTGGAACTGTAACAAGATACCAATAATAAAGAGTTTTAGTTATTTGAAAAAAAAGGAAAATGATAGCATTAATAAGGCATAATGGGCCTTGAATATATAAATTTATCTTTGCGCGACCTATAATAAGAAGGCTTCGGACAAGTTTTTGTTTTATTCATTGAGATGGGAAATTATCAGAGTATCAAATAAGTGAATTGTTGTATAGAGATCAGAACCAAAGCGGAATGTGTGTAATGTCCATTCTTCATTTTATTTAAACCGATTATTGATTCAGGAATTTATATCATATGTAAACTTTTTGTTTTCTGTTTATGTCATATTCGGGTGAAATTCACTGTTCTGAACTTACGTCGCGTCCAAAAACCCAGACAACAACCTTATTTATCAAATAATGATAATATGATACTGATAAATTGTTGAATACATAAATATTGGCTTGTTTACTCAGATTTTAGATTTCAAATTACAACTCTATTTTACTCTTTATAGTTCAGGGGAGTTGCAAATTACCGACAAAGGCGCGGTTTAGACGGACTATTTACCGTCCATATTCAAGAACACGTACTGGTAACTATGATGCAGGATCAGTAATCGACCACGGAACTGTCATAAGTGCTATCTGTAAAAGTGACGTCATTGGCGATATCATTACTAAAAGGACGATATCTTGGTGTCTGAATGGAAGATGGTGGCCACGATTACCACCCTGTATAAGTATGCATGTTTCACAAAAATGGCTTTCCGCCAAATTCTAACTTTAATAATCGGGTTCTTCACATTATAAAAACGAAATATTAAAAAAATAAGTTCTACAAGAAAAAAATACAGCACTACCACTTGGACCGTCCTTTGCATTTCTGTTCTAGAAATAGGCTAGATCAGAGAAAGTCACGTGGTAGAGATTTTTTTTTCTAAAATGTCGATTTCACGTAAGTCACGTGATATAGAACACTGTGGAAAGAAGGCCGGCGCATTACAATTTTTTCAGACATGTAGACAATATTTTATCGATTTCTAAGGGAACTGCTTACTTTTTTTATATTTTAATTGGTGTTGATTCAAACAAATGATTTCCATAATCATCAATATTTCAGTAAAGAGACGGTGTCGTGCACCTCCTTTGGTAGAGAATGCAACGCCCTCTGAAACAATTTCCCCGTACCAAACTTTTCCACACAAGACAAGCGTCACATTCACGTGTAACGCAGGCAAAATGGCTACCGGAAATGGAACAATAGTATGCGACAATGGACGGTGGTCTCGCACGAATCTCAACTGTAAAGGTAATTTAACAGTTCAGACTTTGGCATTTTAAAATGTACATGGTTCCGAAATATTTGTGGTCTGGTTAGTTGACCGTTATTTTTAAATGGCATTCAAATACCGACAGACATATTTGGATTGAAATTCAAGTATATTGTCCTAAAAGAAAGCGAGATCACGGGGGAGGAAGTGTTACACGAAGGATGGAGTTCTTATGATAACTTGTTTGGAGTTCTTATGATAACTGTCACGGAGTTCCTGGAAAACGTTACGGATTTCTGTGGAAAACTTTTCTATATACATGGAGAACTCACTTAAAAAATGGTTATTTTTAACTTTAAATGGGAAGTTTGAGGTGCTAAATTAAACTTTGATAATTAAGCTTGCATAATATTGTATTATGTTTCAGAAAAAAATCTTTTAGTCCATATTTCGCCGCCGTTTAAAAAAATCTGGTAGTTTTGAGAAAAATTTTCAAATTACTTGCTAATTCTTACATATTGACCTTTTCATTTGTGATCTTCTTCGTTGCTATACATAATCACCTAATTATAGTGGAGATTTGCAAACATAAAGCCCGGGCTAATACATGTATACCCGATTTTTCAAATGTTACGGAGTTCTTGTGATAACTCAAAATATGTCCTGGAGTTCTTATGATAACTTTTGTTAATGCCAGTGTGTTTCTTGTGCTTAATTACGACGCGTTTAAAAGCGTATTTTATTAGTAAATAAGTGTGTAAATCATTATTAAGCATAGTACGCTTATCATTTGCACAAAAATTTGGTTATATAACGATGGTTTTGATCCTAATTAAATTTGTGCGAAATCATATTGGCATTATAAAACCCAACGAATGCACTAAATGCTTCTGTGTATACTGTCCGTCAACAAGAGTTTTATATCATAAGTTTCCGCAAATGCAACATTGAGGCCATGTGGCAAAATTAAAACACGATCATTCAATATATCTGGAGAAGACATGAAACTGCTTTGGTGTACAGTCTACATAGGATAAACATGTGCTAAGCTATCTTCAGGAACGACCGCCTCCGTGGTCGAGGGGTTTAGTCGATGACTTCTAATCCAGTTACCTCTCTGGCGTGGGTTCGATCCCGGGAGATGTTTTGGTAGTTTAGCACGGAGGAAGGTAGTCTAGTACTGGTGTAACTCTCCAGGAACGATGGTTAGGAAACTACCCGCCCATATGACTGAAATACTGTTGGGAAAAGGCGTAAAATGAAACAAACAAACAAACAAAAATCTTCAGGAAAACCTGAATCAGCGGTCACCTGTATTCAGCAGTAACATGGCTTAAACCGCCAAGGAAAAATTGTTTAAAACTTACACTTTTTTTCTCAGTTACATGTTTTAAGTAACCGTCTTTCTAAAGCAGACAATAAGTAGTTGGGCTTCCCTCAAGAAGCGGCTAAGTAAATTGTATCATTATATACCATGTATCGTATATAACCGGGATATCCTTCACACCCATGCACCCGAAATGTATGATCTTTTTATGCATAAAAAATCAACCGATTACTACCGATTTCTTCGACAGATTTGGGCACGTGCCCAACGGGTTCGAGCGAAAGAAGTTCGACAATATATTTTTGTAATCAATTACAGCAAAAGTTGTTACAAAATTTCCACTAGGACTCCAACTTTGATAAGAAAAGTGTATGCAGTAATTTTCCGAAATATGGAAATTGCTTTTCGTCACGTGATGCTACATTGGATTTAATAGAGAAAGGAACAAGGTCGATAAACGGCATGAACCTTACGGTGACTCACATGTCTTATTGAAGACTTACTTGCTATCGTCATATCATTGTCATAGAACTTTATACGTTTCTATGACAAAAACTGATACCTTTTAGAAATTGAAATACCCGTTGAATACATAAAGACGACACCCACCTCATTAAATTTAGATAAAAGGTAGTGCATACTACCTCCTATTTTGCACATGCATACCGATAGCATAAATTACTTAATGTTCTCTAAAACTGCCAGGAATAATGTATATATGACGAAATCATGCTTGAGTATTAAATTCAAAGCGTATTTTTATCCTGTAAGTAAACGCTCTACATCAAGTATGTTTACAGTCATTCCAATAAAATAATAAAAAAAAAACACACACACTCACACACACAAAAAGACCAAAACAAACACAAAAAACACAAGAAACGGAGGTAAGAAAAATATAAAAAAGAACTCCAGGACATATTTTGAATTATCGCAAGAACTCCGTAACATTTGAAAAATCGGGTATAAATTTATTAGCCTGGGCTTTATGTTTGCAACTCTCCATAATAATTAGGTAATTAAGTTTAGCAACGAAGAAGATCACAAATGAAAAGGTCAATATGTACGAATTAGCAAGTAATTTGGTAATTTTTCTCAAAACTACCAGCTTTTTTTAAACGGTGGCGAAATATGGACTAAAAGATGTTTTCTGAAACATTATACAATATGTAGGGCAAGCTTAATTATCAAAGTTTAATTTAGCACCTCAAACTCCCCATTTAAAGTTAAAAATAACCATTTTTTAAGTGAGTTCTCAAAGTATATAGAAAAGTTTTCCACAGAAATCCGTAACGTTTTCCAGGAACTCCGTGACAGTTATCATAAGAACTCCAAACAAGTTATCATAAGAACTCCATCCTTCGTGTAACACTTCCTCCCCCGTGGAGATATGGAGTTCAAATCCACATTTACATGTGAAGGAGTCCTTAGGGTTTGAAATGAAAGAAAAAATGGCTGAAAACTTTCTATTTTGTAAGTGCATGTATTATTGGGTTGTTAGTCATCCTTGTATATATAAAAATCAGTCAGCCGGCTTATCACATAAGGGGGCATAAGTTTTGTAACCCAGTGGTCGCTAGTCCGATCTTCGGTGAAGGTTGAACGTTTACTTGACAATTGATCTCGGGCATGGAGTCTTTTTGGTCACTTATCTCTCACCGCTGATTGGTTTATCCTGGGAAGCCGGTAAGGTAGGTGAGAGGCACGCCGACAGCCGAGATACGGCCAAACTTGTGTTGAAATCGGCGTGAAAGACAAACAAACAAATAAATAAAAAACTCGTGACGGATGCAGATATATTGTACCTGTACAATGCACTTATATTTATGTAATAACATGTTAGAAATGGCGCATTCTTTCAGACGATCCGGACATGGTGCAAGCTGAGAAATGTTTAAATACTAGTGTCATGAATGGTAGGATTTCTGCAAAAAGTGTGGCGGATGGTATCTATGACGTCACGTGCAATGACGGTTATCGTGTGGTGACGAAAAAAATGTACAAATGTAAAGGAGGAATATGGTCGGAAGGGATGCCAAGATGTGTACGCGGTAAATATATAATTACAGGTCTTTATCATTTACATTTCTATTTGTTTGGGTCGTCAGACCAAACAAATAATGGTTACGAAATTTCCAACCCTGATATGCTTATTTGCAAAATCCGAAAGTAGTCAATCACGAAGTCCTCGAAGCGGTAACTTCCCTTTATAAATACACTTACGCCGAAAAGTTAAGGGGAGATCACTGCGTAAAGATTGTCAAATGACAGGTGCATTAATTTTCAAACCTCTGACGGAAGGAAAAATAGTTCCCGATTGATGGAAGATTTCTAATATTGTGTAATTCTTTAACATTTCCTTAAATTACCGGTAAAAGATTAAAAAAAAAATTGTTACGCGGATGAATATCATTTCAATCAATGAAAATTGCTCGGATATTTCCTTAAATCTTCGGATTATTTTGATCGTTTAAATGATCATTTGTTATTTAAACTGTCTGAAAAATAAAGTAAGGATGTTTACTCTAGGACAGGGACATGATTATTTACATCAGTGTTAAACAACAGGTTTACCGTGAACAAAATATCTCGAAATTAATAATGATTACAAACCCTAATTTAAAATAATATGGTTTGCTTGAAGTCTGACATCTTATAATCCCCATGGTCCAGGGGTTACACGCTCGCCTCAGAAGCTTGGGTTCTAATCCTAGATAAGGCAAACTTTTTTAAAAAAGTATTTAAGCCAAATAAACATTGAATTGAATATCAGTGTTGCAATTAGCCTTATGGCCAATTTACAACAGTTATAACACTGGAAACAGCATACTATAAAAACAAATTGGTTTATAATCTCACAACCTTCACCTGTCTGACATTCTGAAACCCAAACAAATTTAGCATTTTTTGTGCTTTGATTTTCGTTTGTGACAAATGTGATTAACAAGCTTAAATTATTAATGCTCCAAGACCAAACATATAACGAATTGTGTTTGTCCAGAAATAAAAGAACAATAAATTTTGTTTATATTTTTTTTAAAAAATAAGTTTACGAATAACGTCTCTCTTTTATTCTTTTTTAGCTGCAGCTATGTGCAGAGTAAATAGTCACGCCAAAAGATGGTCACATTTCAGATTTGCATCAAATGGAAGCGTTGTGAAACAAATATCAATCAGACATTCGACTGAACTAGTACAAATGTGCAAAAAACAACCTACAATTCGAAGGAAAGTGAAATGTTTAAATGGTCGCTGGGTACCGACTCTCATGACGTGCAATTCTAACAACACAGGTCAGTGAAATTGAAAACGAGGTTGTAATCACAGTCACTTGGGGTGTGGAGCTCAAAACGTTTTATATTCCAAATAAAATGTATATTTGTCAATCCCAGCACATGTAATCCGCGTTAAATTGACTGCCCGGACTTGACAACCGATGAATTGCTTAAGATTTCAAATTATATCATTTATTGCTAATGTATCCTACAAAACAACTTTATCTTAAGTAGTTAAAGTTTTTAGCAAATGGGATGATACGATGCGCGCGCATGGTCAAAGTTTTGATAGCGCGAATACTTTAATGATCGATATTTTGAATATAAACAAGTCATGCAAGAAAGTTGAAACCCAGAGAAAGCATCTTTATCAGAACAGCGCATGTGTGAAAAGTATTGTGACAGGCGTATTTAACATGTTATTAAACATCATACATATACATTTAGACACAGACGTTTGGGGTTAGATTATGCCCCACAACGTGACACTCTATCAAAATATTTTAATATTGAAACACGAATTGGACATCTACGGTGGCACAAAGGTGACATGTGTGTTTTTTTTATTTATCTAGTGACCACGAGATACTATGTCGTGGCCACGAGGTACTAAGTCGTGTCCACGAGATAGCTAAGTCGTAGCCACGAGGTTCTATATGTCGTGGCCAAGAGTTATTAAGCCGTGGCCACGAGATAGCTAAGTCGTGGCCACGATATACTAACTCGTGGCCACGAGATACTATAGTATATCTCGTGGCCACGACTTAGTATCTCGTGGCCACGACATAGTATCTCGTGGCCACGACTTAGCTATCTCGTGGCTACGAGATAAATAAAAACACACACATGTCACCTTTATGCCACCGTAGACATCTGTTTAAACGGTAAAACTGGTTTTCAAACATATTTTACGTATATGAAAAATTACCGTTTACCATAAGACTTGATAGTAAACGCAATTTTTAATATCCGAAAAAAATGAGCCCAAGCGTCTGTGCATTTAATTAGATCTAAGAAACAGCTGGTGTTGATTTAATTCGTAATCATGGTGATAAACATAAAAAAGCAACTAAAAAGTAATTTACTTTAAATTAAAGTTTTCAACTCGGTAAGTCAAATGACGTCAAGCGCTCCTTTTTCTCGATCTGAGTTAGTATCATAATGCAAATTTTCTTAATTGCAGGCCGTTTACATCATAGAGCCAGAACAAATCGAAATCACTTACTAAATAGAGGTTTAAAAACTGCAGATCGAATACGTAAAAGACGATCATCAAGTACATGTATAATACCGAAATTGAAAGGTGGACCGTCTAATTTCACTACTTCCGGTGGTAGTACTTCCGGTGGTAGTACCAGTCTTCAAGTCAATGCACCCGTACCACATGGACATGAAGTTCTCAGGGAGTGCGTGGACGGAGGTTTTATGCTACTGCCAGGTGTTCTATTTACCACGACATTCACATCAAAATGTCACAATGGAAACTGGACGCCGGAATTTCCTCGTTGCTTGAGAGGTTATATTTTTATTTTCTTTTAAAAATTTAAACAAACTGGTAATGATAAGAATAATATTAACACATCTTCAATCTGAACTCTTTGCCAATTACCAATGATCATCTCGGAAACGATACGTGATGTTCACAGACTTGCATTATGAGTAAGAAAATAAAATTGTAATCCGGGAACATTACGGTTGAAAAGTACATCTGAAAAATCAAAATACCGTAGAAAGAGAATCGTAATCAACTTTAGAATAGCCCTTGACAAAATGAATAATATTATATCATTTGTACTTTCGCAGATTAAGTGATTATATTTGTTTGTCTTTTACGCCTAATCAAACTATGAAGTTTAAGAATAAAAACCTTTTTCTTATTCATAGATATAAAAGATACTGTTTTCTATGATGATATTATTGAAGAGACAACCAAACAAACAACTTTGCAAACAACGAACACGGAGCAAGCTACTTCTACATCAGACACCACAACAACAACTACGCCAGACACCACAACACCAACTACATCAGTTACCACAACACCAACTACATCAGTTACCACAACACCAACTACATCAGTTACCACAAAGACTCCAATACCAAGTAAGCTATGCATCTTAACTGACCTTTTACAACTAGTCGTATTCACAGTGTTTAAACGATCCTACTTCCGGCTATCTAGCTAAATTATATATAGGCACCTAAATGACCGGTAGGAGCAGGTGCTAGAAATTGCAAGACATTGGTCTAATCTTGCAAGACGTGGTGCAGTGATTTCGTCTACTGTGACATTTGCCATAGCAGTTTTTTAAAGTCGATATATCAAGTAAGTGTTATTTCATATCATCGCAAATAGTAGGAGGTCAAGATATGATGAATGTTAGTTCAACAATAAAAAGTTAGATTACGGCTTGCTATTCTCATACACGGCATGTGTATCAGCGCCGTAGCAGCACGGAGGAAAACCGAGCCAGTTGTGTTCTTTGTTGATTGTCTTTTATAAAAAAAAAAAAACAACCCCAAACAATGCAAGAATGAGCTGCACAGAATGCCCTCAATAAGTCGGAATAATTCTTGCAGACAGCTTCGTTGTTATTGTTGCATTATGTTATATTTATTGATGAAGGTGCGAAACACGACGTAATCGTGCTTGTGTTTACTTGTTGGTAATTAATGAGGAAAAAAGTTTAATTTTGTGCTATGAGTGACCATGTTTAACTGATATGTTATCTTTGTTCCCGTTAATAAATTGCAACGTATTTCTTTTTACATATAAGCAAAATTAGTTATTCATATTTGTGTGCGAACAATTATTCATAACCTGTGATTAAAATGTAGGTGGCCAATTAGCTATTTGTCTATGTAAATGTTCATAACCTCGGGGCCAGGTCTATACAGAGAATTATGATTTCTAACTTGTTTTTAATATTCAATTTACAGACGTTGAGTACCGTATACATCTACAGAAAAAAGGAGAACATTCGCATGTATTCCTGTTCATAAATGAACCCGATCAGGGCTTTTTTGTCGATCTTTTTGACAATGAAGTATCAATACAGGCAAGAAATGTTGGAACGGTAAGTGAGAACTATAATTTCATACCTCAGATAATATGATTTTATAATTGTATTCTTTAATAATTTAATTATAAATTATTCTTGAATGTGGAACCTTAAAACGTTGTGAAACCGCAAAACATAACAAAAAGCATGATTATGAGACCTAAAAATGTGAGTAATGCAAGAAATGTGAAACCTTATAACCTTGTGAAACATTAAAACGTCATACATACGTAAACGTGAAACTTTAATAAGTGATACGTAAACGACGAACCAACTATAATAGCAGTTGAATATTTTGTCCGGAACAGTTTCTTCTGTTTACGTACGCTATTCATGTATATCAAATTAGGTAGACTTTCAACGTTACTAATCTTTCAACAAATGACCATTAGGTTATGCAAACAACATGATTTTAATGTTTGACATTTCTTAAATGTTCATAGAATATAACTTTTTTCACTTCAAAAGTGATTTCTTAGTTTAATGATACTCATTTCATATGCATTAGTCAACTGTTACCACAGCCAACCTGCCTAAAGGGGGGGGGGGAGCGGAATAGCGGTGACTCCTGCGAGGACTATTACTGTTACATTTCCAAACTGTTAATCCAAGTGCCGCCGTGCGGGGCAGTCAGATAGCTTAAAGCACTGACCCGCCTTCTTTGCACTTTGATTTGCACATAACACAGAGGGGATAAGGTGCTTTGCTAAGACTTTCTTGTATTTTTCTCTTATTTAGATTAGCCGGACTCGTTTTGCAAGCACCGACGACTGGGAACATGCCTCCTTATCTCCGCCATCAGGTGTCAACTTTGTTTCTATATACATGCAGGCTACAGGATCGGATACTGATTCGGATAAATTCTACATAGAAAAATACGCTGGAGGACAAGGTATAATTTTCTTATTCTGTAAGGACGTCACTTACAACCATGTCAAAATATGTTCTCATTCTGAAAGCAACACCGATAACAAGTGTTTTTGTTGTATTTGTTGTTGATTTCTTTCTCTATCTGTATTCAGTAATCAGTAAGGTATTGGTTGTCAAATATCTTATCCCAAACTTAAGGTCCTTCACTTTTGCCTAAAAAGTTTGGTAGTAATTATGTGAATTGCAGTATTAAGCATATGCTTCGATTAGTACGTATTTCAATTTAAGACTGAATTTTGGGGTGGGATAGTTAAGGTTGGGTTGGGTTAGGTGGGGAACGGGCAAATGCCCAAATATCCACCTTTACAATTCATCTGGTCGGAACATTTCCAGTGATGCATTTTTAAAGTAGATGTAAATGCCCTGGAGGAGATGTTTTTGATTTATCACATGGCCACGAATTTGATTTTTTTTTTCTCTCGGATTTTGATACTTTATAAATCTTTAGGCTTATTTCAATGAATTATTATAATTTATAACTCTTTAGGCTTATTTCAATGAATTATTATATACTTTATAACTCTTTAGGTTTATTTTAATGAATTATTATACTTTATAACTCTTAAGGTTTATTTCAATGAATAATTATACTTTATAACTCTTTAGGCTTAGTTCAATGAATTATTATACTTTATAACTCTTAAGGCTTATTTCAATGAATAATTATACTTTATAACTCTTTAGGCTTATTTCAAAGCATTATTATACTTTATAACACTTTAGGATTATTTCAATGAATAATTATACTTTATAACTCTTTAGGCTTATTTCAATGAATTATTATATTTTATAACTCTTTAGGCTTATTTCAATGAATTTTTATACTTTATAAATATTTAGGCTTATTTCAATGCATTATTATACTTTATAACACTTTAGGATTATTTCAATGAATTATTATACTTTATAACTCTTAAGGCTTATTTCAATGAATTATTATACTTTATAACTCTATAGGCTTATTTCAATGAATTATTATACTTTATAACTCTTTAGGCTTATTTCAATGAATTTTTATACTTTATAAATATTTAGGCTTATTTCAATGCATTATTATACTTTATAACACTTTAGGATTATTTCAATGAATTATTATACTTTATAACTCTTTAGGCTTATTTCAATGAATTATTATATTTTATAACTCTTTAGGCTTATTTCAATGAATTTTTATACTTTATAAATATTTAGGCTTATTTCAATGCATTATTATACTTTATAACACTTTAGGATTATTTCAATGAATTATTATACTTTATAACTCTTAAGGCTTATTTCAATGAATTATTATACTTTATAACTCTTTAGGCTTATTTCAATGAATTATTATACTTTATAACTCTTAAGGCTTATTTCAATGAATTATTATACTTTATAACTCTTAAGGCTTATTTCAATGAATTATTATACTTTATAACTCTTTAGGCTTATTTCAATGCATTATTATCCTTTATAAGAATTTTTATACTTTATAACTCTTAGGGCTTATTTCAATGAATTATTATACTTTATAACTCTTAAGGCTTATTTCAATGAATTATTATACATTATAGCAACTTATTTCAGTTTATTATAATATTTTATAACTCTTAATAAAAACAAGCAAGAATATTTTGGAAAAAGCAACTGCAGAAAATATTTGCCATTGTAACATTAGCCGTCATTTTGTTACATACTATTTGTTTAAATGTAATGACCTTACGAAAGCTATATAGAGAATGATATTAATGGAAATAATATTTTACCTACTTAACTAAAGATAGTTGACATGATTATATATATCATTATATGATTATCTTTATAAAACTATTTCTTGTTTAGTGCCAACTCTTAAATGAATATTGTCATAAGACTCCATTTGAGACTCAGTAATTCTTATCATATCATAGTTCTGTCTTTATTTTTTTTGTATACATTTTAGAAACACGGAGTTCCCCATGTGCTATGTCCTTTAAGAGTTTCCCTGCACATGCGCCGGACTATGATAACATAAATTGGGAGGAGGACGAGTATAGAAATGAAAAGATGGATGAAATCAGCTGTAAAATAAAATGTATTGAATATGGCAAGTTTGTTTGCAAGACTTCTTATTACCACAAGAAGGTCGGTCTATGCACGGTATTTAATAGGACTATAGCAATAGTCGATGCGCATAACCAAGACTTGGTCATACTGAAAAGGGATGACGCTTGTAATTAAAAGTGGCAAATCTGGTGTCGTACTTTGGTCTATTGTTTAAATCAGTGAACAATAATAGCAAACTTGGTGCAACACTTTGGTTATCTTTCTTTTGTATAAAACAGTGTACATAATAGCAAATATGGTGCAGCATTTTGGTAATCTGTCTTTTGCATAAAAATTGTACAAATAGCAAATCTGTGCAACACTTTGATGTGTAAACCAGTGTATGATGATAGTAAATAAGATTCAGTGCTTCAGTCGTCTGTCTTTTGTATAAAACAGTGCACAAAGTAGCAAATTTTGTTTAGCACTTTGGTAATCTACCTTTTGTATATAGAACAATGAACAAAATAGCAAATTATTATGTGACGTAAGTGTCATCTTACTATTGTATAAAACAGTGAAAATAATAGCAAATTCGGTTCCGTGTTTCAGTCATTTGTCTATTGTTTAAAACAGTGTACAAATATCACAATTTGGTGCAGCACTTTGGTAATCTGTCTATTATATGAAACAGTATACAAATAGCAAATTTGGTGCAGCGCTATGGTTATCTATCTATTGCATAATAGTAAATTTGGTGCAACACTTTGGTAAATTGTCTATTGTATAAACTGACTATTGTATTGTTAAGTTGACCAGCCTTCATTTACTCAATATTGCTGTTCTTGAAATATTTTGGCTCATCTGGAGGCGTGCAACTCTAAGTTGATCAGCTTTCATTTGAGCCGCGTCATGACAAAACCAACATAATGGGTTTGCGACCAGCATGGATCCAAACCAGCCTGCGCATTCGCGCAGTCTGATCAGGATCCATGCTGTTCGCTTACCAACTCTATTACAAGTAGAGAAACTGATAGCGAACAGCATGGATCCTGATCAGACTGCGCGGATGCGCAGGCTGGTCTGGATCCATGCTGGTCGCAAACCCACTATGTTGGTTTTGTCATGACGCGGCTCAATTTTACAGTGACAATATTTACCATATTACCATACTTCATAAACGTAGAATAACATAAACACTAAACAAAGTATTCTTTTGACTTCCACACAAATAAATAATTTCTTATAAATAATCATAACTAAATTAATTGCTAAAAAGCAATAGAAGTAACGATTGTTCAGGTAATTAGCCAATGAATTTTTTTTTTTGAATTAAAGCTTATCAGAAATAAAAATAAAACATTTCTTCGACATAATGGACCTTTAAACATGGCAATAATGACTTTCCTAAATTGAACCCTCTTTATATATATATTTTTTGTTACGTCCCCATTATATACATACATTTTTTTTGCGGCAAAATTTGCTTCTTATACTGGATGCTGTATTCTATTGAATATATTATACTCTGAAGGTCTGTCTTCCATGAAGAGGTATACATGTATGTAGCAAAGATATGCAAGCCGTGGAATTTTTTCTTTATGTACAAACATTTTCCATACTATGTTCAAACATTTTACATAACAGTTATATTACATTGGTACTTGTGTAACATGTATGTATCGTTTGTAATACATAAAGAAATTAAACATAATTCCGTGCACGCATTAACTTGTATTGTGTATCATTTACTTCAAGTTGTTTGTGTATTTTCCACCTTAATCATGTTATATGTTTCTGACATATAATATTCTCCGCGTTTTGTGTATCTCTCATCTTTTCCGATTCAGCGGAAGGGGATTTATGACAGGAGTCCCGTCCCCTGAATGCCACCAAAGTGCTGTAGATTGTTTACGGGGCTTCATACATATTCAAAAGCATTTTTACAATTTAAGAAAGAATTAATTATATTTATACTGGACCGATTGGGCGTCAGACGTAAAGCCGTGCGTCCGTGGCCGAATAGTTAAGTTCGTTGACTTCAAACCACATGCTCTAACCGTTTTGGGTTCTAATCCCGACAGGCACTTTGGATTTTCATATTTGAGATATGAGGTAACCATACGTTGGTGATACTTCTCAAGTACCCCGTTAACGCCTGAAATAATGAGATTTTCCTCCACCAGTAAAGCTGGAAAGTTGCAATATGACCTATACTGTGTTGGTGCGACGTTATACCCTACAAAAATGTAGCACGTTACAAGCAAGAACTTCGCCGAAGCGGGACAATATACACTTGATGACAAGTTTAAAAAAAGACATCATAATAAAATATGTCTTAAATATAGATAGGAATTATATACTTTTTAGGACTAAGTGCTAGAGGTGTCAGGGACGTTGCACTGTTTAATTATCCCTCGTGTACAAACTCAATCAAACTATGCATGCAATTTTCATGTAATTTTGGTTGTAATAAATGCTTCCAAGGGATCATATTTTATCCAGATTTAAAAGAAACCTATGATTGCTTTTCTATCGGATGAAAAATAAAATTCAACTTTACCTGTTTTTTTTTTATATTTCATTCTTGCATGCCAAATAATTATGTACATAATCGATGCAAACCTTGAAAAGTAGTTTTGCAACTTACATTCAATAAATATTACATTTTATTTGGCGAATACGTTGGTACATTTTGAAAATTATTAAAACTGAAGATTTTTATTTAAACAATGCAATAAAATTCAACGAAGATATACCAAGAATGTAACTTTAAATCACTCTATTTTTAGCAACATCATTCAAACTTATGTATCAAAATATCTTAGCAGACGACAAACCCTCTATCTTTGTATTATTTCTTTATCAAATGTTTGTGTTTATACAATCAAATAACGTTTTTATCCATTTAATCACGCTAATCTAATGTCCCATCCTGTTTATCCAATGCTTTTTTAATATTTGTTTTTTTATCCAATGATTTGTCTGTTTTCTGAAGTTTTCATTCCTGTTTATCAAAAGTTTTATCTGTTATTTGATGACTTAACCTAATAATATTCCGGTATTTAATCTGGATATTTAATGTCTTTACCTGTTTATCTAATGTTTTTATCTGGTTATTAAATGCCTTTATATGTTTATTGAATGTCTTTATCTGGTTAATCCATATTTTTATCTTTTAAATGTCTTTATCTGTTTATCTAATGTTTTTATCTGGTTATTTAAAATGCTAAATGTAATGATTTATGTTTCTGTTTATTCAATGTTTTTTATGTTTATTCAATGTTTATGTTTGTTATCAAATTTTGATTGCGGCCAATGAGGGTTTTTTCTGTTATCCAGTTTTCCCCGTTTTTTCTCGATGTTTTTTATTTTAAAACCCCAAAAGTATTATTGTTTACCCAAATGTATTTGCCTAGTTTATCGGTTTTTAATTGTTTTCAAAGGTTTTTCTGTCATCCAATGCTTTATTTTTTTATCCAAATTTTTATCTGTTTATCCAAATTTTATCTGTTTACCCAATGTTCCACTGGTTTATCCAATAATTGCTTGTGATCCAGAACCTGAAAGAGAAAGTTCCTCATTTTTTAATATGCTGCTGTTTCAAAACTGATTGTAGTGAACTAAGAATTCAGTATTCATTTTAAATTTGACATAAGAGGTAAAGTACTAGTAAGCAAGTGAACAGAAAGTGAATGATCAAACTCACTTTCGAATATAAAAAATATAACAACAATATCAGTTTTCTGATATAAAAAACAAACTTAGGTGACGATGATAAAATTTGTATATGTAATCTGACGGATATAAATTGTACAGAAAATGACGCTCAAAAGTTGCAGCCTATGGGAGGTAATGCATGCTATGAAAAATACATAGTTACCTGCTAATCAAAATATTTTTATGTAATATTTTATAAGAATATCGAAGTAACGTTTTTTTAATATTGTTTTTGTCAATTTTTTATTAAAATACTTATGGGAAATGTGCCCAATGAAGGCCAACTTTAAGATGTTACCGTTACTTGAGTAATACAATTTGAAAGCAATAACATTTCATGCGGGCTAATTAATTATGTTCTCATTTGCGAAGAAAAAAACATCATAATTATGTTAAAATGGCAAACCTAATGACTGGCAGTTCTTTGGACCGCAGTCTTCTTGTTCGAAACTGGAACCTTGGCAATCTCTTCCATTTGGACCAGGTGCGGGCTCACTGCACGAGCGAACGCGTACTCGAACACCCTTGCAATCGGCTGTACATCCGTTGCTCCAACTTAACCACTTCGACCAATTGCCATCAACTTGAAAAACAAACTTTAATCATAAGTCATATCAATTATATTAATGTATTAACTACGGTGTCAAATACGAGCCATTAGAACCATCTATTGATCATACGTTTTGTTTTGTGATTACATTTTGCGCAGTTTAAAAAGTGTTATTTTAATGTAAAAACAAAATTTCCCTGGGTATGTCCAAGTATTTGAAAGACATGTTTTCCCAACATAAACATTTCAATAACGCGGTATTGGAATGCACTTGTATCCAGGATTTATGAAATTTTTTAACTATCAGAAACCCTTTACTTCTTGAAAAATTTTAAAAACTCGAGATACGGGGGAATGGTCAAACTATCTCATAGATCCCCAAAGTACCCATTTTTTTAAAAAATTTTTGACCCCCTCAGACTGATACCTTCTTAAACAAAGGACTCAATTTTTCGCCCTTTTGGAAAAGTTAATTTTCTTTTTTTAACCTAAAAAATATCTTGAGATTGTTCTGCAACTTCATTCATTTCGAAAGAACAAGCACAACACACTGCAAACGGCACTTAAAATCTACGAAAATTACCAAAAAAATAGGTCAGAATATGCAAAAAAGCCCTTACTGTGTTAGTCATGCAGTTAAATTTTGGTAAACAATTAGTCATTTACTGTATAAAACATGTAGATCATTTTTTGAATTGTAATTTATTTTTACTTTTCGTAAAATCATAGAAAATTTTGCTAAAGGTTTATGTTCTTGAAATTTTGGCTAATGTGGACGCATGCAGCTTTAACCCTTTCACTGCCATAGGGACGGCTTATGCCGTCCCTGTTATTTTCGGCGTATTTGCCATATGGTCGGCTTTAGCCGTTTTTATAATAATAATAGTAATAATAATAAATTAATAATGATAATATATATATAATAATAAAAATAATAATAAATATAAAGAAAATTATACCATCGACAATAATTATTATACTCACAGATTTGGAAACATATATAATTATTATAATACTTATAACAAATAATAATAATTATATTAATTAATAATATAGTAATTTCTTAAAAAAAACCTCTGGCAAATAGGTGATCAATAAAACAATAACCCTCTGGCAGCGAAAGGGTTAATTATAACGATAAGTTACAGAAATCATTGATACCCCGACTAATAATATCTTTAACGTCGTCTGGAATCATTTCCTTGTTACACGCGCTCCCACTTGTTGATTTACAACAATAATGGCAGACAAGACCGGCGTCACTCTTCGAAAGCGATGTCTTCATACAACCCTCACGTGCTCTTGTAAGTTTCCACCAATCTTCATTGCAAAGAATGTCTGATTCACACCTGGAAAATTCAACTTTAATTAAAAAATTAATTTATTTAATTATACAACTTGAAACTTACTGAAATTATATAATGGACTTACCTTGCTTTGCATTTGGAACAGTTCATTAAAAGTTTAAAGGCTGACTGTACACTATCACTTATAGTTTCAACAGCATAATGGATTAAAAATGTAAACTTACTATGATTCCATTGAAATGAAAACGCATTTCCGAGTGTTTTTTTTATTATCTATTCTATATTTGACGAGTATATAACTGAATTACAAAGCTCATAGATATAATAATTGTCAAAAATAGCATAGAACAAAAGGTACATTTTTACATAGCTTTTATTGCAATAAAGACTTCTTTGGCTATGAACATTCCGAAAGCTACAAATCGCAATATATTAGCACTTAGAAAATGACATTATGAAAATAACACCTGTCTCTCGGGGTAAAGAATGCATATTTGCAACCCGAGAACTGAAATAACACCCAAGGCAGAGCTAGTTAGTTTTGTTCAAGGGTTTTTTGGTGTGGCGCTTTTATGTCGCAAA